GACACCTTATTTTATACCACTGAGGACAAGCGAAAAGGTCATATGGGTACCTCGGTTAAAAATATTTAAATAACTCTTTTAATTAATACCAGTTCTAATTTAAAAGAAAAAGTTACGAGAATAAAATAAAAGTTGTCTGTACCACGAAGCATGCCTTCACTGTTTAGACTGAGAGTCCTAAAGGTTTTTTAGCGTGTATTCGAATATCTTATGACGATAAGTCCGCCACCCACACCACCCTGCGCCGTACTGTTTTCATTCAGCGGCTGGTCAGCGGTCACGTTTATGAGGTAAACATGGCGATCACCTCCTGATCAACAGCAAGTGGTAACGTTTGCGCATGCGTCAAGCTTGCTGGGAAGTACTTGTTGACGGGAAATCGTAATGGCCGAAAGCCGTCCTGAAGCACTTTCAAGGGAGATTTTTTTGCATACCCAATCGACAACAGACATGTCTTATACATTGGATACTTTGGCTAAGCCATGTTGAAGTGTCATGTATGGGAGAAGGGCCATTTAGGTGGTTAATTTTCGTCCATTTGGCTCCTCTGATGAAGCAGATAAAGCGTTCACGAGGTCGTTTGTTGTGATATGTTGATTTGTTGACATTGGAGCGGTCACGGATTTCTGGGTTATCGTCCACGATCTGCAGAGCTGCCTAACATTTAGGTAAGATATACTCCTTGATTTACTTTGTGAAATGTGGAGCAGCATCATCGAATGTTATGTGTTAAAATTATAGCAGCCTGAATTCAACGTAATTTATGTGACCCTGGTATTTTTTTAGTATTTGACCCTGACCATACAGCGAGATCCAGTTATATATCCCACACAAGCGACTAAACAGGTTAAACTTCTCTTTCGGCTACTCCGTATTTTCACTTTTAGTGGTTAAGTCAAAGGGGGGAAGTTCGAGTATTTTGATAGTATTTAGCGGCATGAAATCAACAAGCAAATTTCCTACTCTTACAAGTAAGGGCCATAGTCGGATGTTTCCTTCCATTTTCGAAAATTTGCTTTTCTGGTGTCCATTGGTGCTCTATGGTGATTACTTATTCTCAGAGATTAAGAGATCGAGGCGGTGGATTGTGAAATATTATTTGCTAAAACTTCGTTAAAGATGGACAAATTTTTCTTGTCCTTTTCAACCTTGTTTTTAGATTTTTCGTTAACATATTAAAGTATATCCCAACAAAACTTATTTGTAAGAGCATTGTTTCGGAACGCTCTTTCATTCTGGAATGTTTGATTTTGCATCCAAGGAGGGGAACACTGATGAATTTCCGTTTTAATAATCATGCACTGTAAGCTCTCAGATTCACTGACAAGAACCCTCACCATTTGGAAGATGATTATAATTCTGACAATTATTCAATGATGATTTGTTTATACATACAAAATTGGCGCCTAAAAGAATTGTAATGTTATGCTTAAAATGTTTACATAATGTCTTGAAACATAACTGAAATCAATATAAAATATGAAAATACACATGTGCATTCTTTTCCCTGCCCTACTATAAAAGTGATTTAATAAGTGTGATTTAATGCATTTTCATATGACCATTACAATATTACTTCCACTTTGACACTAGCACAAGTTCAAGCGCAAAACAATTCTTGCCCTTGTTCACCTTTGCACTTGCTGGACTGCCATTCCTGTTTGAAGTACAGACAACACTGGACATGAAATCCCTGTATTTGATTCCTTACATTGGCATCCAGATAAGAATTAGCTTCATCACATACAATGTATTTGTATGCTTACAAAAATCATAAATGTTATTGTTCCTTTTCTATCCAAAAGATTTCTTTCCTTCTTGAATATAAATTCGTATCCATAACACTTTAGAAGTCCTGAATATCTAAAGGGGTATCGCTAGTTGTGGGCAACAACTAAATGACATAAGGGTAACTTTTCACTCTCCGATAGAAATAGATCTTTTGATACTCTGGGTCTCATATATTCAGTGTTTGTGCACATGAATTTAGGAGCACTTGGCTTGCCAATGTCGGTTTGGCTGTGTATACACTGTAGTAGTGTATATAGTCATATATCATAGGCTGCACAAGTTGCAATTTTAATATGTAAAGTTGCCCCTGAAACAAGCTCATTGATGCTCCCAGTGATGCAAGATGACAAGTTATGAAAAATTTCATTTACCTTTTTCCTGTTGCAGGAGCTCCCTATGAGATGCTCAGCACTAAACCTTGTTGATTCAGGTGATAGTCATTGAGGACGACTGCATTGTCACATTTAAACCAGTCGCACTTTTCACTCAAGCCATAGCAGAGCTGGTACAAAATGGCGACTATCCGTTTTTTTTAATTTTACCCTATGCTGTCCGCAGAATGTGAAGGGTCTGTCACTCCATCCTGAACTGCATCAAATAGCCTTGGTGCCCCAGAAGACACACAGACAAGCTTTAATTTTAATGAGTCATACATTGGCTCACTTGAAGCTACTATAAACTCAGACTTTATAAATATCAGGCTTTAAGACCCTTAAGTTCTCCTCATGTTGAAATTGAATGAAAAGGAAAAGTTAGAGCTAATTTTCTCTCATTTTCAATTTTTTAATCTTAGCCCAGATATGGGCTAGTCAAGGGAGCTAGGCCTTATTAGTTATATCTTAAATAATTTACACATGTGCAGTAGAAAATACCAACAACAAAATTTATGAAAAGCAAAAATGAGTGCAAGCATGGAAGTATCAGAAGCACAAAATTCACTTCAATGTCTCAGAGAGAAAATGCAGTTTTAGATATGACTATGATCTTTACTATTTTAAATATTTTCACTGTTGTGTGCATATTTAAAATTTTCTAGTATGTAGAAGTGTGGGGAGTAAAGGGAAGGATTTTTCATGGTTAGGGTTACCTCAATAAAACACATCTGTAATATGAAACATCTTGTACCACACTCCTGTTTTGGCTCATCTAATTCTTTATTTTAGAAGAATAAGGGGCATCTTGGAGTCAAGAGCCTCCATATTACAAAATTCTGCCCACACCCCTGAATAAGTTATAGCATCGCATAGATTTCATAGATGTCATTTCTTGAGTTTGGGTCTTCAGTTTTATATCATCTAGTCAAAAAAGGAAACATACAATTTCATAGCCCTGGGTGGGATATCTTTGAAATTTTATCATTCGCAGAATTAGGGCACTGCACCTGCTTTGGCCACTGGTGGTTAGGATGGGGTGTCTCTGAAACGTAATCACTGGCAGAATCACTGCACTAAGGTTGCACATCTCTGAAAAACAGGGCGTTCCTGAACCATAACTGACGCGAAATCGTATTATTGCAAGGGGATTGTCGCAAGAACTGCAGTTATGACTACATAAACAGACTAGCATTTAGAATTTTTTTCACAGCGTTTTATTCAAATCGTAAGCATCGGACGTTTTGTACTCGGTCACAACTTACATGAAGAGATTTTTTCCCAGTTATCCAGTGTTTAATAGAGGAGTTTTGCAGCCGTTACACAGAACGATTAACCCCATCGACGTGTCCGCACGCAAGCCAAAACACGAAACAATAATCACTCATGGACCACAAACCGCGCAAAATTGTGAATGATCTGCGACTTATTAGCCTTGAGACCAATCTCGCATATTACAAAGAAGACTTTGTCTTATCTGCACTCCACAAAGATAGAACAGATGACTGAGACGATGGTAATTTTAAAAGAGGCGCCATTTTTCTTTGCTGCATTCGCTGCGATCCAATACTACCACAAACGTCCGTCCAGCGGCTCGCGCATACTCGCAACGTTACCACTTGCTGTTCTCCTGATCACCGTTCTTGTCGATTAGAAAATCAAAATACCAGCGTGATATGGCCTCCAAGATGACGCAGTTCTGTTGTTTGATTCGTACTTCACATTCGAGTCGAAGCTTGGGTGGCACAGGTTATTTCTTACGGTGGAATCGACAAGGGAAATTCGAACACTAGTGGTCACTAGTTGTAGTGTTTGAATTGTTGGAACAAATGGTCGCATGGGGATGTAGGAATGGTAGGTTTAACAAACAATTTCAAATTTTGCCCCCTGAATTGAAAGTGAAGTTCATTTGAATGCTTTCGTATGTATTTCTGACCGTTTTAGAACTACCTGCTCGATTTATATCTGCTACGTTTCATGTTGACAAGTCCCTCAAAATGGCGGCAAAACTTGGAGATTACTGAAAATTAGGTAAGTTCACGGAGTTATAAAGTTGTAGTCAAGGTCGGGCCGCAAAGTTTTTTTCTGTAGTTACCTTTTCTATGGCACCTACTTCCTAGCTATATTAGTTGGATCAGTTAAGAACGCCTCACTTTTTCAAAAATGTACCTTGAATTTGATCAGTTTTCGCGTGTGTGACTTAAGCGAAACGATAAGGTGTCGTTCAAGTCTTCCTGTTTGCTTGATTGAAACGTGATGTTCACAAAAGTCTCCTCGATGGATAAGATAGAGTTATTATACATGTCTGTGGTATTTGATTTTTGCTGAGTCCCGTACTTTTTTGCAAAATGTCCTCCAAAGTTGTCTCAAATTAAAGTCTTGAAAAGTGTCACGACAGGCCTTTGCTCGAGTGAAATTTAATTTCCGTAAAACTCTGAAAAATAGAGAGATCCGATCAAACGGATTGTGGTTTTAGTACAGGTACATGAATGTCTTACAACACACTAGAAATGAGCTAAATCTGTGTCTCAAGCAAAATCGACCGGACCGCTCTTACAGAGACACTCTCTTAAGGCTTAAATCTCAGCATTTACCAAACGATCACAGACTGAATTGATTGAATTATTAAAATTACTAATTCTAACTGCACTACTTTTGCTTTTAGGGGAGCACTTCGGTGGCCCACTAGGGTCATGCTGCAAATTAAAAATAATTACTGCAAATAAAAAAAAGTTGCTGCAATCCAAAAAACCTTACTGTACATAATGAAGTTGCTGGCGGATTAATATAATTTCCTATCATGCCTGTTAGAGTTTGTTAGATTGAACACAACTGGATGATAAATAATAATAAATACTTTATTAAGAATGGGAAATCTATGAGACCTATCAGGGATAAAAAGAATAAACTGGTCTAAACGAGATGTCCGCCCTATACATGTTCGGTTTTTTTTAGCTATACGGCTACAAGGGCGAACCGAACAGGATTGACTGAATACTTGACGCACTTAAAATAAAATTACCGCTAATAATTTTATGTCTATAACACTCAGACATACATAATTATTAACATCATTCAGCCTCATTCAATAATTGTTAAATAATAAGAACCTACAAAAATAGTGTTAACAAAAAAAAATTTAAAATTCTCCGAATTAAGAAGCGAAAGAAAATAAGTTCAAATACATTCTAGGAATAAAATAGTTATCGAGCAGAAAAATAAATAGTGAACTAAGTTCATTCAATAGTTCTATAAATAAATATTAACGAACAATAAACATGTATTGAAATGCAAAATTTCCATGAATTGCATTATAAGTATAAATAGACCTATGAAAAAAATCAGGAACGGCATGGACTTCATACCAAGAGTCACATTATGGCTCTTGCTTCATACTGATAGCAAGTGCATTAAAAACTAAACTGATGCATCATAAAATAGATCTGGCAATGTCATAATGTACACCAGTGATTAATCCTTTCCCAATCCTTGACGTTTTATCAAAACATATCTACCAAAGAAATAAACTACGCCTATTATAAACGTATCCCAAAACAGTTATTTACTGGAAAAGTGTTTACTCGCTATCTTTATGCACAACAAAATCATTACAATTAAAACTCAGAGATTCCTATTTTTCCTTTTTAAATTGTTGAATCGCATTCTTTTTGCAAATCAGAAACGTTTTCGCTTTGGCACTGTTGAATCACCAATCTGCACTTTCTGCCAAACTGACATTGAATCCATCGAGCATTTACTTTTCTCCTGAGTTTCGGAATCACTTTCTGTCCTGGCTTAGTGGGATAATAATAATAATAATAATAATAATAATAATAATAATAATAATAATAATTTTTGCTTCTAGGTAAGTTTAACATTTACTCTTCGAAATGTCAGAGAGGTATGCCTTTCCTTCAGGCTTTCATTGCTAGGACAAGGCGCATGACTCCATACAGCCAGGAAAATGGACAAACTTAACAAGCAACTTAAAAAGTGGGAGAAGTTAATCAGTGCCATTTCTAATAAGTGATGTTGTAGGAATCGATTGTTATTAATTTAATTTGTGCGTTGCTTTTTTTCTGCATCAGTTTAGGTGCATCTAAGTGAGACTGTTTGCTTTTATCTATAACAGCTCCTTTGTTTTTTCTTTTTCCATTTCTCCTAAGAGGATGGTATATGCTTGATACTGACTGAAAGTACATTAAAAACTGGCGAATCATAAAAATAGTTAAAAAATAAAATCTCGGGCAAAATCTAAATGACATTTAGGAAGTGTAACATCAGTTTTTGTTCATCTTGTGCTTCTAGCATGTTGGTAAAGAGACTGGTAGTTTAAAAAGTAGTGGAATGTATCCGGGGATTTTTCCAGCCTTATTGATCAACAGCAAGCAGTGTTAGATCATTTGTCTGCAACATCGTTTCATTTTTAAACGGATAAGTAACGACGAAGCACACCACTGAAGTGTTTAGACCCAGAGTGAACTAAAAAAGAAGCACGCATTTTTTTAACAAGATTCTCACATTGTGTCTCCCACTTGTACTTTTTGTCGTAGGCCTCTCGGAGAGAGCAAGCTTCCTTTAGCCGGATTTCCCTTGGCGTTTGCCTCACGCGACTTATAGCTTTGCCCCATTCTTCGGCATCGTCAGAATCAACCAAAAATGCCCTTCCAAAAGGAACAGTTTTAATAGCTTTTCCGATTCCCGAATTTTCGCTCACCAAAATCGGAAGTCCAGCGGAAAGTGCTTCAAGAGCAGTGAGGCCAAAGCCCTCCGTTCGAGACGGCATAATAGCGAGATCCGCCTCGCAGAAGAAACGCTTTAGTGTTTCGCGACTGTCAACAAAGCCCCGCACAGTTAGCTGCGAAGAAGAAATGCCACATTTCAAAAATTCGTCTTTTAACTCTTTTTCTTTCCCATTTGGTGCCCCGACAAATATTAGAATGTAGCTTTTTTCTTTTAAGCCTGCTACAGCTTCAGCAGCTATATCATATCCCTTTAGTTTAAAATCTTCCGAGTCGCCCCGACCAAACACTAAGATGCGAAACTGTTCTCTCTCCTGACTGGCTTGCTCCAACTCTGCGAACTCCCAAAAGATTCCAGGTGTGATATTTATCACATCTTCATCTCTACCGTACAACCGAAGACTGGCTGAGACAGCTTCCTTTAGCTTTGGTCCAATAGCCATGACGACATCAGCTTCCTTACACAACTCTATTTCAGTTCGGTACTTCTCCTCGCCTTCAGGTATCGCTGTTTCGCCATCCTTAAATATTGAAAGCTCTTCACTGGCGGTGTGTACTACATGAACTCGCTTGCACTTGCGTTTTTTAGCTATGATCTGAGCTGGTGCTCCGAGCTTCTGACCGTGGCCTATAACAACGTCAATATCGAGATCTTCAGGGGGAAAGGACAACTTCATGATGCGATCAGACACGGGCATCGCCTCTGGTGTGGCAAGAAGTACATTTAAGTTATCAGCTTCTTGCTTCTTCAATTCAGTGTAGTTTGGCAGTAGAATAGTTACTTCTACCCCAGACTGACGTGCAAGGTGTTTTGCTAACTCCCTGTTCAGCGTAGACAATCCGCCTTTCGATGATTCCCATTCATCTCCGACTAGTGTTACCCTTAAAGGGTCTCCCGCGAAAGAGGCTGACCGTCCATCAGTAGCGCTTTCCTAAAGACGGAGAGAGAGAATTAAAAGAAATCGACTGCCACGTTAGCTAGTAATGGTAAACATTCGTTATATTTAATCTAAATAATATACCGTAATAGCTGTACTTAATACGAGATTAAACTCCTATCAGAGCAGTCTATACCAACTTTTCAGTCAAACACACCTAAGGATTGTTAGTGTCTTAACACCTTCTACCTATGATTTATCTGCATCCTTAGGCGATATCCTAACAGACTACACGGTTAATAATTCAGCTCGTTTTGTTCTACTGTTAACAAAGAAAAGAATTGACGGATAGAAGGCCACTGTACTATTAGATGTCGAATCTTGGCAGAAACTGAAATGTTCCGATTGAAGGCCCTGTGCAGATGGGTTAGACGATACTAGAGAGTGACCCAAGCCACGCTAACCGCACAACTTCGTTTGACACCTTCACAGATTGCACTGCATAATCCGAAAAAATCAAAGTTTCTTAAGAAACAACGTCCCTACAAGATAGAATACCGATCTATTTTAGATTATGAGATTATTATGGCTCTTAAATATATACTGCGCTTGTACAATATAAATCTGAAAAACTGGTATTGATAACCCCTTTAACAAAAACTCTATAAATCCCTGGAGTACGACTCGTTTATTCTCATCGAACCAATTATTTTTATCACAAGCTTTACGACAGTTGTGTGCGCCAACACAAGTCAACCTTTCCTTTGTAATGTGTGCTTGACAGAAATAGTTATTTCCTTTTTCGACCTTTTACCTTACTTAGGACGATTCTTAGAAGCACAACTAGAGCTACAACCTTAGTCTGGCTTTACAACTGATCGCCAAGTCTGAAAGAGGAATCAACTAGATCGTAACCTTGTTAAATATGTTAGTTTAACAAGCGTGGTTATCTCAAAACTTAATTCTCTGTCTGCAACTGAATCTCATGAACAGCAAGGGCAACCTTGTTAAATTTATCATGTAAAATAAACACCCTACTAAGCACAATCTTAAGTTTGCCTAGAAGTAAAAACCACACAAAATAGCTAAAATTTCACTTAACAACAGTTACATTGTCCTAATGCTGCCTCACGAGAGTATTGATTAACATCAGCGTGATTTTTCAGAAGCTCAGTATTTAAATTCCAGCGATTGGAGAGTATCTTCGCTAAGAAGATATTATATCTATATTCAATTATTGCAGTGATTTTGAAATAACTGTACTTACGTAAGGTTCACTCGGTGAAGGAGGGAGAGATAGTGCCAGTTCACAGAACAATTGATTGTCGTTTTCCTTGATGCTTCTGCGGAGCTCAACTGCCCTGGGGCTTGTCATCAGAACATCAACCTTAACGTAAGCGCCATCGCGAAAGCTACGAAAACCGTAAAAAGATAACATTCAAACGTGAAATTGTTTGATCAGTTCACTTGACAACCAAGACAGCTTTTCTTAGTCCTAAGATGAAAATTGAAACAGGAGTAGGGACCTCCTGCACCCCTGGAAAGGAAAGGGGGTTTCTCCAACCCTTAAGAGACTAGACTAGTGATTAGCTTAGTGACCCTCACCTGTTTATAGAGTACTCCATTCCAACCCGTTTCTCACGGGTTGGGAGCATTAACTACCTTAAGAAAAACCTCTGCTTGTGGATGCAGTTTACAATGAATGGGATCAACTTAGGTTTCTGGAAAACTACCCACCTACCCCTCCCCTAAATCAACATTTTGCCCTAAACAAGAAGTAAGTGTTAATATTGGCTTAGGGGAGGGGTAGGTGGGCAGTTTCCCAGAAACCTAAATAGATCCAATAAATGAGGGTACTTACTCCTAATCTGAACATGAATTAACGAGTGCCACCAACCTATTCGAACTATTGCCTATTGCTATGACGAACATCATTATCAGACTCTTTGAAAAGTTATAATCAAGCAGTTGAGAATGTTTCAATCATAAATGGGTTTTTCTGAAGAGTTTTATTTTGGCTTGAACGAATCTATTGTCGGAGCCTACGTTTGAGTAGCTGTTGTGGACCTCGACGTTTTGACGAAGTTGATCCATTTCTTTCTTACTATCTATTGATTGGATGATGATCATTCAATGTTAGATGATACTGGATCAACATGTTGGATCAGTCCCTTTAAACGCGCCCCCATCCCCCCATTAATTCTTACCAGACATGTATTTCATGTTTTACAGGCTTCATGACATCTTCCGAAAGGAATACTTCTGTCTTGTCGTTGGAATACATCCATTCTGAGGAACTTTCATCTCCAAGCCAGAACCCTTTTCTTCTAGCATTGCAAGAAAACGCTTCACGCACGAGCCAGACCACTGGCTGCGCGCACCATTCGAACCAACACCAAAACCTGCTTCCAAACAATGGCATTAACAGGACAAGCGCATCAAGCTTTTAAGCTTAACTACCGTAAGTAATCGATTAAGCGCCGCGGCGTTTATTTCATTTTCCCTGTTGAAGGTGTGGTGCTTATACGAGAGCGGCGCTTATTCGAGAGCTGCGCTTATTTCAACTACGGGTAAAACACTGAGGGGAAAATAAAACTGTTCTGGTGAGGCCTTAAACTGATGTTTAGAAAAGTAAAATCCCAAATCTAAGCTTTCGCCGAGCAATTAACAACAGCATCATCAAGGATGAGAAAATATTCCGCGCGCGCTATATATACGCAAAGAAGGTGTAGGGTATATATGGAAGTTAAAGAAATAAACTGTGAATGGAATACAAAGCTCTAAGGATGGAATGTCTCTAGACAAAGGACCTCTAAAAGTGCTTAAGAATGGTCTCTAAAATACTAAAATAGAAGGAACTGAGTGTAGGCTTGCACTTTCTAATGAAAAATGCTTCATAAACGCGTAGCCGGGGTTAGCGAGGTCGTTTTCGCTCATAATAGGGAGCTTACGAATCGACGACTTTCGCACTACGACGCCGTTGGACTGCGTGACAGTCTTACTGCGCATGCTTATCTGGGCACTTGCCGGCGTCGCGCCAAAGTCGACTAATTTTCAAAGTTTTCCCTACATACTTCAGCGGATTTTTCAAGGCAATTCAAGTATCACATTAGGCACATGCTATTTACATATGTTTTCGATTTGTTTGTCTGTTTTCATTGGAGTAACGACCCGAAGAATCAACACCATAGCCAGCTGAAGACAAACATAAATTAACACCGGGTGAAACCATATTAGCAAGATGGTACCAAAGCTACAACTAGACCATTGCAAGTGGTTATCTCATCACAGTAACTGCAGCTGTTCAGCAAGTTTATCAATGCCCTCCCTGTATAAAAACGCCTCTTGCATTCGTCCTTTGTTGTCTCGTCTAAATCCGTAGTTAACGCTGAGTTTGTTGACGAAACACATAAAAGTAGAAATACAGTGAAATACTCGGTCCTTTATAAATCTGTTTCCATAACCGTCTGCAATACGAGCTCTCGTTTCTCTTATGAATTTAGACATTTTGGTTGAACAAATAAGCTTACTTGTGAAAAGAAGAAAACAAACTTCAGAAACGGCGGGAAAATTTCCCTGCCGCGCGCACCAACGTCGTCGTCTTTACTACGAATCGTAAATTCAAATTTCTACAAGATCATAAATAAGCTTTAAACTAAATTTAATAGGTTTTTTACAGAATGGTTTTTAATACAAAGAGAATTCACAACTCCTTTTGAAGAAATTTCCCCGAAAGAGGTAAACAAATGCCTTTCAAAAGTTTTATTTGTCGGCAAGCAAACGCGACGGCCGTTCGGTCACTCCGCGCCAAAATCGAAATGAGTTCGTTGGCAACAGTAAATGAGTTAAAAATCATCATTAATTTTTTGTGCTCAATTATCTCATTGTTTTAGTTTTAGTATATACTAAAATAATTATTTACCTCAGTGTCGGTGGTTAGTGGTGGCTATTCACCTCGCCGCATCGGCCGTTCGGTATATACCCACCACTAGCCACCGACACTGAGGTGAATAATTATTTTAGTATATACTAAAACTAAAACAATGAGATAATTGAGCACAAAAGTGATGATTTTTAACTTTTATATCAAGCGCCGTAATAAAAGGGGGGGGGGCGTTAATTTGTAAATACCCAAATTAGCACTGCGGCGCTTATTCGAGAGGCGCTTATTAATTTTTTGGTAACGGTGCCGCGCTTATTCGAGTAGCGGCGGTTAATCGATCGTGTACGGTAACCTGCGTGACAGGCTTCGAAAGGGAAGAGGAAGGGGATCAAGAGAAGCAGATCGCGCGCTATTCAAGAAGATCTCCCGCATGCCCGGCCACCCGAAAGAAAGTAGAAAGAAAGTGTTGTGCGCCTCCGAGTTCCTAGCAGCCAACTCCCTAGAGTCAATACCCGGCGTTTTAAAAATAGTTTTCTTAATAGGTTTTTTTTAAATATAAAGTAACAATTGTTTAAATGTAAAACAGTTTTTAACGTCAATTTTAATAGTCTATACAGAATCTTAAGCTTTTTAACTCTTTCAGCTTTTTGATTGCTTTAACTGTAAGTGTTCTGAGTTTTTAGCATATACTTTTACCTAAAACATAATAAAGACCTATTATTATTATCATTATTATTATTATTATGTCGCAGTATGAAACTTTGGAATGCAGTCCACATTATGAGTAGTATAGGGCGCATAGCGTAACCTACACCACTTGAGAAGCTATACTTAGAAGTAAAAAAAAAGGTCGATACGAAACCTAATACAATCCTAAAATACATAGTGATATGAATCTCTCTACTTAAAAAGCCAATTTAGAATATTATTAAATTCTGATACTCTGTAAAACCTTCGCTATCTCTACTAAAAGCTTATACATAGTGATATAAATCTCTCTACTTAAAAAGCCAATTTAGAATATTATTAAATTCTGATACTCTGTAAAACCTTCGCTATCTCTACTAAAAACATATTTATAATAATATCACACTCTGTTCTAAAAAATCTGAGTAAAAACGTCAGCAAGCTTGTGTTTCTAGATTTCTAGAGAAAAAACAAAAACCTAAAAACTGAAGTCCATAGCGCCCTAACTAAGTATTTATCTTAAATGTTCAACTTCTAATAGTATAAATCCGCCCTCAGTCGTCTCCTTGTTAGATAAACAAGATGCAAAGTACTCAGAAGTACTTAAGAATATGCCTAGCCGCTTCGAGCTTGGCTTGCTTTCGTTTGGGCAAGGCTATGAAATAGAATCATGGAGCTACTTCAAAGCACAACCTCCCTACTTGCCGCCATTATTATTGAATATTATTATTATTATTATTATTATTATTATTATTATTGGTATGTCTACCATGCAATGATTTGTAAACGGGGGAGCATGAAAACGAGAAGAAACGTATGTACGCAAGCCGAGTTATGGAGGTGGAACAAGCCACGTTCACGCCGCTGGTGTTCACCATGGCACCTGACTGTCAAATCTGTCACAAGCGACTAGCCGAACTCCTGTCAGTCAAGAAAGGCGAGGACTAATCGACTACGATATCTTAGATAAGAACCAGAATTTCATCTGCCATTCTGAGAACATCCCTCCTATGCTTAAGGGGATCGCGTTCAATGGGGAGAGTAAATTTCAACCTAAATGAGATGGACTTTGACATCGAAAGACGACTTTTAGGAGGCTACATTTTGATTTAGGGAAAAGATATTGAATATTGCATATTCAATGATTACTACTATTTAATATTCTTATCGTTGTTGGTTCATGTTAGAATCGCGGAATTAGTGAAAAGATGTTAAATATTGGTAGTGATTGCTAATAGCAATAGTAATACTGTGAAAGGTTTGAATCCAGGAGTCATTTCAAAAGTAGGTTGAGTTGGACAGGGGCACCCAACGAGAATATAGTTCAAAATCACTTAAACATAGCACTGTTAAACGTATTTTAGTATTTAAACGGTAGATATAGGCATATTTGTATCCCCTAAAAATTTTTCATCTGTTCGGATTTCCTAGCTGAAAGTCTAGTGATCCAAAAATTATAGGGATCAAAACTTACCTTTTCGAAAATTTCAGCCAGAAAAAAGGCTCCCGAAAATTCTAGGTGACCTTTTTAGGCTAAAAATCCGTTAAAAAAAAAGGCAATTATACCATTTTTTGGTTCTTCAAAAATCCTAGGAGAGACAGACAAGCAAGAAATTTTACAACAAATGTTCCGAAAATTCTAGATCTAAAATCGTCTTCCGAACAGATATTCTTCCGAAAATTGTCGTTGGGTGCCCCTGGTTTGATCGTCCCGGTGAACGTAGTCCTGAATAGGACTGTTGTTGTTGACAGTGACTGACGTTTCGACAACCTGTGCGGTAGTCATCTTCAGAGTCAGAGTAATAGTAATAATAATTAGTAGAGAAACATTTTCGTGGATTATATTTCAAGAGATATATTGATCTTTTCTTTGTTAGCCTTTTTTCGTATGCGTATTTTTTTTTTCTGTAAGTCTATTCTCGAAGTCGCGTTACGTGATCGTTCTTGACAATTTTCGTAAGTTCATTATGTTTATTGTTTTCAGTTCAGTTTAGTATAAAGTTTTATTTTTTGTCCATGTAAATCAGTCGCTTAATTGTTTCCGGAGTTACCTTACAGATCTTGTAAGTATAGTTTTTCCCGTATTTTTTTGCTCGTTTTCTTAGTCATTTGTTGTACTTTGACTTACCGTTTTTGGAACGTTTTCGGTTCGCCTTTTTTAATTCCCTATTTTTCTTCTTTTCTTTTGCTGTAATTTTGTTCTAGTGAATCGTAAAGTAAAAAGACCACCTCGAAACTGTACATGAGGGTTTATTACAATTATTATTATTATTATTATTATTATTATTATTATTTCGGACGGCGTTCCTCTTCTCCCGGATTGGATTGTTTTAATTGAAATGAAATGTTTATATATACATATTACTATTATTATTATATTATTATTACTATTATTATTATTATTATTATTATTTCGGACGGCGTTCCTCTTCTCCCGTCTCCCTTGCATGTGCCCGCATTCCCTTTCCCTTCCCTTTCGAACGCCTGCCACGCAGGCTCAAGTTTAACTGCAATCACAAGTAAGAAATAGTAATGACTGGAAGGAACAAAATCAGCGGAGCTTTGTGTCTAATCTCTGGAAGGCCTATAAATTAAATACTAATTTAATCACTGTTGAAATGAACTTCAGCGTTTTACTGCTTAATTCGAGCAATATGTGCTTTGCACATATATCAACTCAACCTAAAAGAGCATGCACTTTTGGGAAGATATTTGCGGAATTTGTCTCCTTTCTAAGGCTATGGCCACATGAGTTCCTCTTCTGAATTAACCGTTTTCGGATGTCCACACGAGAAGGACATAAACACTGTAAAGATGTGTGGACGGAATCATTAAACGCGCCAAGAGTTGGAGTGAGCATGGCCCAAGCAGCATCATGTAAATAATTTCCGAATAGGACAAGCATATTGATAACAATTACAAAAGTTACATACCCAGAGAAGCGCCCAGAGAAGTGCATGACGCTGAACTCGATCGCCATTGTAGGTAGTAAACTTTCAGGCGTGACAAGGCCGTCGCTGATGTCAGTCCATTCCTCGTGATCTGATTCATCTGAAGCTAAACACCAGATGCGAACGCGGCACGACGACATGTCAGGAACTTCACAGCTTTCCTCCGTGAGTGGCAATGGTAACCGTATGGTTACAGGTTTTTTAAACTGCAGTGAGTCATGATCAGAGCCTGTAATTCTGAGTATGGGGCTTGCCGAAATCTCCTTTCCTCTAAATGTTCCGTGAGAAATTTCTTGTAACTAATTGCAGAAAGAAAGCACATTAGAAGGTTCTGTAAATTCGAACAATACCTTTACTTTGAAATTTTCTTATTTTTCTTTTTGGTAACGAGGAGATGATCAGCAACATTCACGCAATAACTTTTACACTAACATCTGATCAGCTCCAAGTGCAAGTTATCTGTATCAATGCGAGAACCACTGAAACAGAAAAGAAAATTACGCGCAACGGAAAGGGAACCCACCAGCCACCAATAGTTACTGTTGATGTACATGGATTTCAAGTTTCCGTGAGATCGCTCGGTTGCTTTTAGCCCTTTCACTGCCAGAGTGAATGATGGAGTTTTGTGAGGTGGTTCTTACTTTTGAGTCTGTGGACAAAATCCCATGGTATGACCATTCAAATGAAACCTCTTTAGCAGTACTTTCACATGGTACTATTTATTTAGTATGTAGTTCTAACTTTTGAGTCTGTGGATGAAATCCTATGGTGTTACCATTCAAATGAAACCTCTTCAGCAGTACTCTCACATGGTACGTTTATTTAGTACGTAGTTCTAACTTTTGAGTCTGTGGATGAAATCCTATGGTATGACCATTCAAATGAAACCTCTTCAGCAGTACTTTCACATGGTACTATTTATTTAGTATGTAGTTCTAACTTTTGAGTCTGTGGATGAAATCCTGTGGTATTACCATTCAAATGAAACCTCTTTAGCAGTACTTTCACATGGTACTACTTATTTAGTATGTAGTTCTAACTTTTGAGTCTGTGGATGCAATCCTATGGTATGACCATTCAAATGAAATTTCTTTAGAAGTACTTTCGTGTGGTGCTATTTGTTTTTTAAAAATGTTACGAAAAGAAATTTGGGATTTTTGTCGAATTTACCTTTGGTCACATTTGGCAGTGAAAGGGTTAATGGTACTTTAAAAAGTGAAAAAATCCAAACAATCTTTTAACAGTTCGTTACAATGACCGTCAGCTATCTAAGTGCACCTGTACCAGAGGAAATGGTCTTAGAAATTTTAATAATTATTGAGCCATGACAAATTTCACTCAACACAGATTCCCAAGAATTTAGTAATTATTTGCTCTTCAAACTGCACATGTAACAACAATTTGCTCACAAACTAACAAAACAGATCATGTCAAAAAATTTCCTTCAGGTGCGCGAATGTTTTCCGCTCGCGTAACCGCAATGCTGGATTCTAAAAAAGAGTCGAGGAGTTGGGGTGACTCAAGGGGTCCTCCCCCTCTCCCACTTCTGTATTTCATCCCAATGTCTACCCAAAGAGTTGTCATTTCTACTCTCTCCAATCTTCCTTGGTGAGAAAATCAAAGATGGCGGCCACGGTATTATTGCATTGTAACAGTGACATTGTACAGTGTCATTGTCTGAGAAAGTGTTTCAGGGGCCAAAAGTTGTGGTCAACCGATTTGGCTGAAACTTGGCACAGAAGCTGGGTGTGATGAGATATTTCAAAAGCCACTTTGGCTCACTTCTCTGACTTTTAGTTTTGGGAGTTACAGGGGGGATCTCATTTGTTGCCCTTTGAGCACCAAAAATCCAGCCTTCCAGGGGGCATTTTGCAAATGTGATAAGACCCCACTGGTAAATTGTGCTGCCAAATGAATTCGACCATTAACTCTGCTATAACAGAGCTTTCAGTTCATGCATGTAACTTTCTCTTCAAGGTATTGCATAAAGAGGAGCCTGGGGCTAGAGTTTGGCCAAAATAGTCCAGTTTCGAATTAAAAATTACCACTGAATATAAACATTATCGACACATTCATACAGGGTTAGTCTCGGCGTAAAGTAAAATAATTAGAAATTCTGGCAAGTAAGTGTTTGAAATTTGAATACACACTGTTTATCTTAGTCACCCAATTATCAAAATCAGTTGAGAAAAATTTGGCTTATTGTGGTTTACTGAATTTTTGGAACAAACACTTCATGCCCCTCTAAGGCATTGCAAAATGGAATTTTGAGCACAATTCAGGCCATAAACAAGCCAAATTGTTGACAAGAAGCCCTTGCTCTGTAATTAGTTTGCCCTTATTCTGTAATTCTGTATTAGCCCTTATTTCGTAAGTGAAAATGAATTTTCAAAGCCAAATCAGATTCGTTGTTTAGAAATACACCAATTCTTACCTTAAATTGATCTAAAACAGACCTCTTATTAGCACAACAAACACATGATTTAGCAAAACAAGGGTGATTTTTTCTTTGAAAACCTAGTGACCATCATAGAACACAAATGATGATGTTCTGACGATAGAACGATGTTTAAAGATCCTTCAATTTTTCTTTAATTTATATTCAGTTTCAAGTCATATTACTAAGCATTACTTCAAGCATGGAAAGTCTCCATATTTTGTCAGGCCCATTTATTTATATTTTTACCAGATGAAGTTAGCTTATCAAAAGGTTCGTTAACATATAATCTGCGTCTGACCTTGTAATAGCCTGAATAGTTGTTGTAAATACCCATCAGCAAAGGAGCATGACCATACATACATAGATTATATACAAACATATACGAGCTTCAGTGAGCAGTATGGAGGTGAACTGTGATTTTGCGAGTTGTTTAGGGCTGAGAAAATGAAACCATCCATCTACAGTTAGGAGAGCTGGAGAACAAAAAGCTTTTTTTGCTTTTTTTAAAGAAAATAACCCAAACAAAGCCTTGCATTGAGATGATGCAATTGTTATTATATCAAATTAACTGGCCCATCATTTTGGGCTTGGAGAGTGTGGGAACTGGACCAAGTTCCCATTGAATCCTTCTCCCGTTTTGCGGGAATTTTTTTTTTTAATCAGGTGTGTTCAAAATTCTAGAAAGCAACCTGTTTCAGGACAATTTTACGATGGCACTTTATTCCTTTTAAGGGGTAAATGACCAAGTGGTGTCATGTTATGGGCTGTCTGCAAGGAATGGGAATGCTTCCTTTGTTGTCTTGCGATAATGACAAGACTGCATGGTTAAAGGGCAAGTAGAAGGATTCAGGTGTGTCTAGGGAAGAAGAGGAGACCTGGTGATACCAAAGCTACAGGTGATTCAAAAGATCAGTTAGGGATCATACATGCGCACAAATGGCTTTTATCGCGATCTAGGGGACTCTTCTGATTGAAGAGAGATGACGATATATAAGTTACAATATTGTTGTCTCAAATTGTTTGTTTATGGTTGATTGATTCCCATGTTAATTTCCTGGGTCCTTATGAAGAGCACAGCCCATGACATCACACCGCACTGGTCATTTACTCCTTAAAAGGAATAAAGTGCCATCGTAAAATTGTCCTGAAACAGGTTGCTTTCTAGAATTTTGAACACACCTGGTTAAAAAAAAAAATTCCCGCAAAACGGGAGAAGGATTCGATGGGAACTTGGTCCAGTTCCCACACTCTCCAAGTCCAAAATGGTGGGCCAGTTAATTAGATATCATAACAATTATTGCATCATCTCAATGCAAGGCTTTGTCTGGGTTATTTTCCTTAAAAAGCAACAAAACTTTATGTTCTCCAGCTCTCAGTGAATGGATGGTTTCATTTTTTCAGCTCTAAAGGACTCAGAAAATCACAGTTCACCTCCATACTGCTCACTGAAGCTTGTATATGTTTGTATAATCTATGTATGTATGGTCATGCTCCTTTGCTGATGGGTATTTACAACAACTATTCACTAGGCTATTACAAGGTCAGAAGAAGATTACTATGTTAACAAACCTTTTGATAAGCTAACTTTATCTGGTAAAAATATTTAAAAAATGCGCCTGACAAAATATGGAAACTTTCCATACTTGTCAGAGTAATGCTTAGAACTATATGATGAAAAACTGAATTATACAAATCAAAGAAAAATTTAAGCATCTTGTAAAAAGATTGTTATATCTAGGTCAGAACATCATCATTTGTGTTCTATGATGGTTACCAGGTTTTCAAGGAAAAAAATCACCTTTGTTTTGCTAAATCATGTGTTTTTGTGCTAATAGTATTTAAGGTAAGAGTCGACGTATTTCAGTAAACAACGAAACTGATTTGGCTATGAAAATTCATTTTCACTTACCAAATACTGAATAAGGGCTTCTTGCCAACAATTTCGCTTGTTAATATGGCCAAAATTGAGCTCAAAATTCCATTTTGTATCACCTTGGAGGGGCATGAAGTGTTTGTTCCAAAAATTCAATAAACCACAATAAGCCAAATTTTTCTCAACTGATTTTGATAATTGGGTGACTATAAGGTAAACAGTGGTATAGGTATGGAAGTTATACAAGAAGGCAGGTGAATATACTGAAATTTTGAAAAATGACTATTTTGGGTTGTAATCTTAACATCAATTTTAACCAAACTCTAGCCCCAGGCTCCTCTCTATGCAATACCTTGAAGACAAAGTTACATGCATGAACTGAAAGCTCTGTTATAGAAGAGTTAATGGTCAAATTCATTTGGCAGCACAATTTACCAGTGGGGTCTTATCACACTTGCAAAATGCCCCCTGGAAGGCTGGATTTTTGGTACTTAAGGGGCAAAAATGAGACCCCCCCTGTAACTCCAAGACTAAAGTCAGAGAAGTGAGCCAAAGTGGCTTTTGAAATATCTCAGTCATCACACCCAGCTTCTGTGCCAAGTTTCAGCCAAATCGGTTGACCACAACTTTTGGCCCCTGAAACACTTTCTCAGACAATGACACTTAACATAAACAAGTAACTGAGGGTGCTTTCCAAAAGTCAGAACTGACTGGCTGGGCTAAGCAGGACCAGTCATTTTGACAATGAAATAGGCTTTTTTTCCAAGAGGTTTTGATGAAAAACCATCTCCGCCATACATGCTATTTAGGATTTCACTGATCTGGCTGCCTGTGGATAGTTTTGATTAAAAGTGAAATTCTCATTATAACTGGAATGGTCTGGCCGGTCAGCTCTGACAAATGGAAAGCGCCCTTAAACTCGCCCAACGAAATATGACTGCATTGCAGACTAAGATAATTTCCAGTATTGCTGAAACCTCGGAGTTTATATCTCAATTATCAGCCTTTGACTACAACATTCAACACACAAGATGTGCGCAGAACCCCTCTCCCTCCTCCTTTTTGTTATTTTTTTACAAACAAAATATAGATAACTAACTGCGAGATCTCTGTAAAGTTAATAGGTAACAGTATAAGCAAGGCTTTGCTGTGAGCCAATCCACATTATCTCTGTCTTAGCGATGTGTACAACACACTTGGTGATTAGGAGTCAATGCTCAACCTACAGTATACTGGATGTAACAACTAATATAATAATAACTTCGGAATTCCTTAAGCTAGAGTAATCATTTTTTCCGTGTTATGTAAAATAAATAAATCGTCATAAATAAAGAAATAAATAAAAACTAACTTTGATATGAAGCTCTTTGTCTTCTTGTACAGCATCGTGAGGAATAAAAACATTGAAGAGTGGATGATAAGGCAAGGAAAGGACTTTTCCCTCAGAAGTGACAGTGAACTTGTGCGATTTAAGACGGGAAACAACTGCAAATGTCGAGTACTGTGTAGTTTCAAATTTAGCAACCGGCAGAAAATAATCAGGAATATCATTTGACGAGGCAGGGTCTCTCAGTTTCCTGGTGTCTGTAATAAAACATGTAGTCTTTCAGTTTCATGATGCAGTCAAACTTGGATTAAGACAACCTGCATGAAGCGGTCATCCTCCAGTAACTGCCAAAGTCACGGAAATATTTCCCTTGTTACTTACTACAAACTGACCTGTACAACAAGAAATCAACTCTATTATGCAGCCAGTTTTAATATTGCCCCTCCCCTCTCTAAAATGACTCCTGGGTCATAGTGGGGATAATCTTTTTGAAGTGAGGGCAAATGTCTTAAATGTCTTTTTTTTACCACAGTCTTTGAAAAGGGATGCAAAAAATTTTCTTGTCAATAAAATGGACTTAAACCTAAGGTTTACACGCGCTATATTAACCAGGGGCCCATTTCTCGAAAGTCCCGATAATTAACGGGCCCCGTAAGCTGTCTCTGTTTACATTAAAGATCAAGGTTTCAATAGTTTTGCATCTAACATGATAAAACTATCAGCTAATAAAAACAAAATGGAGTAGTTTGCTAGCCAAGACCCTTGCCCTTATTCTTATAATTATTTTGATTTGAATATTTGATTTCGGGCCCGAAAAATTACCAGAACTTTCGAGAAACGGGCCCCAGGCCCCAGTTGTTGAAAAGCTCGATAGCGCTATCCAGCAGACAAATCTCTATCCAGTGGATAGTGCAATGGGGGGTTTCCCTAATACTTACTCACTGGATAGAGATTTATCCAATGGATAGCGCTATCTAGCATTTAAACAACTGGGGCCAGACAGCTGTGTTGGGGCAACTTCATCAAGTAAAGAAGAACTCAACCAATTTATAAATTCAGTCATTTCTTATTTTATTTGTCTCCTCGCCAACTTCTTCCTTACCTGCCAATGACCGCATGTCAGTTGTTTCAGAAATGTCATCCCACTCATTACGGTTCCTATCAACTAGTTTTTTCGCCACAACCTCAAACCCCTTTAAGTCTCCCGCGCAATGTGAAATTACAAGCCTGACAGCTTTGTTGAAATCAAGACATTGAGCACTGTCGGGCAATAGTTCAAGGATGGCACTAACAAGAGCTTCATTGTTGTTCAAAGGAGGGGAACAAACTGATGCATTCCATCTAGAGACAGTGATTGTTCTTTCCTCAGACACAGCATCAGGAGGGAATATTACATGTGCCTTGACTTGTTTGAGATTCCAGTGGGCGCCTTGTTTGGTCACTGTATCCCTTAAAAGAATAAACAAATTAAAGTTTTATAAGACACCACCGTACAATTCAAAATAAACATTGAAATTCAATAATTATATGTTTTGGATGAAACATGTTTGATCATCACTTTCTAACACTAAAACATTAATGAATGGATATAATAAAAATCATATATTATAATTTATAGGAACCGCAGGTTCGAGAATTATATGAAAGACGATCATCTCAGTTATAGACACCAATTTTGCCGTTGTGAAAAGAAAGCCTAAAAAAATTCAGGCTTGTATGGCAGTTGAACCCATGACTTCTATCCAGCCATCTTTACCCAACAAGCTTGGTTAACAAAGGTTAAATAAAGAGAACTTCTTCTTACGGGCCTAACCTGGAAATTCACGAGCGGAAAAACCCTTTCAGGTACCAGTAGCCGATCAGAACACAGAAATTTCATCTTCCCGCTCCTAGATTTAGCCGTATAGATAATAAGGCCACTTACAGTTGTAAATCTCTCTCTTCAGTACATGCACCTACAACAAAGTTTGACTGTATTTGGCCTTTGCGTACATTACTTACTTAATGAATACTTACTTAAGAATAACAACGGCTTCAACCTCTTCGCCCGATCTTCTGTTAATCCTTATTTGTGATCGCTCTCTGGTTGGCTGTTCAGTAACCTCCGTGGACGCCACTTCAACATCTGCTCCTGACCCTTCTGAGATCACTTCGTTGCCGGTTTCTAATTCAGTGGCTTCCTCTGAAATGACTTCAACTTCTTCGTCGGTATCGTCTTTCTCTTCTCCAACATTCGAGGGAGGTTCTTCAAGCACAGACTTTAATCCTACTTTAAGGACTTAAGATTAAGAAAAGAGAAAAAGGAAACGAAGGTGATAAAGAATTTAAGGTGTTTTCATGTATAAAAAATTACAGTGTGGTTAGCATACCGAGAAATTACCTGGCATCACATGAAGGGATCCTTCTCCAACAAAGTTTGCAGTTACCTCCTTGGACACCACTTTAGTATTCTTTTCTGACCTTTCCGTCAACACCTCCTCGGACGCTAACTCAGTGGTTTCAACCGACACGGCTTCAACGTCTACTTCAGCTTCTACTTTAGTCTCGTTTTTCTCTTTGCCAACATCCGAGGGTGGTTGTTTGAGCAAGCACTTTTTTTCTACTTGAAGAAAAAACAAAAAGACTCAGACAACAGCGAATTAAAGTGTATAAATCTACACCATACCAAATATAGCTACGTGGTTAGGATACCGACAGGGAAAGTTACCTGGCATCATATGAATGGACACTTCTCCACCGACATCTTCGGTTACCTCACTGGACACCACTTCAAAATCTTCCTCTAACCCTTCTATAATCACCACCTCGCATGTTAACTCAGTGGCATCCACTGCTACTGCTGGAAAGTCCTCCTCATCTTCATCTTCAGTCTCTTCTCTCCCCTCATAGGCAACTAACCAGGGTTGTTTGAGCAAACATTTCATTTCTACTTGCAGAACTTCTTGGGCTGAAGAAGAAATAAGAGAAAAGCCAGTTAATAACGAATTTAAGGTGTTTTCATGCGCAACATACCAAATAACAATGTGTTAAAGCATTGACACAAGAAAATACCTGGCATCATGTGAAGTGATCCTTCTTCACCAAAGTTTTCAGTTACCTCCTTGGACTCCGCTTCAGCATCTTCTTCTGACCCTTCTATAATCATTTCCTTGAATGTTAACTCAGTGGCCTCCAATGACACCGCTTCGACATTTTCTTCAGCTTCTACTTTAGTCTTTTCTTTCCCTTCACGAGCATCTAAATGAGCTTCAAAACATAACATGAAATTAAGAAAAAAAAAATCAGATGATAAAGAATTTCAAGTATTTCCATGGATACCTTACCACGTGAATATCTCCTTAAGGTACCAACAAGAGAAATCAACCACATGATATAAACAGAACCGCGTAGAAATGTAACAGAACGTCTTTCTCACAAGAGTTTACTGGTACAGAGCAAAATGATGTAAAAAAGTTTTAGTTTTCATTGCAAGAATAATTTTTTTCTACGTACATGTAAGGTAGAAATGAGCACTTTACGACAAAGAAACCTGATTTAGAGGCCAGAAAATTCCAAAAAGCATATAGTTAAAAAAAAAAAAAACTAAAAACGTTATCGTGTAAAAATGAGGACAATCATTGTGATGATGGTGGTGAAGGTGAGAATATGATGCCAAGATAATGGATACGAGGAAGATTCTAATGATTATAACTGTGGTGGTACATGTATAATGGGTAAGGTAATAATAAACAGTAGAATATGAGTTTAAAAAAACAATAGTATAAAGTTCAATTTTAAGCAGGCAGGTACAAAAGTCGGACCGGATCAACTCAGACCGCCAGTCCAGGTCAGATCAACTCGGATCGACTCAGACCAACTCGGATCGAATAAAAAAAAAACAAAAATAAAATAAAATTGGACTCAGATCAACAAAAAATAAAATAATTAAATTACCTAAACTGAAAATTTTAATCCATTTGGAGGGTAAAAAAGGCCAGGTAATCCTTTTTTTCTCCGTGGCTTTCAGCCGCCATTTTGTTTTACTAGTGCCAGTTCCTCTCAAATCATGTTACGAACTCGTGGTTCCGTTACACGATGCGCGCGTTCTCTTTCAAGGACACAGATATTTATGTCCTCGAGGAAGGTAAAATCTCGACCATTTATTCATTCCAAAGAAAATGATAGTTTCAGTCGCCTAGAATGTATATATTTGCTTATTTTTTAGTGTACTGAATTATTTATGAGAAAAGTATCAAAAGCCTGGTCTATTGATCGCATTTAGATAGTTACCGAAGAGTGTTTGTTTGTTTGTTTGTTCCTGTTTGTTTTTTTCTGCAGGACTTCTGAAACTTAATTTTAATGATACACTAGTGAGCAGCACACATATAATTATTTCCAGTGAACATTTTCAACTTGGAAGGAGGAGAAACCATGCTTGCCCGGGACAAAGGAAATTTCCAAGCCCTGGTCGAGAATCGAACTCACGACCCTCCCGTTCAGTGGTTGGAACGTCCGATATAGTATTCGGAGGGTCGTGAGGTCAATTTTCGCTCTCGGTACAAAATTTTTCGTTGTCCCGGGCGAGCATGGTTTCTCCTCCTTCCAAGTTGAAAATGTTCACTGGAAGTGTATCTGTGCTGCTCACTAGTGTGTCATTAAAATTAATAAAAATAAAAATAAAATTTATTTACGCAACCACAAGTTCATGAGAAAAAAAACAAAATGGCAGGTGAAAGGTAAGTGATGCCGACTGATTTTATTTTTCTTTTTATAATCCGAGTTGTTTTTTTTTTATGATTCGAGTTTATCCAAGTCCATTTTTACATAATTTTTATTTTTTATTCGATCCGAGTTGGTCCGAGTCGATCCAAGTTGATCCGACCCGGACTGGCGGTCCGAGTTGATCCGGTCCGACTTTTGTACCTGCCTATTTTAAGCTTGTAATAAAGAAGCAATAATGAAATGTCACCTGTCGATCTAGGCAAGACTGTTGGCTGTTTTTCCTCCTCCCACTCCTGGTAAAAGAAAAAAGGTAAAACAGAAAAGATCAATGCCGAAAAAACATACATAGCAATGCTTTTGGTATCCAACAAAATCAAGCTATTCCTAGATAAGCAAGGGCCTGATTTTCTGCCATTTTTGTGTTTGTCACTTAACACTGAAGTTTGTGACCTTCATCCGTGAAATAAGTAACTACATTAAAAAACTCATTTTCAAATTTGTCCATAGATACTTGATTGAATTTCGATTGATTATTTAAAAAAAAACTGCTAAGAGACAGAAGTAGTTAGCAGTGTTTCTGCCAAATCAATGTTGTACAACCACAAATTTATTTTCTGGAAAGTCAAAGCAAATAAGGAGGTCATTAAGGGAAAAAAAATGGAATCATCTCTGTAATACTGAAAGTCCACTACATTACTAATCAAGCCTAAGAATTTCACCTGTAAAGCAACTTTGTAGACTTTTCTTCTTTCATGATCTTCGATGGAAATAGCCAGGTGTTTCATCGTGCGGAGAAGTTTTTTCATGTGAGAGGATTCCATTTCATGATCATGTAATTCCCATAACTTTTCAAGAAAGCTCAAATATTCTTTCTGATATCTCTTGAGAAGATCTTTCATTTCAAGTTCTGCACACAGCTTTAGAATTCCTTTGATAATTCTCTCTCTAGCGACCAACTTTTCTCTTGACCCCTCTGCGCCTTTGCCTTCTTCCCACTGCCTTTGCCAGGTTGCCAAGAGGTTTTCTCGAAAAATTTTAATAATTCCTTTCTCTCCTAAGTCTTCATACAACTGTTCCACAACACTCTTCAAGCATGCTTTCTTCTGTTTTTCCTCACCAACAAAGTCGGACCTGACAAGTACTTTCTTAAACAGTGTCATCTTTCCCCGTTTGTGTTTTAGAAGCATTTTACGCTCATTGTGTCGAAGGCAAAACTCAATTAACCTCTCCAAAAGGGCAGTTCTTTCTCTAAGCATTTCATTCAACACTTTATTGTCTGTTGCCTTATCAAATTCCCCGTTGAAGTATTCTTCAGTAGCTTCAATTAAACCATCATAAAACCAAACAGCCTCTTTCTCATATTGGTCTACCAGCGTTCTTTCTTCTGTTTCCGTTTCTTTCACGTTGCCAAGGAGATACAGAATGGCATCGATGATTTCTTTATTGTATGCAGTAAAACTGAACTGCGGAGAAGCCTTCTCTTCTTCCCAGAAATGCTGACAAAACTCCAAAGCATCCTGCCTGAACTTTTTTTGGTCAATTTTGTCAGTGTGTTTATTCCTTAAAAAATCACACATGTCAAAGACGCCACTGATAATGCGTCTCCAGACCGCACTGTGGTTCCCCACACCCAATGATTTCTCCATTTTCCAAGCTGCTATGAAACAGTCCAAGGCTTTGCCAAAAGCCCGTAAGTTTGCTTGAATAACTCCCAGCTGAAAAAGGCTTCGTACGGTATCTGGGTGATCTCCAAGCCATTTAAGTCTGATGTTGAATGCCTTCTCTGATTCCTCTTCAGCTTCTTTGTACTTCATTTGGTGAATGTAAACATTAGCGAGATTTCTACGAAAAAGTGCTTCATCTTCGTGTCCCAAGCATTTCAGCTCTATTAAAAGTTCAAGAGCATTTTTGTACCATTCTACTGCCTCATCATACTCTCCTTTGTCCTCGTGAACTGTGCCAATTTGATTCTTGAAAACTGCCATGTCACAGTGGCAATCAGAGCCAGATAATTCCTTTCGCATTCTAAGTGCCTTGTAGTAGAGTTCGAGTGCTTTCTCCAGTTGATTACATCCGTAATAACAATTGCCTAGAGCATTATAACACCTGGCAACAATAGTGTCAAGTTTTAACAGTTCCTCCATAAGGTCCAAAGAAGACTGTAAGGATTCAATAGCGCTCTTGTAGTCTCTGTTCTGACAATAGACTTCTCCCTCAATATACCGGAAAAGCCCTTTAGTCAGTTTGAAAGACTCAGTAGATTGATCCTGAACTTGCTTTAATGAAAAGGATGCCTCCTGTAACACATCAAAAGCTTTCTGAGCTCCCTGAGCTTCTGAGACCAGCCTAGCTTCCAAACATCGAAACTGAGCACGAAATAAAGAACCTACAATGAAAGGAACACATGGACTTTAGCACGTTGAGTTTTCGAGTCTCTAGTAGGTAAATGTACCTCAGTTATTAGAGTACTAGAGGCAATGGCAGTGTTAGAAGTAGGGGATGTGTTACACTGAGGTGACAGTGGTAGTGGTAGTGGTGGAAGCAGTGCTAGTAGTAAAGGTAGTGGCAGTGGTGCTGGTATCTGGTGTTAAGAGCAGCAGTGGTGCTTGTGCCTACAGTTCACGTAATGGTAGCAACATTACTGGTAGCAAAAGTAAATGTGGTACTGTGGAAGCGGCAGTGATAACTTTAAATGCTAGTAGTGATAGTAGTGGTATTGGTAGTGGCACATGAAGTGGATGTAACGAGTGTTTGTACATTTCTTTGGCCTTACTGTACAACTAGAACATGAAAATACCTAACTTAATGATTTATGGAGGGTGTAATCAAGAGACGACGATTTTTTTCTCCTTCTGAACATAGATATGTTTTGTTAGGAGTTCAATTCCAGGAGAGTTTGCCTACATTTGACAATGTAAGAGTGTTGGAATAAATGCTTTAGAGAGTTTAAAAAGAATAAGAACAGAAACCTACAGTAAGTAGTTCAGGCTTATGGCAGTTTGAAGTGGTAGTGGTGTTCAGGGGTTTCAATAAAAATTAAAGTAACCAGCAGCTTTGAATAGAGTAACCGACTGTAGTAATAAGGAGCCGTTGGTCTCCTTTTTCTAGGGGGAGGAGGTCTCGGGGCGTGCTTTCCCAAAAAATTGTGAAATTTCAAAGCTCTAAAATTTGACTTTCAGCATTCTGGGGACTAAATTGAGGGGAAAAGAGTGTGTTTTTAATTCAAGGAAATGTACCTTTCATTGAACTTTCGATTTATCAGTTACAGAATCAGTTCCTACAAGCAATGAACAAATGATGAAAACTACATTACATACTTTTGCATGAAAACAAATTCTGTGTAAAACTGTGAAAAAATGACTGAAATATAGCGTTCACATGACTAATCTATAACGTAAAACCAGTGGGCGTTTATGAAAGCATGTCATAATTACGTATTCATTCAGATTTTATGATATATTTTTTGTTTACAATGTTATTCAAAGTAGTTGCTTCTTCTTTCTGAAAAATAGCAGCCGACTTCTATGAGCAAAGTAGCCGACGTGTTTCATCAGCCATCGGTGCTTATTGAAACCCCTGGGTGTTGTTGTTGGTAGTGCAGGCAGTGTTAGTGGCAGTGGTAACTATGGTAGAGGTAGTGACAGCAGATGTAATAGTGGATTGTGGTAGTTGAAGTAAAAGTTGTTGGTCAGTCAGGCTTGTGCTAGAACAGCTGTTTTTTATAGTTACGATGACTCTAAATGAAATATCTTTTCCATCATTTCAAGGTCTTTGAAAATTGACACACAAATACCTTTGACAAATACCTTTTGTCAAAAGGCTTTGGAACTGCATTTGCCCCATAAAATTTCTGCAGCCCTTCATGAACTGGAAAAGTTCCACATGCCAATTAAACGGAATAGAAGTTGTAAACTTCTTCTTTTTGTTTAACCACTTTACACTGAAAATTAAGGATGTTTTACATGGGTTTATAGCATTGCCCTATCACCAATAACTACATTGTAGGAAGTTGCTTCAAAGATGGACCTTTGTAACTCACTTAAGTGCTGTATTTACACATGGAAATAAATGTTACAAACCATTTTGAGACACCTTGCTAAGAAAATATGAAGCAATCTCCTCAATAACAAAATGCCAAGAAAAACATACCTGACCCTCCATCATCTCTGCACATCTCTGCCCATGAGTGAAACACCTCAGTCTGTTTTTCTCCTGTCAACATGGTACTGAAAAGGCATGCAAACAGTGCATTTTCATGGTATCCACCTGGCACACTGAAGTATTGTGGCTGCAAGGAGATTTCAATTGCAAGCTCATAGTTTGGGCGATCTCTTGCAAATTCATTGACTGCTCTGACATAATCAGACTCTATAAATCCTGCAAGTTTCTCCATCTTTGACATGAAGTGCTCATAAAAACGCCTCTCTGCTTTAGTGTAAGATTCAAAGAATTTTACATCATTCTTAATACTCTCAGCATACTTTCTTAAGAGTGGATGAATGTTATATATCAACTGCTTGGCATCTTCATTGGCTATATGGATAATTTCATTGATTGCCAGTCCTTCAAGCTGTGCTACAGCTTCTGATACGCTCACATCAAGAACTTTGGCTGCTGTAGAAGCAGTGAAGGGTCCATGGAACAAGGATACTAATACAGCAGAAACCCTCAAAGTATTGGATGGTAGGGTAAGGAACATTTCTCTGATCACTGATGTCTGTTCTTCATCAATGCCTTCCTCTTCTGAATTGAAAGGTTTTTCTTCTGTATCCTCTCCGCCTTTTGATTTCACAGGAATTCCAGCTTTTTTGAGAGAGACCATTTCTACCACATCAATCAGCTCACTGGAAGATTTTCTTTCCTGTTTCAAAATTGCAGCTATTCCTTTCAAGAGTAATGGAACACCTTTGCAGATGTCAAGAAGCTTCTTTCTTTCCTGCGCATCAACATGAGAAGTTTCTCCAGGCAGCAAGATTTTCTCTGAAAAAGCATCTTCAAGTGGATGCAACTTGTAGTCAGTGAACTTCTCTGAATCCTTCAACTGATTCCTTGAGGTCAGAAGCACGTTTACTGAACCTGTCTTGTCTTTAGATTCTAAAATCCTTCCCAGAAAACGCACAAACTGTGTTCTTAAGTTCTTTCCCTCCTTCCCCTTTCCTTCAGTGAACTGCTCGACGTTGTCAAGAAGTAAAAGAACAGGCTGACCTTCACTATTCTTTTCCAACAGGTCATGAATTCTTTCAACAACAACACCCATATAATCTAAACGACCAACAGGGATGCATGAATCAAGGCTGCTCATGATGTTCAGATAAACAGCCGTCATGTCGTTAGCTTCTCTAAGATCAAAGACATATTTCTTCCCAGCCCATTTATCACAAATGTTCTTGGCAAGAGTTGTCTTTCCCACTCCAGCGGATCCACACAAATTAACAACAAAAGGCTTCATTTTAAGTTTTTCCGTAATCTCCTTGAACTCCTCAATTCTTCCGTGTAATTCCTTTTCCGGCTCAGGCTGCGATGGACGGGAGGTCTCAAAGTCTTCAACTCTTTTGTTAATGTCATGCTCATTGTTTGATCTTGTAGCAATGAACTCCTTGATTAGAGTCAGTTTTTTACTCGAGACATAACCGAACTTACACAAACGATCCAAACATGACAACAAATCTTGATTTCCCAGCGATTTAAATTGCTCTCCATAAATTCGTTTTGAAGACTTCACGACATCCTCTGATTCAGCTGGAGAAAACTTCGAGGATATGTCCCTAAAAAGTTGATTTAGCTCAGATGAGCCTTCCGCCATATTGGACGCCATGATCCGGGGAGTACTTGGTTACGCAATAGGCCACTTGCACCAAGAGGTCACGTGACCAATGCTTCCTTTGCAATGAGTTGGAATCTTGCTGATGCCGAAAATTGACAGAGCACAGAAAAATTAGCTTACACCCGAAATTTGAGAGGAAACGCATTTAAGGGAGATATTTTAATGCACTTTGATTCATCAACAAAGTAGTATGATTTGTATTGGCCGCCATGTTGGAGGGCATACTCTTGCCCTCCAACATGGCGGCCAAAAGTACTTTTTGCTTATATCTTGTTAAACGTTTGATAGTTACGCTCAGATGTGCTGTAAACGTTACCACATCATTTTTCAACATCCACATCGAAGTTTAAGTGCAAAGCATGTGTTCAGAAAAAAGTAATTCATAATTTTAAAAATCTCATTTTGGTCACGTGACTAGCGAGGAACTTACTCATTTTAAGAAGATGGTACGGGTTTGAAACACAAAATCACTATTATTCTGTTTAAGATATGACCCACTAATCGTTTTTCGAAGGCAAAATCATATAGCTTTCGTTTTCCTGAAAACTGTCATATGACCTCCTAGTGGAAATGGCCTATAGTCGAGCGAACAGAAGGAAAAAGTGTGACTCACGTAACCATGGTAGCAACGACGACGGCGTCCATATATTCCCACGTCTTCCCACGTCTTCCCACGTAACATAATTAAGATTGAATGATTACATACATACATACATTTATTTGATAAAGCAGGTTAAGTTACATAAAATGGCAGCGAAAGGCTGATGTGGACCTGCATCTAAAATAAGTTAAATAAAAAGTAAGATGATAAAAAATGTATGAATAAAATCAAGTTAAAAATATACATAGTCATTGTGTTTGTCAGCTATCATAGAAGCTCTAAATGAGAAATTATTAATGTCCTTAGAAAATCTACGCAAAATGTGCTTGAATTTGTCTTTACTTATCGACTCATTTATATTAATTAATCTATTAAGAAATGTCCAAATTGTTGGTCCTCTACATGCTTCGCCTTTCTCAGAGCTCAAGCTTTGGTTAAGTAAAACTTAGCAGCTCTTACTTAACGGAATTTGAACCCTGTGTTGCGCTAAAAATCTTCGTTGCCAATCGTCCCGTGTAACATCACCTTAATGTTTTTAATGTTTTTTGTACTTTTCTTAGCCGTCGTTGCGCGATTGAGAAAAAGCGAACTTTCTAATTTCAGACGCCTGCTTTAGGACGTGAACACAACACAAAATTTCATTTTTCTTTCTCTAATCTTTTGATACGGTTCAAATTCGCCAACATTTGACAAATTAAATGAAATTGAAAAAGATCGATGAATTTTAAGTTACGTCACGTTTTCGGTTTGTTGTCATCCAGAAATTTCGCTACCATGGCGTCGTGAGGTAACGACTTCTCCTTTCTGTTCCACAAATATCACATGTTCTAGTTATGGATATTTCTTTCGCGTTTGTCTAAAACCCAGGGTTGTTTTCCATTAACCACAAATTCCCGGAAATTCCTGTTGGGATGTAAATGGTAAACGTTTTTTGGTTCGTCCCACTGGAAAATTCCCGGGACAAACGGAAATTCTGAAAAGGTAGTCCCGTTTTTGGGTTGGGACGTCCCGAAAATTTCGGATATTCCGGATGGAAGGTAAATGGTAAGGTCAGTTTTCGGAAATCTCAACCGAAAATTGAGGAGTACGTTTTGAGTTAGTCCGTTCATTCCGGTTAGTACGATCCAAACGAAAAGGTTGCTTACCATTTACCAATTTTTCGGCTCCTTCCCGGTTCCAGACTCACGCTACACAAATTCGCCCGGCCCGTTTTCTGGATTCAAACCGTAACGGATGTGGCAATTCTGCCATGAACCAGTAAATCGCTTACCATTATGCTTTCGACACCCCAACTTCCCTGGGTTCCAAAGGTTATTTTTTTCTGATCTAATTAACAATTATTCCTCGAGCCTGAATGGGCTCCGAGTCAATAGTCCATGAGGCCGAAGGCCGAATGGGCTATTGACTCAGAGGCCATGAGGGCGAGAGGAATAATTGTTTTAGTAAAATCCTACTAGTTGGTCAAAAATATCGCGAATAATAACTTTTAGCTAGTTAAAAGCTAGCCTTTAATCCTTTTTTGCCGCCAAAAAGCCCGCGCTTTTCGCTACTAGGGGGCTATAACATATAGCCTAGTAGTAGCTCAACCAAACAGAACGCACCGTTGATAATAGACCACTAGTTGGATTTTACTAATTCCTGATAGTTCGAGGTGAGGCCGTGACCCTGGGTATTTTGAGAACGGACCTCTGGAGCCAGGGTACACCCCAACCGGATTTTTCTGTCAAATGGTTAGCACCTCAGGAATCTGGAATCCAGAAAAATACTACGACGAACGCCGACTGACTCCGAAAGTTTAGTGATAAGGGTAAGGAAGTGAGGGTATCAGGTTCCATTTAGGCAAACATTTTCGACTTTAAGGTGACTCGACCCAGTTTTTTTTTTTTTTTGGGGGTACCATCCTACTTTGAACCTCTCTGGTATCCCCACCTTTACTTTTATCGTAAGTCTAACACATAGAATGGATAACATATAGATCAATCTACAATATAACATAACATTTTTGGCGATCGGAGTAAATGTCACGTGGTTATAATGCCACGCCCCTTTTGAGGTCTAAGTCGAAAATCTGCCGTTGCCGGCATTTTTTCGTGAAAATCTCTCGGATACACATAGTGCGCATTAGTGCCTTGCACTGAACACAGTTTCACCAAAATCACAAAGGCCCAATTCTAGAAATTCAGCGGTTTCCAAATTTAGGTCATAATTTATGCGAAAATGATAAGCGAACTTTACACGATTATATCTAATAAACTATGAGATTCATCCCTTTATTTTGGGCATCGTTATAACAGATGGGTCCTTGCAAGTCAGCAAAACTCTTTAAGGCCTTGTCAATGCGCGCGATTTCGAGCAAAGCAAACATGTAGAAATTATAGTTTTCTCTATTTGTTGACGTTTGTCAGCGTTTAAGAGTCCTTCTCACGAAAAAAGCATTTTCTTAAAAATTCGTAGTTTTTTTCCTTCAAATTTTTTCAGGACCACAATTGATGAACTAACTACCCGGACTCTGAATTTCATGGTCATTGAAAAACTGTGACATTATCTTCTATGAGCCCAAACAAACATTGAAGATTTTTAGAGTTTTGGCTGAGTTTGTGCTTTGGGAGTTGTCTATGGTTTCTAGTCTGTCGTTATACAGCAATCTTGTTCAGCTAGCGTGTTGGTAAAGAGGTTGGTAGTTTAAAAAGTAGTGGAATGCATTCGGGGATTTTTCCAGCCTTATTGACCAACTGCAGGCAGTGTTAGCATTGTTGTCTTCAACATTGTTTCATTTTTAAACGGATAAATAACGACGAAGCACACCACTAAAGTTTTTAGACCCAGAGTGAATTAAAAAAGAAGCTCGCATTTTTTTTACAAGTTTCTCACATTCTGTCTCCCACTTGTACTTTTTGTCGTAGGCCTCTCGGAGAGAGCAAGCTTCCTTTAGCCGGATTTCCCTTGGTGTTTCCCTCACGCGACTAATAGCTTTGCCCCATTCTTCGGCATTGTCAGAATCAACCAAAAATGCCCTTCCAAAAGGAATAGTTTTAATAGCTTTTCCGATTCCCGAATTTTCGCTCACCAAAATCGGAAGTCCAGTGGAAAGTGCTTCAAGAGCAGTGAGGCCAAAGCCTTCCGTTCGAGACGGCATAACAGCGAGATCCGCCTCGAAAAAGAAAGGCTTAAGTGTGTCGCGACTCTTAACAAAGCCCTGCACAATTAGCTGAGAAGAAGGAATGCCACATTTCAAAAATTCGTCTGTTACCTCTTTTTCTTTCCCATTTGGTGCCCCGACAAATTTTAGAAGGTAGGTTTTGTCCTTTAAGCCTGCTATAGCTTTAGCAGCTATATCGTAACCCTTTAGTTTAAAATCTTTCGAGTCACCCCGACCAAACACTAAGATGCGGAACTCTTCTCTCTCCTGACTGGCTTGCTCCGACTCTGCGAACTCCGAAAAAATTCCAGGTGTGATATTTATCACATCTTCATCTCTACCGTACAACCGAAGTTTGGCTGAGACAGCTTCCTTTAGCTTTGGTCCAACGGCCACGACCAAATCAGCTTCCTTACACAAATCTATTTCAGTTCGTTGTTTTTCCTCGCCTTCAGGAATCGCTGTTTCGCCTTCCTTAAACATTGCAAGCTCTTCACTGGCAGTGTGTACTATATGAACTCGTTTGCATTTGCGCTGTTCTGCTATGACCTGGGCTGGTACTCCGAGCTTCTGACCATGGCCTATAACGACGTCAATATTGAGATCATCAGAAGGAAAACACAATTTCATGATGCGATCAGACGTGGCCTTCACGTCTGGTGTGGCAAGACGCACATTAAATTCATGAGCTTCCCACTTCTCTTTTTCATCGTAACGTAGCAGTAGAACGGCTACCTCTACATCAGGCTGACGTGCCAGGTGCTTTGCTAGTTCTCTGTTCAGCGTAGACAAACCGCCCTTTGAGGATCCCCATTCGTCTCCCAAAAGAGTCACTTTTAAAGGTCTTCTATCAAAAGAAATTGACGCTCTGTCAGTTGTGTTGACCTACAGAAAGACAAAAGAAGTACTGCATTAAGATTGGCAAATTTAAACTTAAAAAGAGTAGGAACGATGAACATCATATGAGCTTAATTTGCCTGGACAAAATATAATTTTAGTTAATGGTTTTGCACTGTCTGTCGGAACCTCATCCCTATAAAAGTGGCGTGGCACACAGCGGCTGCAAAGACAACAAGCTAATATATTAAGTAAGAGAACTGGCAAAATTCGTTGCTTTTAATCTTTATGCTTTACAGTATTAGGAAGGAGGACCAGGAATATGAGAATTTCAAGGGCAAACAAGGAAAACTGGAAGAAAGAGAGATCTGCTACCCAGATAAGCTAATTCCTTTCCCACACGGAATATCATTTGCAAAATTATTCGTTTCCACTTTCCGAACTCTGCTCCAAATTAAAAATTTTTCCCAACGTTGATTTCGTAATACATGGTCAATTCAAGGGAGCATTAGTTATTACAAGCATATACATATACATTTCGCTTAGTTTTGAAATAGAATTATAGCGCAAACAAGAGTAGTTTTTTGTGTGCGACGCCCACAACATCAAGGCAATGGCCAGGTGCCTTTATACTGTAGGCAGCGTGGTGATGGGTTTTATACTTCACATGTACAGTGGCAATTTTCGTATGGTTTACGGCTGATAGTTTCGAAACAACCAATCATGAAATTTTGGATAATATTGAGGCCCAGCACAATACTCACAGCCTCTTTACAGGAAAAATTCTAAGGAAGTTCTTATTTTTCGCGGCTGCTGTTTGAAATAAAATTCTTTAAGATCAAATTATTTTTACAATGTACAGGAGCCCGAATCTGTTTAAATTCCTAAGCCCCAAATGACTGGCACAAAAACTTACCGCATGATCAGTGCTTTGAGTGGGAATTTTTTAGTGCAATTTACACAACGGAGTTCTCCCTGTTTGTTCTAAGGTCCTACAAAATTCTACTTGTGCTGGGTCTTTGTTTTTAAACAGACGAACTCGCAAGTCTTTCTTAAACGGTTGTTCGTCTCTTAACCTGCATAAAATGGAAAAGAATATACCCATGAAGTGATACCACAGAGCCAAAGATTCTTAACCTGAGTGAATTGAACAAAAACGACGGGGGGGGGGGTACTAGACCAATATTTGGGTATAGGTGAGTCACTGAGAGCTTGAAAACCTGACCCTGGTTAGGAAAAAAATTCCTAAAATACATACCCTGCAGTAGGACAACACCCTCAATTTTATTACCCCAACAAAGGACAAAATCAGCGCCAGAACGAAAATTCATCTAGCAAATCAAATCAATCTTGCAGGCAAAACGAAAAAATATACCCTGTGGGACAAGGAGGTCGATAACCATACCCTGTTTAGCGGCACATCCCCGAATAGGCCATAAGAGGGAGTACCCCCAGGAGAAAAAAAGCCTCATAAAATACGTTTTCATGTTTTCTTCCAACCCCACTTTACGGACACCTGCTTAATACAGACACCCCATTATTACGGGCAGTTTGCTTTGTCCCTGGGGAAAGAAATCCTTTACATTTTCTCTACATTCAACCCATTTAATGCGGACAACGGACACTTGTTTCTTGCCTAATCAACAGACTCTCACAGAAGGTTAACCTCGCTAATGCGACTGTGTGCTGTAATAAACCTTTCCTTTCAAAAGGTTAACCTTCCGTTGACAGCAAGTCGATGTTCCCAGGGCAACAGTTCCCCGGATTGGATGAATTTAAGACGACAATTTTAGGTGTTTTTGGCATCGAACAAGATATGCAGAGAACGGTTTTTGATTAAGTAATGTATAAATGAGCGACTTTTAAGTGCTTCCCTTAACATAGTCCGCGGAATGACGGCTTCGTGAAAGTTAGGAGATGTTTAAAAATTTGATTTGTGTTTTATGTGTTGCACGCAATGTGGTTTTTATATAGACTTACATGAGATAAAGATCCTTCATGTCTTCCTCATTAAATGGGCTTATTCCCTCTGATACATGTACGAATGCTCTGTCATGCCCAGGAATCATGTCTATGTCTGAACTTCCATAAATAGGCGTTATTTCTTTTTCTTCAAGATCGCCTATCACTTTTCCTGTTAGGTGAGAAGGGCAGCAAATAAGGCACAAAATGTCTCGAAAATCCTGACGAAAGTAAGCGACGAAGTCTGCTTGTTTGGGCTGGTAAAAAATTCGAAGCGTCAGTTCAGTAATGCTGGAGTATGCTTTTCTCAGAACCAGAAAAGGGAAATACCTAAAATAATAATAAAAAAGGTTAGTGGCACTGCGTTGATAAGGATTCTTGAAATGGCAGAAGAGAATGCCGCGCCCCAGTCGCCAACCGCTATAATAGGGAGCTCAGTTAAGCAACGAAGACGGCGACAGTAACGAGAAAGTCAAAAACAAGCACTGAAGAGGTTTAGATTAGCAAAACAAAAGCTTTGCACGTGAACAACGTTTTTTTTGCACAATTCTTTGCCGTTACTGTACAACTGCCTAACTTCACGTTTTGTGGAGGACGTGAACACAACACATTAGGGCCATTTATACGAAGAAAAATAAGACGCGTCTTATCTTAAATAAGACCATTTATACGAGCATGTCTTATCTAAGACGAGAACAGCTCGTATAAATGGTTCGCGTCTTATTTCTGTTCTTGACTCGTTTTCATGTAAATGTTGCCCGTAACAACGACAATCCAACGTGGCGCGCCAAAAATTAACGCATGCGTACTATGCGTTCGAGTCTTATGTAAGACGCGAAGGTCATTTATACGACGTTTTTCTCGTCTTAGCTAAGACGCGTCTTATCTAAGAACATATGTTAAGGGCTGTTCTAAAATAAGACGCGTCTTATTTTAGACGAAATGTGCCGTTTATACGGAAAGTTCGCGTCATATTTAAGACGAGTCCTATGTAAGACGCGTCCATAGGCGTACGGGCAATTTTTTGCCAGGGGGGGCGGTAATCCATTTGCCCAAAAAATTGTTGCAAGTTGCCCAAATTTTTACAAAACAGTCGAAAGGAAACTAGTGCCATGCAACAAAATAGGCCGTACTGGCATATGAAAGTGGCTCGATAAAGTTTTTCAGAGTCAATACCTGCCAAGTTTGAACATAAACTACGTCGCCACAAACGAGCATTTGGAAAAAATTGCCACCACAGTTGCATTAGATAAAGAGGGAAATTTGTCATGATCAGGATTGCAATGACATCGGAGCTGTCATAGCAACGACATGACGCCATTACCTATTATACTTGCAGCAATATTTCTCACTGGGAACTGTTCTTACAAAATCTTTCAGGGGAGCTCTTTCCTCCAATAGTCGCCTCAATGTTCGTGAAGTTAAAACGGAACTGTAAGAGCGTTATCGAGATATTTTGGGATGAAGTTTTTATTGTTAGAAATAAGGTAAAAAGGGAAAATGTTGATGTTTAGTCGTAATCTGAAGAAAACGGAGCGCTTTTGACATGCAATTTCACCTCACAGTAGTTTCAATCTTATTAAAAACGTGTTTGAAAGATCATGGAGATAGCTCCTGCCAATTGCTATAAGGAAGGATTTGATTAGCGCTCGATCTTGTTAGGGGTTTCGTAAACATTTCGGTCTACTTAAAAAAATTATTGAATAATTTTTAAACCCCTCGATAGATTTTTTTAAGAAAATTATGATTCTTCTCGTAATTCAAACTGAGAATTAGTCAGCCACTTCACTTTCAGACCCATTGCTGATGCGTGTTCTGCCACACACTGTTCTAGGAGCGGAGGTGATTCTCGAAAGTTATGCGGAAGTTTATTCTAATCAATTCATGACTGGAAATAGCCCACTCCAGCTAGTACAGTGAAGTATAGTGCCCAACAAAGCAAAAAATCAGCATATGATACCCTTCCTTTATAACCAGAAACTCATCACGTGCTAGGCAAACACTGTCTCGTGTGAACGTAACTGAATTATTACGCCGACCTCTGGTTAAAATAGAAAATATTTATCTCTTCAAAATAATAATAATAATAATAAAACATGGAAACGTCTTTAAAAACTGGCTTTGCCCAAATTTTCTCTTGCTGCCCAAAAAATCTGAGTTGCCCAAACTTTGGTGGGGCTGCAGCCCCCCTCGCCCCCCCGGCCCGTACGCCTATGGACGCGTCTTATTTTTCCTCGTATAAATGGCCCTAATGACTTCCTTTTCCTTTTCCTGAACTTTCATACAGCCGTCTTTTAGAATCTAACGAATTTTAACGCGACGTGTTCGTAGCCGCCACCGTCGTCGTTGTTTAAGCTCCCTTTTAATTCAACAAGAGAGTGATCAAGCACATTGTAGCCTGATATAATATAGGTCCAGTCACTGTTAAAAAACTGAGCCATGTAGCATAAGGTTCCTGTGCATAACGGAAAGACTTGGAACTATATTCTCGTGTAAAAGTGTTTAGTAGCCACCACAGAAAAACAAAAAAAAAGCATCGCAGTTTAAACATTTTCTCCCAGGTCACTTACATACTTTAAAGCGAATTAAAACCATCGAGTTTATCAAAGGAACCCAAACAATTTATTTTAATGCCTTTAAATTTTCTCTTCTGGCAAAGTAATAATTCGTAAATTCAATGACAGGGATGATAGATTAAAATGCTGACAGTGAGTTATTTAAAGTAGTCCAACAAACCATTTATCTACCTTCTTCCTTAGTCTTACCATGAGAATCGCTCCACGTAGATGTTTACAAAATCTCCATCAAAACTTGCAGGTTTTACAAGATCATCAGTGATATCAATCCATTCTTTCTGTTCATCATCAGAATTCCGGAACAATACTCTGACGCGACACGTTGTGGGATCTTGATTAAAGACTTGTTGCCCTCGAAGACAAATTGGTAATTGAATGGTGACAGGTTTCAAGAACTGAACAGCTTCAAAGCAGTTGACTCGCAGTACAGGACCAAGAAATACATCTTCCCTTACAAATTCTTTATTGGGAACTTCTTGTACCTGTACCGTTAGAAACAATAATCACTAGCTGTAAATTTAACTAATTTTTTTTCAAAGCCCAGAATTGACGTGGGACTAAGACGACCGAACAACTCAAGCGACAAAGATCTCACCAAACGAGCATTAATCGGCCAGTCAGTTAGCTCATCGAGCCGCCAGACCCTAGGTTTTCCTCCTCAAGAAGTCAGTTAACTTCTAAAATTTGTCGCTAGTTTGGCCCTCATATTCATGCTTCAGCACAGCTTTGCAACTCCGCTACAATAAAACGGAAGTACAAGATGAAACGAACCTTTAACTCCAAAGGACATTTCGCGTTAGAAGCAACAGCATTCTCAGGGATTGTAACTGTCACGCCTGGATAGTCAGGATGGCTGAATGAACCGCCTTTGGATGTGATGGTGTAAGTTGGAGAAGCCTTGAGACGACAAACTACCGTGTACGTTGAGCACTCAGTTATGTCAGCCTGGGCAAGCGGAAAATATACGCTCGGTATTTCTATGTGAGAAGGATAAACATCCTCGATCTCTGTAATAAGATCAGATACTAATTAAAATACAACTTTGGTGTCTCCCCATCTCCGCCGCCCCGCCCCCCTCCCCCCTGCCTCTCTCTCTCTTCCCGCTCAGGAAACTAATTAGACCTTCAGGTTGAAAGAGGAAATCCACAATACTAAATCCCTATCTCTCAAAGGGAAAAGGGCCAACTTATACGACACAGCATTGTAGATACGTAGACCTCATCCATCTCACTAAAATAAGGTCTGTGAAATATAAATCAATGATCGACATAACAATCTGCTACAGTTTCCTTTAAGGAAAATCATGCAAGGTTCGAGTTTTCGAGAGATAGGAAAAATGAAGGAAAAATGGGAAATTAGTACGTCTTTCTTTCTCGCAATGTGTTTTTTTTTTCTTTTCCGCTTATGTTCATTAGCGCAGTGTGTCTGTTGTTGTTTTTTAAAATGACCAAAAAACAAACTAAGTATTTACAATAGGGTTAGATGTATCCTAGCCTGAATGCGAAGGAGGAAAATGACTTCAAGTTACCGAGAGGTTAAAAGTAGCAGGAGTTCGAGTTATTCAGATAAAATTACAGCAAGAAGTATGGAGTCAATCCAGGGAATTCTTCACTTTTGGGTTGGATTTAGCACGAGCTTCGAGTTACCGACGCGGTTCGAGTTTCAGCTAGTCAACTGTATATGGAATAATTTTCTACACCTTGTCGACACCGCACGTTCCTGGTTCCATCCAGATCTTCCCATTCATTATTCTCCTTGTCAATCAGCCTTTTTATCACCAGCTCATAGCCAAGTAGGTCCGGCGCACTGTGAGATAGCGACAACTTTACCTTGGTGTTAAATTTCTGACCTTGGCCACTGATAGAAGATAGTTCAATAACATTACTAGTAATGGCCTCATGCTTCTGCAAAGGGGGCGAACAGGCACTCTATTTCCACCTGTGGACCACTAATGGCGTAGGCTCATATACAGCATCGGGAGGAAACATCACGAGAACACCCTCTTGTTTAACGGCCCATCGCCAGTTAGTACCTTCACTTGATACTGTTCCTCTGCAATCAATTAGAGTGTCAGTAGTTGGTTGGTTTCAATACGTTGTCTATTGGAAAAAAACTGAATGGACAGGACACTAAATAGTGACCGGGGCCCATGCACGCTATAGGCTAGATTGCGACGATTAGAGACTTCATGACACAGTCTAACATCCACTAACGGTCACTTTTTTGTTCCGGTGGACAGTACCTACAGTACATACCTTGTTTAAACCTCTCTATAACGGCAATGGCCACTAAAGCCTGTCCCCAACTGCCAAGATAATCTCTCGACAAAGTCCAGTTTTTTCAGCGACTGATAAAAAAGTCCAGAATGATTATGAAATTTGATCCCTATGGCGCGTTGCATGATTAATCGCGGCGATTGTATTTTGATTGTGTTCCATTTTTACTGCTGCAGTAAGCATAAATATTAATGGTCTACGATACTTTTAGCAAATGTTGGGAACCTTGTCGATTGATTGTCGCTTTAAAATTTTGATTCAAAACATTTTATCTCTGTATATTATATATGATTGGATTACCATTATGGGATAAAGTAAGCATGAACTTAGCACAATACTGTCTAAAATAAATTTTTCACCCCATAACGGCCACCTCTCCACAACTGCCCCGTTCTTCTGTCCCCAAGGTGGTCGTTGTGGAAGGTTCGACTGCACCTGCTAGCGGCTGGTGAGTGTGAGTCCTCTTTTCTTTCTTTCTTTCTTTACCTTTTTTTCTCATAACGACAACATTTTTAGGGACGCCATTTTTAAGGGAGGTAGTGTGACCGAGCGGTTAGTAATCATGTTCAATTCTATCGACTTGATATGAGTGGGAAAATACGTTTAAATAATTATTGTCGACTCGACGAATTATCAATTGTTGAGTGCAAAAATGATACTTACCCGAATACAGTTACGTAACCACCTTCGACTTCAGTTTCGTCCTCAGACCCAACTCCAACCTCTTCCTCAGACACTACTTCCAAAACTTCCCCTAACACTTCTGTGGCCACTGCCTCAGATTCTTCTACCTGAGTGGCTCCTGAAGATATCGCTTCAATGTCTTCATCAACTTCAAATGTCTTCATCAACTTCAAATTCCTCTTCCTCTTCACTACCACTCTTAGGGGTTTGTTCGGGTGAAGGTTTTTTTTCTGTTCTAAGGACTTGCGGCGTCAACTCTTGAATGACTAGGTTAAAACAAGGCCATAACTATGGCAAATATAATATATAAAATTATCGGAGTGGCATCAAGTACCTAGCTCCCTTTGAACAAAAACCGTTTACGAATATCAAACCTAAAAGCAGTGTTTGCGCTTAATTAAAAAGTAACACGACGACAACTGCATGTCGAACGTCAAAAAAGAACAACATCGACAGGTTAAGTAAGCAAAACAACTTCTCTGATACAGACCATTTTTGTCCATGTTTCTAGCAGTTTTTTTTAAAAGAAGGAAAAATATGACATACGCTACCTTTTTGAATTAGCCCGGGACCTGCTTCCTTTTCCTTCTTCAAAGCCTAACAAAAGTACGTCAAGCAAAACAGATAAATGTCGAGTTATGAAGCATTGAAGCATACAGCCTTATAACAATGTAACAGACTTATTTCAAATAGCAAACGGGCGCTAAACTTTTGTTGTTGCTTTCACCACTTTCTAAGTTTAACGTTTCTGACCTGCTTTTTGTCAAAAGAGTCATAATGCAATTTTTTCAAAAACTTTCCAAGTTTGCCTTTCACTATCCTACCAGAACCATGATGGTGTTACAGTAGGTCGGGAGGAACAACTCTGTCAAAGAAAAAGTCGAGAGGGGGTGTTCATCTCGACGGCCTCCAAGACCTACGACGAAGAACAAAACATATAATATGATTTATTCTAAACAAAAATGGAGTAAAACCTTGTACATCCGCAAATCAAAACAGTGGATCGGTAAAAGGTGCAAGTTCATCCAGGAAACACTAATACTTGCTGCATTACTAAACATATTTACCTGTAAGGCATCGCGGTATGCATTCTTTCTGTTACGATCTCCAATCGACGAGGCCACCTCTTTCAATTCACTCAGCAACCCCTTAACCTCAACATCCTTCATTTCACTGCGCCGACTTTCTAACAATCTATCACCAAAGGTCAAAGCTTCTTTTCCGTATCTCTTACGAAGATCTTTCATTTCAAGTTCTTCGCAGAGCTTAAGTATGCCATTGATTATTCTCCATCTGGCCAACAACTTTTCGCTTGACTCCTCTTTGCCTTTTCCTTCTTCCCACTGCCTTTGCCAGGTTGTCAAGAGGTTTTCTCGAAAACCTTTAATACTTCCTTTCTCTCCGAAGTCTTCATACAAAGTTTCTACGACTTTCCTCAGCGTTGATTTCTCCTGTGTCTTCTCGCCAACAAAGTCAGACCTGACAAGGACTTTCTTAAACAGCGCCATCTTCCCCTGTTTGTGCTTACGAAGTTTGTCATGCTTATCGTGCCGACTACAGAATTCAATTAACTTGTCCAAGAAGGCAGTTCGCTCTCTCACCAGTTCATTAAGCAGTTTATTGTCTGTGGCCCCGTCAAATTCATTGTTAAAGCTTTCCTCGGTAATTCCTTGCATTCCATCATAGAACCAAAGAGCTTCTCTTTCGTACTTGTCTATGAGAGCTTTTTCTTTCTTATCTGTCAATCCAAACATACTGGTTCTTTTCTCCAGTAGATATAGTATGGCATCAATAATCTCCTTATTGTAAGGAGTAAAGTTAAACTGTGGAGAAGCTTTCTTTTCTTTCCAGAAACGCTCACAAAACGCCAAAGCGTCTTGCCTAAACTCTTCTTTTTCTTTTTCGGCACCTTTCTTCTTTAGGAATTTATGCATATCAAAGACGCCTTTGATAATGTTTCTCCAAACCGCACTTTGGTTCCCAGCACCCAATAATTTCTCCATTTTCCAAGCTTTTAAGAAAAAGTCCAAGGATTTGTCATAAGTCTCTAAGTTTGCTTGAATAACTCCCAGTTGAAAAATGCTTCGCACAGTATCCGGGTGATTTCCAAGAATTTTAAGTCTGATTTTAAACGCCTTCTCTGCCTCCTCTTCGGCTTCTTTGTACTTTTCTAGGCGAACGTAAACATTGGCGAGATTTCTACGAAACAGTGCTTCATCTTCATATCCCAAAAATTTGAACTCTTCTAAAAGTTCAAGAGCATCTTTGTAGCATTTCACTGCCTCTTCATACTCTCCTTTGTCCTCATGAACTGTGCCAATCTGATTCTTGTAAACGGGCATGTCGTAGTGATAATCAGAGCCGGATAATTCTTCTCGCATTTTAAGTGCCTTGTTGTAGAACTCAAGAGCTTTCTCCGGTCTGCCAAGCCCGTAATAACAATTGCCTAGAGCGTTGTAACACCTCGCAACATTGGTGTCAAGTTTTAACGGACCCTCCATGTGGTCTAAAGAGGACTCTAAACATTTAATGGCTTTCTGGTAGTCTCTGTTTTGGTAGTAGATTTCTCCCTGAAAATATAAGTAGAGCCCTTGGGTCAGCTTGAAAGATTCGGTAGATTTGTCATCAACTTGTTTTAATGACGTGGATGCCTTTTCCAACACTTCAAAAGCTTTCTGAGTACCCTGAGCTTTAAAGACCAGTCTAGCTTCCCAGCATTGTAGCTGGGCACAAAATAAAGAACCTGCAAAAAACGGACGCATTAAAATTATCAAATTTGTTGACTTTGGGACGTTGAATCCTATGGAAACAATAAAAACACAGTGATAAAAGATCATTTCTCCATACAATTATTATACCAAGCTCAAAGATTTGAAGAATTTCAACATCACATTTTAAATGAAATTAAATTCTGTGGAGTCACCATCACTGGTGTAACAGAAACTCGTATAATATGTGAGGGGGATTTCAATCGTATACCTCAGCTAGCAGGATAGTGTTTTGAACCAGTCCTGAAGCCTCTATCCGCTTGGAGTGTTGGCCGGTTCATAGATCAAAATTGTAATACTGCGCTCAGCAAACGAGTCTCTAATTCTTATTATCAAGGCCTTTGGAACGAATTTCAACTGCCTAACAACATGAAATCTAAAAGTGGTGTCACTTACAGGCAACACATTAACGCTAACATGTTCTTAGAATGCTTGTCTTGAATGTCTAAGCCATAAAATCAAAATATTCATCTAACGGGAGACTTCAACATGGATCAGTCAAAATCCAAAATGTTTACTGCCAGAGCTACACCTTGCTGCAGATGGTGCAAAGTTTCTCAATGCTCCCAGTTGTTGATAACCCAAAAAGAGTATAAGGTAACTTAGCAACTTGAATGGAAGAAGATATTCATAAATAATGTCAATAATAATTATAAAGTCTCCGACATAACAAATCAACTCTCTCAAACATGCATTGTGAGGTGCATTGTAAATCATTCTTCCTAAAACATACCCCAAAATATGGACAATGGATAATTTTCATGAAGTGTTTTCACTGATCTAAGGAAGCTTTTGACACTGTTAACCATGAGATTCTGTTAAAGAAGTAATCACCTCCTGGTTCAGATCGTTTCTAACTGACCAAAAACAAACTATGCAAGTCAATACTGAACATGTCTGAAGCTGAGACTATCCTGTGCAGCATGCTGTAAGACTCAGTCCTCGGGTCACTCCTTTCCCACTTTACATCAACGATATTTAAAAGTCCTCTTCACCATTTGCCCCTTATCTATTTGCTGACAAACCAGTCTAATATTTCCAAACAACAATCTGCAGGAGAAACTCGAACCACTTGTGAATCGTGATCTTTCACCTTCAACAAAGAAAACAAAATGCACTTTGTTCCTTGGATCAGAATTCTTGACTTGCAATGAAAGATTTTGTTAAATATCTCGCAGTGTAATGACTGATTCAAATCTTTCATAGAAATATAATAAATCGAAGCTATCTGCCGCAAAATCAGCAAGTCGATGGAAATTACTGCTAACATTCGACCCTAAACTCGGTGGAAATAATCGGACAGAAGATAATTTGACAGTTTAGACCAATTTTGGTTACGATCATGACTTCATATTTTGACAGATTCGATTTTAGGGGGTCCCAAAGAACAACTTTATGAGCAAACAACATCTAATCCGGCCTTTACAGAGATACAACAACCCATCACTTATCTCCTAGATTCTCGTCTGGAGCAAAAGTCTTAGGTCACGTATCACACTCTACAGAGCTTGTATGTATGTGTTTGGCTTGTCAACACTTTGACTTCAACATCGCCGATTGCGTGTGATCTCCAGCTGATATTTGAAAACAATGGGAAAGGAATAATTTGTCTTTCGGTTCAGCAGACGTTTGTGGGGCAGGAACGCGTGACGAACCCCTAAGAACGTCTGCATGGGAGGCTACTTCAACTGGGGCCACCTAAGAACTTTCAGCCAATCAGAGACCATTTCTATAACAAAACTGTTGTGTTTGAAAAACAGTTTGTTGTGTTTGCAAATATCAGTCACCATACAGATTTCACTTAAATACTGGACAAACAGCAACGTGCAATCACTCAAGAACTTGGAAGCAGAGGAAAGTTAAAGAAATACAGAGTGCAAATAAAATGTCTGGCAACACCATATTGAGAATGCTTTCCCATCCCACGATCGAGAAACTTGCCCATTTTTGTTTCTCTTGTTGCTAAAATATCTCTCCAGGGATGCAAGAAAAAATGTTTTTTACAGCAAGCGAAAAGTTTAGGAGTAATAATATTATTAGCGCTATCTTTGAATTACGTGATAGGTTATAAGGTTTGAATTCCCCTTCAGCCGAAGAGGGAAATTGGGATTACTCCATGTCTTCTCGATAAAAACAGGGCCCTGCACTAGCCCAGCCGTTGATATTCTTTCTTGTTGAATGCAAATGTTTCTGTTAAAGAAAGACTTATCCTTCCTTTCTTTTTACAAATGAAGTTTCTGGACCCAGATCTAGAATGATGACTGTCTAGTTGTAGGAAGAAGAAAATCGGTTGAGCAGTAAAGAACACAGTGCGATATTTTGAAACAATGTCTTGTAACCAGAATGCTTTTCCCCCAAAGATACAAAGCTTTTTTATACCCCTTATCGAGCAATATTACTTATAGCCAGTCCTTTAATATGTAAGCAGCTTGTATATTTTAGAAAAAGCAGCCACACAAGAAAGACGAGTAAGTGTATATGACACACCATTCTAGATGGCGAAAACATTTATAATCGAAACTAACCAATCGAAAAATTATATAGGACAGTTCCCGCTGAGGCCCGCACGCCTAATTCTTTGTTAAAAGAGCGGTTTCTGATTGGTTGAAAGTCCTAAGGTGGCCCCGGTTGAAGACGTCACACTGTAATAATAATTCTTTTAAGACTCATTATGGTACAGTACAATGTAAATTCTAACTAAGTTTAAAAAAATTTTGCATACCTAACTTTCTGTCATTTGGGCACATCTCTGCCCAGGAATGGAACACCTCAATCGTTTTCTTTTCAGCTAATACAGCATTAAAAAGGGATACAATCAATGTAAGTTCATGGTATCCACCAGGAACACTGAAGTACTCTGGGAGCAAGGAGATGTCAATTGCAAACTCAAAGTTTGGACAATCTCTTTGAAACGCATTGAATGCTTTGATGTCGCTGGTCTTCATTAATCCAGCAATTTGTTTCATCTTTGACATGAATTGCTCGTAAAATCTGCCCTTGGCTTCAGTGTAAGAGTCACAGAACATGTCATCATTTTTAATGCTTTCAGCATACTTTCTTAAAAGTGGATGAATGTCATACATCAACTGCTTGGCATCTTCGTCAATTACGTGAATAATTTCATTGGTTACTAGTCCTTCAAGCTGTGCCACTGCTTCGGACATGCTAACACCAAGAATTTTGGCAGCAGTGGAAGCAGTGAAGGGCCCATGAAACAAGGATACTGATACAGCAGAAACCCTCAAAGTGCCAGATGGTAGGGTATAGAACATTTCTCTTATCACTGATATTTGCTCATCATCAATGCCTTCTTCTTCAGAATTAAAAGGTTTTTCTTCTGTATCCTCTTCATATTTTGATTTCACAGGAACTCCAGCTTCCTCTTCAGAGTTCATTTCTATCTCATCAATCAGATCACTGGGAGATTTTCTCCTTTGTTTCAAAATTGCAGATATTCCTTTCAACAGCAACGGGACTCCTTTGCAGAAGTCAAGAAGCTTCTTCTTCTGCTGTGCCTCAACATGAAATGTTTCTGTGGGTACCAAGATTTTCTCTGAAAAATTATCTGTAAGAGGTTTCAACTCAAAATTAGACAGCAACACCGGTACCTTCTCTGAATTATTCAGTTGAGTCCTTGAGGTCAGAAGCACGCTTAATGAACCTTTCTTGCCATCAAACTCTGACAGCTTTCCCAGGAAGTCTAAAAATTCAGTTCTTAAGTCTTCGCCCTCCTTTCCCTTTCCTTTAGTGAAATGATCCACATTGTCAAGAACTAAAAGAACAGAAGGACCTTTGCTTGTCACTTTCAACAGGTCATCAATTCTTCCAACAACAGTACTCACATCTAAACGAACGTTGTGGATGTTTAGGTTAAGTTTACCCATGATGTTCAGATAAACTGCCGTCATGTCTTTAGCTTCTCTTAAATCAAAGACAGATTTCTTCCCCGCCCATTTATCACAAATCTTCTTGGCAAGAGTTGTCTTTCCCACTCCAGCGGATCCATACAAATTAACAACGAAAGGCTTCATTTTAAGTTTTTCCGTAATCTCCTTGAACTCCTCAATTCTTCCGTGTAATTCCTTTTCCGGCTCAGGCTGCAATGGGTGGGAGGTCTCAAAGTCTTCAACTCTTTTGTTAATGTCCTGCTCATTGTTTGATCTTGTAGCAATGAACTCCTTGATTAGAGTCAGTTTTTTACTCGATATATAACCGAACTTACACAAACGATCCAAACATGACAACAAATCTTGATTTCCCAAGGATTTAAATTGCTCTCCATAAATTCGTTTTGAAGACTTCACGACATCCTCTGATTCAGCTGGAGAAAACTTCGAGGATATGTCCCTAAAAAGTTGATTTAGTTCAGATGGGCTTTCCACCAAAGTGGACGCCATCTTTGATTGCACCGCTGGCCAAAAGAAAGCCGGAAGTACTTAGTCTTCCGCGGCTGGAATAGTCACGCGAACCTCACCTCTAGTCACGCATATTTCATAAAGACCTTGCACAGGGTAAGTTTAACCTAGTTGTTTTGGGGACGGATGTCTGGAACCGGAATAAGCAAACCCCAAATTCCAGTCATCGTGTTAAACCATTCTCTGTTCCAAAACAAAGCAAGAAAAACGGTACACTGAACCCCAGGCAAACGACACGAAAACTAGCGATCTCCTTCCCGTCTCCCCTCGCCCCCACTAAAAAAGTCGATAATGGCAATTAAAAATAACAGTATCAAGGGTACAATTATTTTCATGGAAGAATTTAGAATAGCTCGATAGAAGTGGTTAGGGCTTTTAATAGCCTTTCCCACCCATACCCTGACAGGGGGGGGGGGGGGTGTCAAGGTCAGGTTCCCCTACCCCCCCTTAGTAATATAAAGTCTGAAGATGGAGATTCAACTCCCTCGACGGGTATTTATGGGACAGGTAGGTATGTGTCCGTCTTAGAGTGATGTCCTTACTTCGTGAGAGTCAACTAAAAGGAGTAAAGAAAGGCAGGTACCATTTCGAAGGGTCCTTCTTTTAGCCAGGGACCAGTTCCTAAAAGGCGAATTAGCGCTAGTCCAGGATTAAAAATTCATTCCGTTTTTGTATTTACCTTCCTGTGTATTGCTTAGAGTAACATTTTGTGTTATCATTACTGTATCTCAGGATAAAGGCTCAACAGTATTTTGTAAGCTCGAGTCGCATGTTCTTAGACACGAAAACCTTGCTTAAAATTTGGCTTAATCCTGGGTTGATCTTAATCATCTTTCGAGGAAACGGGCCCTCCAGGTGTCTAGGAGAGATTTCATTGTAAACAGGTTGCTACCTGACAACATTAAAAACCCAACCAATCTCAGGAATTGCTTTTTTGTCTCCGGATAACAACCAAAGGAAAAAAAACACAACATGAAAGAAAAAAGTTTAAAAATAGAAAAATTAGATTGAGACATTTAGCCAAACCTGTTTCCGTGCGCATTGGTTTATAAACAATGACGAACTTATGGCATTATGGCAGATAACTGCAATCATAAAAACGGAAGCTGAGGCTCCTAAAAAGATGTCGGGGGTAAAGAATTTTACTTTCCATGTTCAAATTCTTCACCCACTGTCCCCTTCAAATTTTGCATTTGTGGCCAAAATACTTTGCGCCTAGAACTTTTCCAGTCCACAAAGAGGCAAGTATCAGTCCTTATTTTATCCCTTTTCAATCAAGGTATTCATATTGAACGTGTATGGACTGGTGTGGAACAGTTTCCTATCACGCACGTTAGATTTAATATAATAAATACAGTACTTTATTTAAAAAAAAAAAACGTTGATGTAAACAAGATGCCCTGTACATGTAGCAAAATTAAAAGGAATCTATGAGAAAATTAAAGTATATACATAAAATATCAAAATACCTATACATATGTTAAAAACAGATATAAATAAAATAAATAAAATTTATAAAACTAATACTGTACACCTATCAGTTTCCCTGAAACACTTAACAACTACACGTTTAGAATTACGTGTAGAGAGAATAACAATTTTTCAGTTTTGAGAGTGGAGTGTCTGTGTATAGAACAATAATATTAAGAATTTTTTTTTCTTTTTTGTGAAGAGACATATTTACATTAAACATTAGAATAAGAATGTGAGGTATAGTAACTGAATTTAAGTGCTTGTCTCACTGTAACTAATACCAGGCACAACTCACAGACCTGGCTCAAAGTATACGAAAATAGAACTTTCATAACCCAAACCTCAAGAGGAAAGGGTGGAGGGTCTTATCCGACCTCTCTGTATGTTATTCTTCAATTTCTTCAATTTTATCCTTGGTTTGACTTTTCTTTTCTTTCGTTTCAAACGCATTATCATACATTACCGTACCGTAAAACGCAACAAAAGAAAACTTAAACCAAGGATAAAATTAAACCACAAAATGTACATGTATAACCGGCTACAACATAAATACCCTTAACTTGGTACACTAACATAATATAAAAGAAAAAGATACATGTATTCAAACGATTAAAGGTAAGAAGTAGATTAATGTCAATTCAGTGCATAGAAAATAGTAAAAATCTAATCGGTCAGTCAGTAGCAACAAAATTGTTGTGCTAAATCTCTACGTTTCACGCGTATGTCACACAGCGCTTTGTTCAAAACACGGTACGTGGCAGCTGAGCCCTCTCTTTCTTTCCAGACAATCAACATGGCGTAAGCTTTATCGACAATTTTGTCATTGTCTTTGTCAAATGCTTCCAACGCTGCTTTATCGAAGGTTAGCCGACGCCCAAGCTTTTTCCGATGGTCAGGGATTTTTTCCGACAGATCTTCTAGTTCATCGTCTGTTAGAATCCCTTTCTTCACTTCTCCTGCAAAAACTTAAACGAATCGACCGAAATTCAGTTAGTTGAGGTACTATTTGACTGTATTGCTCCACATAACTCTAGACCAAGGAGGAATTAATAACTGTGTGTAAGCAAGCAGACGAGCTAGGAGACCGTCTCATTGGCTTATTTCTCTCATGCATGGCATGCATGAGAGAATATAAGCCAATGATTGACCCAAGAAATTCATTTTTATGAATGCAAAAACGATAAATGATAAATTGTGGGTAAGCAGGTGCATGCCTACGGACGGAATGAATGGATGGATGGGCGGATATCTAGTTGGATGATGCAGACATTCATCAATAAATGAGGGAGAAAAGGGAGGAAAAAATATTCAAATGGAAAAGATTGAGCGAACAGATACACAAACTGACGAAAAAATAATGAACAAATCGGCCAATAATCAATTGATTAGCCACTGAATCAGCCATTTAACATATGCAAAGTCGGGAATAGATTGTCGTGAACGACATCTGTATTAGAGGTATAAGAACAATTAATTTTTACTTCCTTTCCTTGGGAATTCCAGGGGCACCCAACGTCAATTTTCGGAAAATATCTGTTCGGAAGACGATTTGAGATCTAGAATTTTCGGAACATTTGTTGTAAAATTTCTTGCTTGTCTGTCTCTCCTAGGATTTTCGAACATCTACAAAATGGTATTATTGCCCATTTTTAACGAATTTTTAACCTAAAAAGGTCACCTAGAATTTGCGGGAGCCTTTTTTCTGGCTGGAATTTTCGAAAAGGTAAGTTTTGATCGCAATTCGAATCACTAGACTTTCAGCTAGGAAATCCGAACAGATGAAAAATTTTTAGGGGATAAAAATATGCCTACATCTACCTTTTAAATACTAAAATACTTTAACAATGCTGTGTTTAAGTGGTTTTGAACTATATTCTCGTTAGGTGCCCCTGGAATTCGTTGAATTTATAATTCTACAATCGATTATCTAACATTTCTGTCCTCCAAGTTGCTTGAACTAGTACTGCATGTGACTCTCTCGGACTACTCTGCTCGCGCTCCAATCAGAACTGAAGAAAAGCGGAAAATACAATAATAAACACATAATTTATACAGCTAATTGCAAAAACCATGTCCTTGAAAGATGCTAAAAAGAAAAATGGAAAATAGAAAAAAGCCAAATACATGTAGGAATAAATTAGGCATACTAATAAACCTAAATAGGGTGCATTGATTTGTTAAATGGGCCATTTTAAAGTGTTAAAACAAGTGCAAATGTGAAAGGGTCGTTTAAAGTCTGCCACAGAGGTTTCATGCATTTAAAAGGCTGCCTTATTCACTCGGAAAATGAAAGGGTTAAAAGAAAGGTCTCCTTACACACTTACAGGATTCAAAAGGTCCAAGCATTCCATTATGTCATTGTTCACTTCTGCTTTTCCTATTCTTGTAAGCGCGATCATGAGTTTCCTAACGGTGGCATCTTCCCCTTTTTGCTGACACCAGGTTTGGAGTGTTACATAGCAGCGTTCCTCGTCATCGCTTTCTTTTTCGTCTTCTGATATATTGTTAATTGTTCCTTCTTTAAGCTCAAGTTCCCTTGCGAGTTTCTTCCACGAGGATCCCACTTTTTGTGACACTCTCTTGATCACTTCTGTTTCTTCTCCTAAGGGCACAATAACCTTCTTACGTGCTATAAAAAAGAAAAAGAAACAAAAACAAAAAAGGAAGGATTGAGAGGCATTAGTGCATGATTGCGTCGAGGAAAATGGTCAGTTTGCATCCTTCTCGTCCCCCGGAGCGAGAGACGAGGAGAGGAGAACGATAAGAATAGGAAAGGACCCTGGGAACAAGGCTGGACAGTTCGCAGGCCTCTGTAAAGCGGGGTTGACGTTAAAAGAGTATATGCGACTTGGGACACAGAAAAGTGTATGTTGTCCGTATTAACCGGTGTCCGTATTAAGTGGGGTATCTTTAAAGAAAATATTTGAGCTTTTCTTCGGGACAAACGAAACTGTGCCTGACACACGGCTTTCCGCATCAAGCGGGCGCCCGCGGAGTGGGGTTCCACTGTATGTAATTTATATGTTAATTACTTTAATTGACAAGGAACGGGGAACGGAGAAGGGGGAACGGAGAAGGGGGAATGGATCTTGGGGACTAAGCAGGTTCTAGCATTTTTGATAGGTCTGAGGTTTTAAGACCGATTGTCAAGTCCCATTTTCCATGTTCCCCCTTCTTGTCATCTATCCCCGTCCCCCTTTTTGGTAACGTCCCTTTTACTTAAGCATATAATTTCAGTCTAGCAAACTATACCTTCCAGAAGACGTTTAACTACATGCACAGATCCTTCTCCGTTCATCTCCTTCTGCACTCTCACAATGGCTTCAAAACAGCTATCTTGGTGTTCACAGTCGAGTTCTGCTAAATGCTCGAAGAAACTCTTCAATACTTGGGTAGGTGCTTGATTTCCAGACGTTAAGCGGGTAAAATGTCCTTGATATAATTCATCTGATACAAAACCTCGACACGCTGCCAGAACATATCCCACGTCAGCATCCAGTAAGTGTGCGTCATTCAAAGGCACGCCAAAAAATTCTACTGGAGTTTTCTGTAAAGAAAAGGATGCAGAATGGCCGAAACATGAGGAAATCTTCTGTTAACAGCATTCACGATACAATAGTGTGCTTATTACCCAACACGTTGAGAAATAAGTGTCAAAGTGATCGTGTTCTGGTCTCAAAACTAGTTACTTTGATAGACAGCTCTTTTCGTACACCAATTTCACGGAGGATTTATATGACTGTTTTCACGCGATATAGAACAATAGTATATCAGCAGGTACACGAACGAGTCTTTGTAGACATGATTGGAGAAACCTAACTTTAAGAATCAGCATTCCTTTAGCCTAGTCAGAAAAGATTTGAGTAGCGTGCGTAGAAAGCGCCGGATTATTTTGGGCGAAAGGAGAAACATTGTGTGTACTAACCAGCGCCTGGCCACGTAGGCTAATTTTTGAGGTTTACTTGAGTTCTAAACTGTCAAAGCGGTAAAGGCAACAATAAAGAAATGCTTCTGAACTGAGTTCTTCGAGGTCCACGGATAAGCTCTAATCTTATCCTCGTTCCCAGGGTCCTCGTAGCACTCAGGAGACCGATTCAGTAGGAGAGGACCCTGGGAAAGAGATTGCTCTAATCCTCAGTCAACTGCAACTGCCGCAAACAGAGAAGTACCATATTAGTTGTCATAGTAACAAAACCCGTAATTTGCGCTAATGCCTGTTGGTGGGACTTACCGTGCGATCAACTTTCAATGGAGACAACCTAAAGTCTAGTCTAGACAGAAGGTTTCTCGCTGCAGGATCCGGGCTGCTGCGAAATTCCACATGGGATAGAACTTGGTCGCTTATCAAACGAACTTGGAGATGACAGCTGTAGCAGAGGTCACTTTCAAACCTAAAAACATATGAATATAAAAGATAATTCACACCCTACAGTGGGACAAGTTGAGAAGGCTGAGCCCCCCCATCCCCCATCTAATTCTTGCTTTGATCAGTGGCGCCTGCTATGTCATACTCATCAAATTTTATTAAAGAATTCAGATTTGTGAAACAAGTGTAAATTTACTTAATATCTATGCTTAACTTTTTCAAAAACCAAACACTTTAATGCTTTTGGTCGTGTTTTTCTCTGTAGGAACCAAAACAAAAGTCTGTTTAAAAATGGCTAGAACCCGATCCTTGAATCTTGATCTTGTTGCTAGGGAACAAGGCAACAACCCTGAGACGTTACATGTTCTAACTCTTAAACCAACTTATTTTGACACGATTGGGTGACAAGTTGCAAGAAAAGATGCCTGGTGAGAAACTGCGTCATGTAACTTACTTCAGGTGAAAATCGTCCACGTTTTCTTCATCAAGTGCACTAATCCCTCCAGACACAAATACAAATGCTTTGTCACGCCCAGGTATCATCTTCTTCCGTGAATATCCCTCACTCAGAACCACGTTTCTTTTGTCCAGCCTTTGTATTATTCCTTCTCTCAAGTGAGCCGGACAGCAAATAAGATGGAGAACATCTTGAGAATGGGCACGATCCTGTTTCTCAAAGTAAGCGAAGAAAACTGCTGGAATTGGCGGAGTCCAAATAAGGCTTGACATGTAACTAATTAGTCCGGAAAAGCTGAAGTCCGCTTTGCTCCATACAATTCCGCAAGCGTATCTAAAGACAAGACAATAACCAAAATTACGTAATGACTACACTGGTTAAGATACCTGTTGACACCAAGGGAAAAAATATACCCCGTGGAATTATGGGAATAATATGACGGTCATTCACACATTATGACGTAATGCATTACAAGATTTAACTACAGCAAGACGTTATTATTATTGACCCAGTTAAAATGGCCTTCTTTACACTACAAAAGCGCAAATAAACATTAACTACACTATGAAGGTAATATATCTACATGCAAAGAAAGAAACAAACAAACAAATAAACAAACAAAAACAAAGAACCTTTAAAGGTATAGAGGTTCGAAGAGCAATATTACGCTCGTCGCGAATCAACGAACGTTTAAAAGCCTTAACACTGAAACTTGCATATAACATTTAAATATAAGTTCATGATCAGTTCACAAGAAATATTTTTCATTTCAAATGAGAAAAACAATATATGAATTTCCTCTCACCTAGAGAAGCGTTCAACCTGGAACGAAACAAATTTGCCGTCAAAATTTACAGGACTTCTAAGGTCATCTGTGATTTCCATCGATTTTTTATCTTCGCCATCAGAATTTAAGAACAATACTCTGCCACGACACGTCGAGGGGTCAGGAGTTTCTTTCTGGTCGCTTCGTAGAGACACCGGCAACTGTATTGTGACGGGCTTCAAGAACTCGTCAAATTGATTGCAGATTATACGCAGTATAGGGCTAAGAATCAAGTCCTGCCCTTCAAATTCTTCACTTGGAACTTCTTGCACCTGAAGTAATAAAAATGGCAGAACTACATGAACTTAAATCGCATGTTAATGTTAATTTCTGAAAATTTGGCTAGAGTTGTCCTTACGCCACATCTAAACTAGTAAAACTAGTAAAAACCAGATTACTTTGTGTCAGTCAAGCAGAAATAATAATTTTAGCATCTAAAGGAACAGCAAAAGGTACTCTGCATTCTAGCACTTTTGTTGAGCCTGGAGAATTCGAAAACACCTCACGCATAAGTCTGCATATCATCGTAGAAACAAACAACACAAACATTTCCTTACCAACAGCTTAATATTCAATCGACTGACAATTTGCTTACCTTAAATTCCAAAGCAAACTTTCCTTTGGGAGGAACAGCCTTCTTGGGGACTTCTATATTCACCCCTGGATAGTCTGGGTGACTGAATGAGCCACCTCTAGATGTGATGGTGTAAGTTGGAGAAGGCTTGAGACGACAAACAACTGCGTATGTTGAGCACTCAGTTATGTCAGCTTGAGCAATAGGAAAGGAAAAGTCTGAGGTGTCATGGTGAGAAGGGAAGTCATCTTCGATGTCTGTAAACATGATATATGAAAAACAAACGACATATGAATATAGTGCCAGTGTTTATCATTATCATTTATTAATTATTATTAAATCAATGATAAAAGATCTGGGTAGCGACACGTCATCAGTATGAAATTTCTGCAGTCGTTCTTCAGACATTGTTTCGCGGGGGAAATGTTGGCTGTTTTATCATTCTACTATTCAAAGAGCAAATGTTTGAAAACCTTGCCAGCACCGCAAGTCCTCAGTTCCATCCACTTCTTCCCATTCATTGCTTTCCTGGTCGATCAGCTTCTTAATCACCAGTTCGTAGCCCTGTAAACAAGGGGCACTGTGAGAGAGAACTAACTTCGCTTCAGCGTCGAATTCTAATTCATGGCCAGTGATGGTCGAAATCTCAAGAACATTGCTGACAACTGCCTCGTGCTCTTGCAGTGGGGGCGAACGTGCACTGCATTTCCATCGATGGACCACTATAGGTGTGGGCTCAGACACGGCGTTAGGAAGGAAGAAAATGTGGGCGTCCCCTCGTTTGAGGGGCCAGTGGGTACCTTCACTAGTAAGCGTTCCTCTGCAATCAATCAATTAATAAATCAATTAATTAATCAGTCAACCAATCAATCAAACCACCAATCAATTAGCGGACCTTCTTGTCGTTTTGCATGTAAAGCTTCCCAAGAGCACAAACGGGTTAAAGGAAACCTGATAAGTGGTTTTCTGTTTAAAAAAATACGAACTCATAGAATAGCTTGCGTAGGATGGTTATACCCACAATCCTAGTTGGAAAACATAATGCTTTCGGTGAACTGATTGTTTCAAATTTGGAAGCTGTGCTGTGTGCTAATACTATCAAAGCCCTATGTATAACTTCTAACAAAACCGAGTTCCCTTAGAGAAATTTCTCTGCAGGCAGGGAAAAGAAATGAATTGGCATGAATAATCGGAGCGGGGATTTCTTTATGCTAGTGTGCTCTTACAGTGGGCTACAGGAACAGTAGTATACATACTCGTGTATTTTTACTTTGTCCAAGTCTGATTCATCCACGCCTTCCACTTGTCCCTCCAGGCTAAGTTCATGAATTTGTTGTAGCAATTCGTGTTCTTCTATAATCATCGCACCACCATCATCGCCATCATCATTGCTACCGCTATCGTCGTTTTCATTAAAATCATCATCTACACTGTCATCGTCATCATCACTACTATCGTAGTCGTCATCATCATCATCATTGTCAGGAGACTTCTCTGTAAAACATCAATATGTAGAATGTTCGCGTTTAAGGCATAGAGAAAACTAATTTAAACTTTTTCAGTTAAGAACAAAAAAAAAAGATATATTCTCTTGATCACAGGTTTGGATGCGGAAGAGCCATACATATGTCGTTAAATATCCCGCAGTAACAAGCATGAAGGAGTAAGTAGTAGTTACACGTAATGCCCCAATTGCTATAAAATCTTGCAGCCGAGTCCATATCTTTGTTTCTAATTGTATTTGACAACAGAGCAATTATCTTTTAGTAAAAATTGTTAATTTTATTATTACTAATATAATAATAATAATAATAATAAATAAGTCTATTCATCGGATAAAATACATATCAGATGTTACATTGAAATGTTAAGAAGCAAGCGCAAAGTCCAGTTGTATCACAAGTAAAAAAATATAGAATTCTAAAATCTAATATTTGTACAACTAGGTTATACTTAACATTAATCTGTTACAAAAATCTATTTAAAACGTTTATTAAAGTAATATCTATAAAGCCCGGTTATATTTAAAAACTAATCTGTTAAAAACGCTATTTTTAAAACTTTCAGTATTTACACTAGGATAATGAGTCCTTATATCTATTATTATTACATAATAATAATAATAATAATAATAATAATAAAAATACCTGCTCTCACAAATGGATTAAGAAAACGCCAGGAAAAAGAAGCTCCCCGATTGGTTTCCTATTTGAAAATAAGAACACTTTATTTAGAACACTTTCTCTTTACACACGATTTATTTTTCTTAAGTGACGAAAATTAGTTGCTGACGGTGTTTTTGCTTACACTTTAGTTATAGTTGCCTATCTTACCTTTAGCAGCGTATTATACTTTTTTGTCTTCTTTTCATATCCAAGTGATGTGGCCAGGTCCTCCAGTGCGGTGAGAAAGTCAATTTTGGCTTGTTTCTCCAACTCCGAACTGGTCTTTTTCCATCTCTTTTCGTAGAATCTAAACGATTCCTTTCGATATTTCTCAAAAAGTTCCTTATTATCAGCTTCTTGACACAACCTTAACAAAGTTTGTAAGATGTGTTCTCTCTGCTCATAAAGCAGCCTCTTGTTGTCAGGGGAATTCCAGGCTCCTTCGTAAAACCAAAGAGCTTCGTTTTCATATTTTCTCCTCGTCTTTTCATCAGCCTCTTCCTTAAGCCGTTCTTCTATAGAATCGATGATTACCATGTTGGCCTGAGAGAACTGAAACCCTTCAAAACGTTTCTCCTCGTCCCATGATCTTTGATAAAACTCCAAGACTTCCTTCTGGAATGCCCTTTTTCTCTCCCCGTGAAGCATTCCCTCGTAGCTTTTAATCAGTCTGTCCCGTACTTCACTGTGGTTCCCTTGTCCCAGAGATTTCTCAATCTCCCATGCTTCTTCGTAGTATTCTTTAGCTTTATCGTAATCCCCAAGACCTCGGGAATTTTCTGCCATTTGAAAAGTGCTCCGGGCAGTCAATGGATGTTTGCCAAGGATATCTTTCCGAATTTGGTACCCGTTATAAGCAAACGGCTTCGCCTTTTCATACTCCATAAGCCATGAGTAAGCGTTAGCAATGTTTCTGTTATAAAGTGCTGTGTATAGAATCCCAGTGAGTTCAAGTTCTTTGGCAAGATCTAATGCCTCTTGATAGTATCCTAGAGCCTTGCGAAAGTTTTTTTCGGCCTGGGGTGTCATGGTTCTGTTTTTGAGGTACTCTTGAATGGCCATTGATTCATACACTGTCCCAATTTGACTTCTAAACAGAGGCAAGTCAAAGTGTTCCCTTGAACCAGAAAGCTTTTGACGCATTTCGTATGCTCTTGTGTAAAACTTAATCGCTTGCTCTGGATTTCCCAGACTGTTGTAGCAATTTCCAATGGCATTCAAACATCTACAAGTGCTTGTGTGATTATTCAATTGCTCTTCCATTATTTCCAGGGAACGCCTCAAACTTTTAAGTGCTTTTGGCCAATTTCCTGCTCGGCTGAAGACTGCGCCTTCAACAAACAAACAAGAGCTTTTCGCGATCTTGAAAAGCATGGTCTTTTTGCCATCTCTCTGCACCCTCTTCAGCAACTCCCTCGACTCTTGAACAACTTCCGCAGCCCTACGCCACCCTTCAAGTGTGAGTACCTGCAAAGCTTCCCAGCATTGCAATTCCGCTCGAAATATACTGCCTATGGAGAAAATTGAGGAGCAGAACAATCAAAACACTTTTATCTGGACCAAGAAACCAAATAGGGGTACTCTTATCTGGACCTGACGTGGACACTAAGGAGAACATGTGAAGTATGTACCGTTGTTCCAACATCTTCAGTTCTCTTAAGAGGGGCAGATCGTGTATACAAGATTTGGTGTTACTTGAAATTTAACGGAAGGGTTTGTATTAGTAAGAATCCACTAGGAGTGGCGTCGTATTGCCAAACCCTAAAACTCTCGTACATCAGGAAACACTGCGAAAAATTGCCCGGCTTGGGACGGTTAGGAAGAAGTTCGACTCTCTCTCCCTCTCTCAAAAACAGACACCTAGGGTTGGTCCTTGCCTTTCTTTACTTCTTTTAGCTTACAATCTATGATATAAAACGAACACATTGCGCAGGTCCGAAAGGTGTCCCGCGTCTTGGAGAGAGTTGACTGTAAGACTCTAAACTCCGGGTCGACATGGCCAAGTTTTATGGTGTGCACTATATTCGGGAAAACTAGCTCACCATTGCTCACACTTGGGAAAATCAATTCATATGTCTGCTGTTATATTTCACCAGCTTGTTCATCTGTTGAGCCGGTGCTTTTGGTAATAGTTTGTTCTTAAATTGGAAACTGCTCGCGATAGCATACTGAACAACGAAAAATAGTATATCCTTACCTTCCTTTCCATCTTCCTCAATCTTTTCAGCCCAGGTGTGAAAAATCTTTCTTCTTCGCCTCTGATCACTGATCATGGCTTCAAATAAATAACAAACCAAGACGCTTTCCCGGTGTTTTTGAGAAATTAGAAGGTAGTTGGACTTCATAGAAATATCTAGAGCAAGTTCAAAGTTGGGTTTTTGGAAATCAAAGCTGTCAAAAGCTTTTACGTAGTCTTTGTCCAAAAGGGCTGCAATTGTTATCAACTGAGGAACGAAATGCTTGCAAAAGTTGTCTTCTGCTTTTTGGTAAGCTTCCACGAAAGCCTTGCTATTGCCAATGCTTTTAAGAAACTTTCGCATCAAGGGATGTATGTCATACAGCAGTTCTTTTGACTCTGGAACAAGGAAGACCACTTGACTGTTACGCATTCCTTCCATTCTTATTGCAGCTTCCGAAACGTTTACTCCAAGTATCTCAGCTGCTGCTTCCAATGAAAATGGGCGGCAGAAGAGTGACACTGAAACGGCAGACTCTTTAAGTGTTTTACTTGGAAGGAAAAAGAACATTTTCCTCAAACATGACAGCTGTTTCTCATCGATACCTTCGTCGTTAACATCAAACATGTCCTCCTTTTCAGTCTGTTCTTTCCCAGTGTCTTGGGACTGTTCCACCGCTAACTCCTGCTCAATGGTTCCAAGGAGTCTTTCTGCATCCGTTTCCTGCCTTAAAATTGATGCCATGCCATTGAGCAATAGTGGCTTCCCGCTGCACATCTCAACTAATCGCTCTCTCTGGCCCCCTTGAATAGCAGGTGTCCCTTGCCTTTGAAGGAGCTCCCACGAAGAGACCCTTTCCAAACCTCTCACTTCGTAATTTTCCACACCGTGACGGAATGCACTTCTAGATGTCAACAGAATCTTCAATGACGATTTCTCTCCCCCAGTTTTGTCACTGGTGAGTCGTTGGAGAAATGAGACAAAATTAGTATTTCGTCTAACGGCAGCCTCATCTTTTCCACCTGAAAATTGATCAACGTTATCGAAAAGCAGCAAAATGTTCCCTTGTTCCCGTTGTCTCAGCTGCATCATTTTCAAAATAACAGGATTTGCTTCATAGCTCACTGTTGTCTCCTCCGATTCGGTTGAAAGCACCTGTAAAAGGTGGAAGTGAACGTCTTCCATTTTGTCTATTTCTCTCAAGTCCACGTTAAATTTATTCGTTTGCGTTCCTTGCCACTTATATAGCACTTCATTTGCAAGTCTTGTCTTCCCGACACCACTGGCTCCGTAAAGATTTACGACACTTGATCCACCAGTTGTTAACTTCGACATAACATTTTTTAAGTCGCTGTGTCTTCCCGTTAATTCCCTTGATGTCGCTGCCTTTGACTCTTTAAACTCTTGCAAGCGGATTGCCTTAAAAGCTTCCATCTTTTCCTCGATTTCCGCCTTCTTAGATGTTTGTGGGGTGACTACAAATTTCTCCAACAAAGTCAAATTGTCCTCCGACACAAGACCCTGATTTGCAAAAAGACGCAGGCACGAATATAAATCCTGATCTCCTTTATCCCCGAACTTTCCAATCTCAAAATTCGTTTTGATAGACGATACAGCATATTCAAGCTCTTCTGGGCTCAGATGATCGACGACATCTTTTAAAAATTTATCAAATCGAGGAGAAATCTCTCCCGTCCTCAACGGTTCTTCAAGCGACGCCATCGTGTGCTCAACGAACCGAAAGTGAGGTGAATAAATTTATCCTCGTGGCCAGATCTCAGGCCGAAGTGTATGTCTGATAATTATAAGCAGACAACAACTGATATTATTGAATTCTTTTGCATGATTGACATTCATATTTATAACTTATGTCACGCATTCAAACTATGAATGTCAATCATGCAAAAGAATACGAAATTTTATTTTGTTGCAAACGTTATGTATAATAGCTAAAAATGCAACAATATAAAATAACAAGTTAGTTGGTTAAAATAGTCTCGCACAAACTGTGCTTACGACAGGTACACTGAACGTCACGGTAATGCATCTCATAACCAACATAATTGCGAGTTCTGTGACACTTAATCGATGGTGTCGTGATGTACGGTTTAACAATAGAAGGAACTACATGTTTTTACAAGTGATCGTCCCTTTTTATGATCATAATTGCAAAAAATTTCATTTCCATTCTGTTTACCTTGTTTTATCTAGTCTCAAGTAAGAAAACTAATAAATAGTAAATACTATCTGTCTACCTCTTCATATCAGTTGTCGTACTAGTATGAGTGGGAGAGAGCAGGGAAGTAGGAGACCAGGCCCCGGTTGCTCGTACGTTGGATATTGCTATCCACCGGATAACTGAATTACTATTCAGCGGATAAGTGTCAGGAAAACCACTTACGCTATCCGCTGGATAGTAATTTATCCAGGGCCCAGGAGAATAGGGGGAGGCAGGGGTACGGTAGGGGAAGAGGAAAGAGCGGGAGGTGGGAGTTCTAAAAGGGTGGGAAGTGGGAGAAACGGGGAGAATTTACGTAACAAGGCTTAAAATATAGCAATCGAAAGAGGGAGACAGCCAAGAAAAAGGAGGGCGGGAGCAGGGACTGCAAAGTAAGAGAAGAGGAAGGGTTGGAACTCAGCCTTTCAGTGTTTGTAATTTGTAATTTGTAGTTTGTAATTTTCTAACTTGTAAATTATGCACATATATTTGGATGTTTTTCAAGAAGCTGTGATTTTGTCCCCAATAAGGAGTAATTTCTTTACGACAGTTTTATACCTAGTAATTGGCGAGAGTATAAAAACAAAATGGACCATAAACCGACCTGACATAGCTCCGTTAACTTACCCTCAATATTAGTCTGTTCCAGTCCGCTGAATTGAGAAAGCGCAAACACGAAAATAAAACCGGGAGGAATCTGGGGAGAGCGCTATCTAAGAGCCTGGAGCAGGCTATGTTAATATTAGAAGACGAATTATTCGTTGAATTGTCTACAACCAGCTCTATGATTGACGCTTTCTGTTTGCCTGGTGCTGCCGTCACGTGCCTCTTACATATAGTACCACCGGGTCATCAGCGGAACAGAAAAAGTCAGAAAATAGCATTTCTGTTTGCAAACCTTTGTTGCTTTCATTAACATCAACGATCGTATTCAGTATAATTAATAAAATGTTACTTGACTGTTAACTTTTCATTTCTCAATTAACTACTAATTTTTTGGCCAATTATAAGTTAACTACTGTTTTTTGGCCAAATATCAGTTAACTGCTAATCCCATTGGCACCCTCTTGTTACCCTGAAAACTTTGTAAAGCTTTAACACACTCCTCCTCTGTAATGCTGCCCTCACACGAAAGCTATTGTTCATCTGTGAGGCGAGGGATGTTTAAACTATTCAAAATTTCTGTTTCTGTTACCCGAATTCTTACTCATGTACAATTCTTGACAGAGACGTTTTTCCTCAGAAAGAATTTTGAACAGATCAGTAGTGATCGAACCATTAATCTTCAATTTTCGCACATGTTTTTTGACGTGGCTCCTTTTCTCCTGATCGTTTAGAAAATATTTTGTACTTTTTTCACCGTGTTCACACCATTGCACCCACGCACGAATGATGATACCTTGAAGCTTTTCTTTATAAAAATGTTCCAGTTTTTCTTTCGCCGTATTAAAATCGCTTGCATTTTTATTGGTAGGGTCACATTGGAACGTTTGCTTGGCATTGTTAAATTCATCTTGCAGTATGTTCTCCTTATCTTTTTTTCTTTGGAGTTACGTTTTGAAAACTGTACTGCATGTGCTCTAAGATATACTTAATCCAATCCCAAATACATCTGCATGTGATCCGGCAGGTCACATCTGCCCTTGGCCAGCCAGACAGGCATTTTAGCCTAAACCTTCCTTTGGTAGTTATCATCGTCTAGAAGAAAACAGTTCATTTCCCAGTAACCCGGACCTTTAACGTGGTTTTGACTAATATTAAAATCCAAGGAAATGGCTGCATGGTGGGTTTTAATGGATGGAATAATATTCGTTACTGAAACCGAATCTTGAAGGTTATTTAAAATCAGCCAGTAGTCTGAGCGGCATAAAATCATTGGCGAGTTTTTGCTCCTCGTGAAACTTTTTAAGAAGGATTTTTAATTCTCAAATGTCAACCAAATCAAGTTCGTCTCGTAAACAATCAATGGTTTCAATAACTGATTTCCTCGGTAACATTGTACCACCTTTTATCTAGGGCTGGATTCAGCGAACAATTTATTTTTCCCCCCTATAATTATATTTTCTTCGTCTTCCAGATTTTCATTTTGGAGTATCGTTCTCGGATAGTTAAGAAAGTTTGTTATGTCTTTATCATTATTCGGTGCATAGATGTTAATCAGCACATTCAACTTGTCCTTGATCTCCGCCTTCAGGATCAAATAGCTCCCCAGTGGGTCCTCGAATTTTGACAAAATAGTGCAATCAAACCCTTTTTTGAAAAGTATCGCAACTCCGCACGAATTTGGACTTCCGCGTGACATAATCATAGCACCTCCCCATTGATTTTTCCATTGTCTTTCAGAGTCTTTCTTTGAATGAATTTCCTGCAGAAAAGATTAGGTCGGCCTTTTGTTTTCGACACCGCGTAAAGATCGTTCGCCTTTTACGAAACTTATTTATGCCCCTTACATTCAGTGAGATCAATTTACAAGTGTCCAATACCATCTCGATGTAATGAGCGAAAAATTGGTGGGATTGAAGAAGCTAATCAGAAGAAGGAATGAAGTAAAAAGAGAAGAATGAAACCTGTACATTTTAAAAAGAGGTGTGAGCCTTGGGGCTGAATACCTAAAGAAAAGACAAAGGACCTGCAAATTACAGTATCCACCCGGGAGTATCCATATCAAAAGAACCGCATATCATATATAAGTTGATTAACATACTATACAAAATGCCGAAAGATCCATAAACAAAAACAACAACGAAAAAAAGAAATTACGAATACCAAACACCCAAACAAGCTTAACACAGGAACAAAAAAAGACAGCTAAGAGGGAAGAAAAAAACACGAAAAACCCTTACCCATGCTCCAAAAAGTGAAAAACAATCGAGCCTTTCCAGAAGAAAAAAACTACCTTTCGTAAACTTTCAATCTCACTAGATCGGATTTACTAAAATACGCACGTTTACCTTCTTTCCTGGCTTTTTTAAATTTGTCCATTTGCACTTTCCATAGTTCGTGTAACTCCTTTTGAATATCTTCAAACATCTTGAAGTTTGTGTCTTTCAGCTTACGACCACACTTGAACACACGTTCCCCGTCCGAATACCTAAAAAAGCGAGCTATAATTGTACGGCTACCATTTCCACTAGCACTCCTAGGTTTTCCCATTCTATGTACACGTTGGAATTCGATGCCTATCGCGTCCTCTATGCCAAGAGCGATAGAGTGACAACAAATCTTGGTTTCCCAGCGGTTTAAATTGATCTCCGTAAATTCTCTTCAAATATTGCACGACATCTTCTGATTCGGCTGGAGAAAACTTCAAAGATTTGTCCCTAAATAATAGGACAATTGCACGATAACGATATTTGACTACAACTACCATAATTCATTTCGATTTTGCTTTGTTATTTAAATTTATCAATCCCGCTGAGGATTAAAGAACAATAACCTTAATTTGCACAAGAAAACAACAAACTTAAGGATTCTGGTAGTTGTAGTCAAATGACGTCAACGTGCAATTGTCCTATTGATTTATGTCAACTAAGCTTTCCAGCATTCTCGTCCCCGGAACCACTCTGCTTAATTTGTAACGAAAGACCACGTGACCAAGAAACGACGGGCTCTGGGGACGAGAATGGCTTTCCACCACACTGGACGCCATCTTTGAAGACGCCGCTGATCAATGAAGCTTCAGAAAACCTGGAAGTTAACCCGGAAGTAGAGTGTAAGGTCGTATTATCAGGGAAGGGGGGTTAGTGTAGTTATGAGATACCTTTTTACAAGTGAAAGACACAGCATTTTACATATACGTCCAGTTTGTCAATAGAATATTGTTATTCTTTGTCAAGATTTGCCTTTCACTTAGAATGTACATTTTTTTAGCCAGTGAATGACCATATTAATGACGTGAATTTATGAAGGAACATACGCACTGGGATTTCAAAATGTAGCCGTCGGCAGTATTAACAGGGGTTTCTTACAAGGCTATGATTACACTAGAGGAGATTTTTCTGGGTTCGTGACGAATCCGACACATTTTGGCACCGCATTCTTTTTGCTTTTTTACAGGCACATGCGTAAATCCGAAATAAAGACGTCCACGGGTCATAGCTTAGTCAATTCTAAGCGTGCCCACCCCCCCTGGGAATTTGTCATTTTGTTTTAGAAAAGCTGGAAGTGCTCCACGGTGGAGCCGGTTTGGCCCCGCAGTAGTATTCTATTCTCTTATGATCGATTAGTTAAGTTAAGAGACAAATAACCTGAGAAAACAGCCAACATTTGGCGACGCTACCACTGGTTTCCCCGCCAAATGACGTCCGAGAAACGAGCGCAGATATTCCATACTGATGACGCGTCACTACCCAGATCTGGGTAGTGCATCTGATTGGTCGTGTCGCGTGGGAAATTTGCTTCAACCAATCAGAAGCACTACCCAGATCTGGGTAGTGACGCGTCATCGGTATGGAATTTCTGCGCTCGTTTCTCAGACTTCCGTGAAAGCATAGTTAAGTGAGTGGAATGGTTATGAAACCCGTCAGACTCCTTTGTTATATGTTTTTGTGGACCTGAAAGTGCACAACGCTCAAAAGAATTCCTATCATTTTGATTGTATTGACCAATAAAAACGTTGCATTAATTTATTCCGTAACAATTTGCCAACAGAAAACAAAGGATTGTGCACTTTCACGGTGCTTTGAACATAAACTGCCGCACTGTTGTTTTTATCATTGATGTTTGCCGCTTTTCATAACCAGTCTCCTCTAATAACTATGGTGAAAGGATACACTTAGTAAGATAAGAGGAGTCACTGCTCAATTATTTCCTTCCTTTTTGTTTATCTTTGAAGTAATTTTACTAAAAAAAAGTATTATTTTCCAAAACAGATGGCGTGACACTGATCAGCTTAACATTACATAGGTTAACTATGTTATTAACTAAGAATTTGATTAGAGGACTAAAACGATTAGAGAGAGACCTTGAAAGAGGCGCCTTCAATTCAATTGAGTTATTTTCTCACAATATTTTAGCTAGTGCCAAGTTACAGTCTTTTTAGATTGTTGTTTACAGTTATAAACGTTTCTATTGAATTAATATTAAAGTTCCAGTATGATGGCCAAGTGAACCATTCGGTTTTCTAGTTGGCCACCATAAAACCAATGAAGTTTTGTTTAAAATACATACAGGCGAGAAACCATAAAAAGCAAAACTAAATAAACTGTGCGCATTAGATCATATATTTAAATGCTATTTTGCGCCTTATAAATAATAAATTATTATTATTAATAATTATTATAAATGAATAAATAAATAAATACATAAATAATAGAACAGAAAAGAACAATTAATTACATTTACAGGAAGTACGAAAAACGTAATATCCTAGACAAGTTTTAAACGAAGTGGGTTTAGGCGATGTAGGTGATGTTTGGTTTCGACAAGTATTGCTCGGACAGTAGAAAATGTTTGATTTTTTTGGAAAAAAAAAAAGCGTACTTATTCAGTTCCTTAAAGTGTTGTGGAATGCTTTTCCAAAGATCGATTGCCTTAAATGAAGTCATCTGCTTACCAGCATTCTTTCTTAAACGAGGCCTTAAAAACAACAAGATTTGACCATAGTCATGGCCATGTCAACCACGATAAGGAAAAGCTCAAGACTCGTACTTAGGTTTCAAAAGCAAAAAAGGACGGTTAACAAAAACGTAAAAGGCAAACTGTCAGTTGTTCTGCCGTACAACCTTGAGTGTCTACTCAAAGTTTATTTGAGGATTTGTCGCATTCTGTCCACAAGATTTTCACACTGTCTCCCCCACTTGTACTTTTTGTTGTACGACTTTCGAAGAGAAAGAGCTTTTTTTAACCGGAGTTTCCTTGGTGTCTCTCTCACATGTCTGATGGCTTCAGCCCACTTTTCAGGATCATCGGAACACACAACACACGAAGATTCGAATTGCACTTTACCGAATCCCGAATTGTTACTTACCAAAATAGGAAGGCCAGCGGAGAGTGCTTCGAGAGCGGTGAGGCCAAAGCCTTCCGTTCGTGAGGGCATAATGGCGAGATCCACCTCGCAGAAGAGTTTTTTTACTTCTTCACGACTCTCAATAAAGCCTCGCACAATAAGCTGTGCGCGAGAAATTTTACACTTAAGTAACTCTTTTTTAACTTCTTCTTCTTTACCCTTTGGTGCTCCGACAAACAAAAGAAGGAAGCTGTCGTCTTTTAAGCTTGCTACAGCTTCAGCAGCTATATCGTATCCCTTTAGTTCAAAATCTTCGGAGTCGCCCCGACCAAACACTAAGATGCGAAACCTTTCTCCATCCTCACTGGCTTGCTCCATCTTTGCAAACTCCTGAAAGATTCCAGGTGTGATGTCTATCACGCATTTATCTTTTTTATACCGTAGCTTGGCTGAGATATCTTCCTTCAACTTTGGTCCTATGGCCACGACGATATCAGCTTCCTCACAAAGGTCTACTTCAGTGCGGCGCTTTTCTCCACCTTTCTGTATTGCTGTTTCGCCTTCCTTGAACATTGCAAGCTCTTCACTGGCGGTGTGTACTACATGAACTCGTTTGCAGTTGCGCTGTTCTGCTATGATCTGAGCTGGTACTCCAAGCTTCTGACCATGGCCTACAACAACATCAATATCAAGATCTTTAGGAGGAAAACACAATTTCATGATGGGATCAGACACGAGCTTCGCCTCTGGTGTTACAAGGCGCACATTAGATTCATTAGCTTCTTGCTTCTCCAGTTCAGTGTATTTTGGCAGTAGGATAGTTACTTCAACCTCAGGCTGACATGCCAAGTGCTTTGCTAACTCTCTGTTCAGCGTAGATAATCCGCCTTTCGATGATCCCCATTCACCTCCGACTAGTGTTACCCTTAAAAGGCCTCCCGCGAAAGAGGCTGACCGTCCATCAGTAGCGCTTTTCTAAAGACGGAGAGAGAGAATTAAAAGAAATCGACTGCCACTTAAGCTAATAATGGCAATTAGTATTCACCAAATTAATGGATAGTAATGTTCGTGCGTTCTCATTGGCTCCCGTAACTCGGAATATCCTTGGATATTCACTGTTTTGGGACGGGATTCAAAATGGCTTCTCGTTTAGCGACAGTTTCGAAAGATAAAATTTTAGCGGTAAATGAAGCGGCTGTACCAACAAATACCAAGAAAGAGACAAAATTTGGCTTGTCAGTGTTTACTGGTGGGTGGAAAAAAATTTTTCTTACTGACTTTGCAACAAATCATAAAAAATGATCCCCGAAACACATTTTGCGTTAATCAGTGAACACTGCGATTTTGGTGAAGGTAAAAAGATGAAAAAAATACGTATCAAATACATTTTATATAACAGTTATGTTCCTCTGTCAGAGGACATGGTCCTAGAGTTACAAAGCCACCCTAAACGAAGGTGTCTATCTTAAGTATTGTCTCAAAATAACAGACTAATGTTAAGAAACAATTCCTTAAAGCAGCTATATCACAATCTTCAGTGTTCATACTATATTTTTGTTACACTGAAAAACTGGAATTAATGAAAACCCAAACTGACAGTTCAGTTTTATGCATAATTATATATTTACTCATTTTTTTATTAATCAATAGTGCTTTATTGTATCACATCTCCATTAAAGTGATAACAAAAATACAAAAGAAGAAAAAAGGAAAAAAAGAAAACAGGGTTCAGTTTTATTTAAAATTACTAACTACTGGATGGAAATGGAGTTGGAAATTATCTCCAACAGAGAAAAAAAAATTGAGCCACCTTTGAAGTATTGTGGAAAAATTACCAAACAATGATCGCGAAACTTCCTTAACAATCATTGTGCTAAGAGGTCCTTTTAAAAGGAAATGTGGGAGTGAGGATGTTAAGTCTAATTTAAGCCCAGTTTTAGCCCAAACTGAATTGTGGAACTCAGAATGACATTGCCTCATTTACTTGGGATGCCTTTGTAAATCAGGTGTTTGATGGAGGGTAGGTCTTAGCATGGGAATTTGGTTTCCCCCTACTACCATCCTGTTAACTATTTTTGTATTTTTGTTCGATTGTATATGTTAGTATTAGTTCATTTGTATCAGTTATGTATGGTTACGAACTGTGATTAAAGATTAAAGATGATTAAAGATTAAAGATTTGATGTCTAAAATACCCTTGAGTGACTTACCGAACAATCCGTACTCTGAGCGGGAGTTTTCAAGTGCAATCTACACAATGGAGTCTTTCTGCGTTTTAAGGAGTCGTAAAATTTCACTCGTGCTACGTTTTCCCCTGGACAAAAATCAACCTCCAACTCCGCATCGTCTGGGTCGCGTTCTAAAAACCTGCACGAAAAATAAAATAAACTATCATCCCTTGGGGTAAAACAATAAAAATGGTGAAGTCCTCTAAGCCGACAAAAATAGAGTAGAGTACAGGAGAAGCCAGACAGATGATATTCTTTCTAATTTAGGGCCTGTTTACATAGATCTGTAATTTAGGGCCTGTTTACCTACCCAGGTAGGTAAGGTAACCCGCTTAGGTGGGGTATTACCCGCCTCTCCACATAATCTCTCATGTTAATTTGATCACGTTTATATGGTAAGTGGGGTGTCTGCCAGACCGGGTAAACCCCTCGACTGGGGTAAAATCTTCCCATGTAAACCTTTCAAGTTGGGGTAACCGATTCGTGTTACATCAATTTCACGGCAAAAGCCTTTGGCGAAAGCTTTATAGCCTGTTCAAAGACCCTCTATTTTCTGTTCGAAGGCTGTCAAGCACACGTAATAAATTTAAAAACAGCGGGGGATTTATTGACCGCCAGCGCAAGGGGGTAGGGGTGGGAGAGGAAGAAAATAGACGTTCTTTATTTTTCTTTCTCGCGCTCCGCACTCGCCAATTTTTCGAAAAACAAAAACGAAAAACAAAACAACGTCTGTGTACAGGCTAGAAGCTTTACACCATTAGAAGTGAAAGCCACATTACTGAAAAGTTACAGAAAAAGCAGTGAGAGTGAAGAAGAAGAGCGTTAACCGCCAAAAAATGTCGTTTACCCGCCATTTTTGTGTTTACATGTTTAGCGACCATTCGATAATCTTGAGAAAGTGCAGCCTGGGATGGCAGAGTTGTAAGATTGCATGTAAACGCAGGTTATTTTTTCATCCAACCTGAACGAGTTACCTCATCAACCTGGGCTCCCCCTCCTTCATGTTAACAGGCTCTGAGTTAGAGGGAATGTATCTGTCTGCCTTCCCTTGTATTATACAACGCTAGGTGAAACAAATGTAGATGGGTCGTATAGGCACTATATAAATAGGCTAAATAGCAGCTTGCTTTTGTTTTTGCTATTATAAAATTTTGTTGGACAAACAACGTGTATTATGGGAGATGTGCAAATGGCGAGTTAAAAATAAAATTGAACCACAACCATATATGAAGACTTACCTAAGATATGTTCCCTCCATGTCTTGTTCTTCATGTAGGCGTATTCCTCCTGATACTAACACGAATGCCTTGTCGTAGCCAGGTGTCATATCTTTCTTTGAATTGCTATAAATAGGCCGCCTTATGCCTTCTTTTTTTAGCTTTTTTATCTGCTTTCCTTGAAGGTGAGCAGGGCAACACATCAGACGCAAAATTGTAGAAAGATCCGGACGAAAGTAAGCAAAAAAGACTGCCAGTCTGGGCTGAACCGAAGTGCTGCTGTTAAGTTTTTTTATGACTCTCTGTCCATGAAATCTAGATATTTTGTTTCGCCTTTTAACAAAATGCGAATACCTAGAAGAAGGACAAAGCAAAAGAATTAAATTAAAAAAAGCAACAACAACAATATTGAACTGACTGAATTGCTAAGACACTTGAAATGAATGAGAAAATGAGTATATTTCATTTATGTACACAATCGACGCCCGTTGTATTAGGACAACTAGAGATACTGCAAGTACATTTAACCCTGGAACGTACAGAGGGGAGGGAACGTTAAATGTTTCCCCGAAAGACTTCTGGATTTTGTCGAAACAACTTTGCGTCACAACCTCTTCTCTTTAGTAGCTTTTCGTTCTTTCTTTAGACGCATTTTGAAAAAATTTGGTTTGCGGAGATTACCAGATATGGCGTCAAGATAACGTGAAGTTGAGCCACTTTATAAAAGGGATGATCGAACTACTGGCAGTTTTTTTAAAAGATAAAGGGAATTCAAAAGCTGAGGATTTGAATCTCTTGCCAATGGTAATTTCAGTTTATAGACATAATGAATAAACCAAATTTTCGCGTTTCAATCACCCGGTCACCAATGTAGTGCCATGATTCTTTTCAGAGCCTCGCAATTTCACCGACACAAACATCCATCTGCTAAACGAATATTTTCTGCCTTACCTAGAGAACCGCTCGACCTTGAAGCTAACAAACTTCCCATCAACACTTGGAGGGTTCACAAGATCATCAGTGATATCAATCCATGTTTTTTGGTTATCATCAGAGTTCAGGAACAACACTTTGACGTCACATGTTGAGCCACAAATTGGGCGTAGATTCAAGTCCTGTTGCTCTCGAAGGGAAATTGGCAGTCGAATTGTGACAGGTTTCAAGAACTGAACACCTTCAGAGCGATTGATTCGCAGAACAGGCCCAAGAAATACACCTTCCTCTTCGAACTCTTCATTTGAAACTTCTTGCACCTGTTCCATCATGAAAATGAAAATCACTAGTTATCAAGCCAGAGAATACATAATGGGACATCATTCTCTCTTCCAGTTGTTAATTTTATAAAAGAATAATTGTACTATTTTAAGCCCACAAATTTGCGATCGGTTTACCTAAATTGCACAAAAAACACAATTAAGACACAAAAGATCTTACCAACTGTGCAGGATTCAACTTGCTAGTTAGCTCATCGAGACGTAGACTGTACGAAAATTTAAAACGCTGGGTTGAATGCCTTTACCGTTTCTTAAACGACACCCAGAAATCATTTCTGGCGACTGTATGTGTGTTGTTTTAATAACCTAATATCAGTGACTTTGAGGTCGAACTTTTCAGCATGTTTGTCTTTGTAATCGAGATCCTGTGACGATTAACGAGCTCGTCCACTCCCTTCGTTTATGAAGAAAACAGGGCTTAGGCGAGAAACCAAGCCAGCCCGGCAGTTTAAGTTTAAGTTGTTGTTGTTGTTGTTGTTTTTTTGCAGAGTCTTAAAAAGATCTCACCACAAAACAAATCTACCGCCAGCATGAGAGTGAGAAAAAGGGACTGTACGCCAGCAGAGTGCTAGAAGTCGAACAAGGCTCCTCTACCCAACTGGTATTTACTACCACCGTAGGAAAAGCAGATGAATGCAAGAGGTATCACTGACAATGGACTAGCTGAACTCTTATCAACCAAGAAAGGAGACGATTATAGCACTACAATGTCATGGATTCGCGCTTAAGCCTCATTCGCCCTCCTGAGGTCTGCGCTGTTGAGCATGAGAGGCTCACGTGGTACCCGACAAGTTCAGCTGAACATTACCGATAACGACTTTGAATTAGAACTTATAATATTTTTTCACATTTAAGATTAGTAGGGGCATTGAAACCGATAAGGAACTATCGAGATTTTAGTTTTAATACTTTTAATATTTATCTTAAGATTTTTCTAGTATTTTTTTCTTCTCCTATGTTAGTAACTTCTCGTACGTTGATTAAGAATACGTCCAAGAAACATTAGGTGTTATTTTAAGAAAACATTTATATAAAAAGAAATTATTTATATTTTTGACTTATTCTCTTCACTGAATTTCCATGTTTTTTCTCCACTTTATATAACTTTCCTCTCGCCGACTTTGTAACAATAGATATGTGTTTTAATCTAGTAATCAATAAAGAATTTACATAATAATAATAATAATAACAATAATAATAATACTAAAAGAGAATTAAAACATTATTATTAATCAAATACTAGTTCACTTTTGTGAATTTCTTGTTAGTTGTTTCCTTCTGTGAATCAATTACAATCCTGCAACTGATCCACAGATGCTCGTTAAACAGAAATCGATTTGTTGTTTCTCTGAACAAATTAGCCAATTGCCGGAAAAAAAACAACAACGTGAGTGGTAAAAGTCATCAGACCTACTTTCAATTCCAAAGGGAACTCTGCGTTAGAAGCAACAGCATTCTCAGGGATTGTAACTTTCACGCCTGGATAGTCAGGATGGCTGAATGAGCCGCCTTTGGATGTGATGGTGTAAGTTGGAGAGGGCTTGAGACGACAAACCACTGCGTATGTTGAGCACTCAGTGATGTCAGCTTGAGCAAAGGGAAAGAAAAGGTCTGGTATTTCCACGTGAGATGGGAAGTCGTCCTCGATCTCTGTAACCGATAAAAGATAAAGTTTCATGAGCACCTGTGATGTTTCCTTGCCTATGAAAAGTTGATAGAGATTATAGAAAACTAGGATCACACAAACCAGCCTGAGATCAAAGGGGAAAGATCAAACTACTGCACCACCATAAAAATATGAATGCTTTTATATTCTAATTCGCTACTCCGCTCAAACGAACATAATGTATATATATGTAATAAGCAACCACAAATGGGGTGTGTCAACACGAGCCGTGAGCGATCCTCTTTATTATGCCTTCATCAACAAAATGGATGGGAATGATATAACAAACAGAATAAAAACTCGGAAATTTAAAAAATAGAGCAACAAAACCAGCCTACAAAACGATCTAAACTATGCTCGTCTAAAAATGGTACCGTAAACGTGCAACCTTTCATATAGGAACATGCAAAAACTACGTCTAAGAGGAACTCACTGATAGAATGATTTTCGTATGACCTTGAAATGAAAACGCGCGAACAAAACAGAAACAAGAAACGAACGGAAATAAAGCGATTTGATTGGTTTATCGAACGGACACAAACACAACTGGCCTTTGGTTGGTTAAGCAAACGCTCGGCTGAAAAAACTTCATGCCCGAAGAACTTTCTAGAAATCGCTTTGACGTCATACTGTAACACGATTGGTCAATGGAACAATGCCTTCTCCATATTAGGGTTTTCTTAGGCGGGAAAACAAAGAGTCCATGCTTTGTTCTTTCCATCCATTGGCTGATAAAACAAATAACAAACACTTACCGAAACCATTTTTCAACGACATACGAAAATCGCTCTAACCCCTAGCCACTGGGTATTTAAGTTTTGAGGGCGTAGGGACGATCGTAAGACGCGAATGAATGTAAATGACAACAACTCAAATATATATAGCCTACCTCTAATGAAGCAATCGTAACAGCATACCTTGTAGCACCCCAAAGAAAAGGGTTACATAACCCATGATAAATACATTGGTTCAGTGTTAAACGCCTTTGTTTTAACGTATGATAATGTATAACAACATACATGTACTGTTACTTGAATCATACAACTACTATTAGTCCTGAAGAGGAGTTAACTCAAACCCTTACTGCTTCTTTTGACTCCAAAAAGGAGCTATTTTAATCCAAAGCAAGTATAAAATAACTCTTTTGGCAATAAGAATTATTTTAACTCAAGATTCGGGGTAAATAGGCAGTTAAGACAATTCCCGCAAGGGACTGTTCTACATCTGTTATCTTTGCTCTACAAATATAAAAAAGCTTGAAGTTAAACTTGCTTAAACTTGAACAACTGATAAATTTAAACCGCGAAATCTACACAGATTAGGAGCATAGTAGTTGCGTAGACTACACCCTGAGTTTTAAAAGATTTTCATGCAAAAGATAAACTGATAATCCGCCACGCGTTGTTCTACTGTATAAAGAGACGTTTTTATACCTTCAAGCGAACGTATGTCCTTGGTTCCATCCAGGTCTTCCCATTTATTCGTCTCCTTATCAGTTAGCTGTTTTATCACCAGCTCATAGCCCATTAGGTTTGTTGCACTGTGAGACAGAGACAGCTTCACCTTGGTGTTAAATTTTAGACCTTGGCTATCCATGGGGGATAGTTCAATAACATTGCTAGTAATGGCCTCGTGCTCCTCCAAAGGGGGTGAACAGACACTGTTTTTCCATCTTTGGACCATTATTGGAGTGGGTTCCGACAAAGCATCAAGAGGGAACACCAGGTGAACACCAAGTTGCTTGATGGGCCATTTGGTATCTTCGCTCGTTACTATTCTTCTGCAATTACAAAATATCTCATCAGTTGTTGTTGTTGGTTTCGTTTTTAAAACAGTGCCTTTTATTAAATGCGGGCATGCTATTTTGCTACAATCGATTTTCACATAGGACTGAAAACAGTCTAGCTCTTGATTTTCTGTTCCTTTCGAGGAGATTTTTATCGCCCTACTATCCCCTGTTTTCAGGGCTTTTTGTTTGTTTGTCTATTGCTTTTGTTTCTTAGCGTGCTTCCACCCAAGTCCAATGGTTTGGGGATTTGTAGCTACATCAGGATTGTGAGTACACAGCCGTTCACTGACAATCGACTTCAAACTCACCAAGAGATATAATTAATGTATAAAATCAAGGGCTCTAAAAATATCCTCTGTTTGATTTCAAACCTCTGTCAGAGACCGAGTTCTCTCGTTCCATAATATTTCAACAATCATAAAATGTAAATACCTACAAAACTGACACCGTACCGTCACTTGAAGTCTTTGAAGGTACTTATTCCAACCGCAAACTCTCCCAACACCATGAAAACACGGATGTGTCTTACCAATATAGCACAAAACGTACTCTTTCGAAATTAGCACTCTTCATCCTTTGTTCTTCTTAGCGTTATTTTTCTATTCATTTCTTTAAGTTATTATATATTTATTGTAGCCATGGGTCCCTAGTTCTCCCCAAAACTATTTAATGTAAAATGTCTTACACCCTGTCCCCCCTATAATAACACCATGCTAATTTGAAGGGGACAGGCATACTTTGCATTTGCTGCCGTTGTTTTGAATCAGCAAGAGACTCTCCTTGAATAAACTTTTTTTCATTTTCATTTCACCATGTTCCTACCGATATATAAACATACAACCCAGCTTTCTCCTCCGAATGAGGCAGCGCTGCACTAACTCCTTGTTCACTTTTTTCAGTACCTGAAGACAACTTCTCTTTCTGATCCTTCTTGATCCATCGTCTTCCCTGATTCTACGTCAAAGACTTGTTCAAGATCCTCCTCAGATTCGGTTTCACTACCAGACTGGGGGGCTATTTGAACTTCTTGTGCTCCAATCAACTCGGTCATTTGCTCGGGCGCCACTATATCTTTTTCTGGTTCCTCTGTAGTGACTCCTCGGTATTCTACTTCAGTGCCCTGCAAAGACTGAGCTTCCATTCCTTCCTCAGCTTCTACCTCATACACTACTTTCCCAGCATACGATTCGGACTGAGATTTGGATCGTCCGAATAAGAACTTCTGTGCAGTATAAAAACGGGGAGGCTTCAATTCTACGGATGTGGAGAGAACAGATCAAATTTACTACTTAATTAAAGTGACACATTAGCCCGTAATTCAGAGAACGAGTGAAGAGAATTCCTCACAGTCTCCTCGCAGCGATTTTGGGACTCTTCGCACCTTCCCGACTAAGGTCGACCTGACAACAAGTTCAACATTGCCTTTCGTGTTTGCTAAATAAAATGTGTAGGAATCGAAACTAAAACAAAACTTAGTTGGCAGAATTCGAACTCGTGTCACTTTCGCGGACCAAGAACTTAGGTGACGATCACACAAGTCTTTTTTAAGTAAAACCAATTTAACCCAGCATTTTAAAATGGAAATAGTGACAAAGTAAAAATCCTGTGAAGTCACTCGGGAAAAAAGTAATGCAGACCAAAGTGAGTTTCGAGAAAATCTTTTCTTCAATGGCCGTCTCACGTGATGTGGTATCAACTGCGTGTTCACATCGTTTCCATGAGAACCCATCCGCTGTAATTTTGCACATTTACGACTTACATTGGAATTTACGAAAGGTATACGTATTGTTTGAGGCTACCTAGAAGCCCGCTCATAATAGCTCCTGATCAGAAATATTAAACAATACAATTATGAAATAAGAAGCCTTGAATTTTATAGATGTCCTTTGCTATGATTACACGGCACAGGGATCATGGCACCGACGCGAACAATTTTTCCAACGCAGAGCTCAGAAAGTCAACGAGCTCGCGCATAAAAAAAAACAGTTTCGATAGGCGTTTGTGTCGTACTGCCTCAAAAGGTAGCATGTTAAGGCCTACATCAGATAAATATGGATCACCTTGAGATCAGCTTGAGCTTTTCAGCTTTTTAAAAAAAATAATGAAAGCACAAGTAAATGCATGATAAACTTAGGCATAACATTAGTCTTATCATCTTTTTACGTAAGTTTTACGGCATCTTATGTGCAACGCGAAAAGGTCATCAGAATGTTTTATCGTACTTTGGTGATCATTGTACCGGTAAACTGATGGCAGAACACCATATAACCACAAGGAGTAGTGACGATGGGATGATGGCGAAGATTACTGAAGATGGCGATGATGATGACGATGATCATAATCACGACACTGATGATGAAAACGATCATACATGTAATAATATGGGGGTGATGATAATGTCGTCAATAATTAGTATAGGTAATAGCATGATTTGCAGTGATATTTGGCATAAATACCACGAGTGATATTTCGAAATTGTTATACGTAATCTCACGAGCCGTTAGGCGAGTGAAATTTGAGACAATTTTGAAATATCACGAGTGGTATTTATGCCAAATATCACGTACAAATCATGCTATTATTTGTTTATACTACTACCCGCAAAAGGTTTGTAATTTTCACATGTAGGTATTTCAAATTAAGCTGAAATACCACTGCTCTAAGCCAATCAAACTGCAAAAATTTCTCATGTAGTAGTATAAAAAGGGAAACAAAGGTCATTAAAATAACAAGGACAATTGCAATTTGGAAAATTCAATGAAAATTATGAAAAATGAAGAATGTACAGTGTACCACTGTAGGTTAATTACCTTTAGATCTTTCCTCGGCCCTTGGTTCTTTTTTCCCTTTCGAAAACTTCTCTTTCAGAAACTGATGAAAAATTAATCAATTAATTAATTACTATAATTGAATAAAGCCAAAAATACATTTTAAAAAAATTGATTTTGTAAAGCTAATACAATTCATGGTACCCCACTAGGTGCATGGTGGCCCACAAGGTTGAGAATCCAAACCAGTTGGAAATTCCAATTCTCGGGGCCTCCAAGCCCTAACCGCCCGGCCATACTGCTTCCAATGCTTGAAGGAACAAGAGACTATTGCGGACGTAGGGAAGTGATACACACGAATTTGGCTGGAACACCGGACTGAGTTTTTTAGTATAATTTTCCTCCCGAGAAACAGTTTGCATATCTACGCTTGCCCTTTGTCATTTGGCATAAAAACACACTTGATTTTGCTAGAAGTATAAAAATAAATTGTCCCATTTACTTGGAATTTTGTCTTTAAAAATACCTGCATGAATTTTGGAGAATCCACTGGATGGCTGGCCTGTTTCCGCATGCCATCATAGAACCATCGCGCTTCTCTCTCGTACTTGTCTCTTTCAGGTTTGTCTTCCTTTTTATTACCAAGAAGATCCCGAATTGTATCAATGATCTCCTTGTTGTACTCGGTAAAGTCGAACTTTTTGGACCGTTTCTGCTCTTCCCAAAAACGCTTACAAAACTGCAAAGCGTCCTGCGTAAATTCATTTCTTTTAGTCTTGCCTTTCCTTAGTTCTTTATACAAGTCAAAGACTCCATTAATGATGAGTTTCCACACCACACTATGGTTACCCGCATCCAACGATTTCTCCATTTTCCAAGCATCTAAAAAATATGATAAGGCTTTTTCGAAAGCCTTTAAGTTTGCTTGAATGAGTCCTTGTTGGAAAATGCTTCGCACTGTATCCGGATGTTTTCCAAGGCATTGTTCTCTGATGTGGTATGCTTTCTCTGCCGGCTCGACAGCATCTTGGTACTTGCCTTGCCGAATGTAAACACTACCAAGATTTCTAAGGAAAAGTGCTTCATCCTCGTTACCTGAGATTTTAAGTCGTTTCAAAAGATCCAATGCCTCAATGTAACACTTTGCTGCCTCTTCATACTTCCCTTTATCCTCGTAAACTGTGCCAATTTGATTCTTGTATACTGGCATGTCGTAATGATCTTCAGAACCAGACAATTCCTTCCGCATGTTCAGTGCAATGTTGTAGAAATCTAGGGCTTTCTCCGGCTCGTTGTTTTCGTAATAACAATTACCAAGAGCGTTGTAACACCTAGCAACATTGGTATCAAGTTTTAACAAATCCTCCATAATTTCCAAAGAAGACTGTAAGGATTCGATTGCGTTCTTGTAGTCTTTGTTCCGGTAATAAACTTCTCCCTCATTGTACAAGAAAAGCCCTTTAGTCAGTTTGAAAGATTCTGTACATTGATCTTCAACTCGTTCCAATGACGAGGATGCCTGCTGCAACACTTCAAAACCTTTATCAGTACCTTGAGCCTCTGAAACAAGCCTAGCTTCCCAACATCGTAGCTGAGCGCGAAATAAGGAACCTGTGGTTAGAAGAAACAGTTAGAAACAAAATAATATAATATCAAATACTATAAAATTGCAAGTTAACATCCTTGAATACCGACAGTTGACTCAGTGATAAAGTTCTACAAGCCACAGTAACACTGATACAAACGCAACATGGATGACTGATGACTGATCATTTAATCCTCATAAAAGTCACAAAAATTCGAAAGCTTAGAGTCCATTATGTTACAGTTTAAGTATTAGTAATGGGATATCTTGTATACCAAGTAACTTACAATGAAAATACATCTGTCTTGAAGAAACAAGCCTTAATCAACTTGAGAAAATATAATTATACACTTCCACCGCTTTTTCTACGGATGTATATATATTTATTATTTAGGAAGTCTGTGTTTCGATTTTACCGTAGTAGAGTACTCGATACCTTCAAGTAGAGGGTGATATAAATGTTGGAAATAGGAAAAAAACTACACTTTCATCCCGACAAGCCTGTTTCGTGGTCGCTCACTCTTCAGGGGATTTTTATATTTATTATTTATATATTTATTTATTTATTTGTTGAAAAAGTAAAATCATCGTTAAAAACGCATACATTGTATTTTATTGAGCACAAAACAGTCTTTTGCACCGAAGTACTCACAGAGAACAGAGTGTGTTGATAATTCAGTCAGAAGCTTAAGGGGTAAGTATCTATTACACTGTACTCTACATAGTGTATACATATGGGAACCAGCCCCAAAACTCATTCATTCAGTGATTCGCACTCAGTCGTTAAGGAGTTTCAAAAAGAGCTTGATGGATCATCTACTCAAGTGACTTTTTTTTTTCTTTTTGGGCGAGGATTTTCTGAAGCATTGTCTTATATACGTACAATTCTTAAAGTTTTCTTGAATGTGTAATTTATTATATAAAACTATCAGATTTTATTAGATATCATACCGGTAATTATAAAGCTGATTCAATAAAGGTTGCTTAATGGGCATTGGGAAGCTGTAGCTTGGTGATCTTTCAATTAAATCATTGCATTGTTCAATATGCCCAAATGCCCAATGCCCAATTTACCAATGACCAATTACCAAAGCAACCTTTTCAATTTAGCTGTATATTGTTAACAGTTGTTCTTAGTTCAATGATTTTATATTATTCTAAACTTATAGCATATACATATATATATTTATTATATAGTCACGAGTGTTTTACTGGAAAATATACCACTTGTAAAATTCATAAAAACTACATCCGGGACCCACGTGGTTTATTTTCCATAATCTCACACGTGAGATTATTGATGACGTAATTTCGGTCATTTCCCTCTATTATTTTATCTATGTTATTTTGTCTATATAATAAAAAGAACATTACACATTTGCTCGTGGCAAAAACAATATTTTACTCACTCGCTGCGCTCGTTCGTAAAATATTGTTTTGCCACTCGAAAATAAAATTCATATCTTTGCGCCACTGTGTAATATCCTCTATATATAAATCTTGGGAGCTGCCCTATTATGGGGGTATAGTTCCTTTCTGGTGACACCCTTTTGTCTTATTATTTTTACAATAAAGTTATTATAAATATATAAAATTAATAAAATCCGACATAAAAATACAACTGTAACATACCGGACTTTCCATCATCTTTACACATATCTGCCCAGGAATGAAACAGCTTGAGTCTTTTCTTTGTAGGCAGCATGGCAGTTAGAAGGGATGCAATCAATGCATTTTCTTGGTATCCACCCGGAACACTGAAGTACTCTGGTAGCAAGGAGATGTCAATTGCAAACTCATAATTTGGGCGATCACTTGCAAAGTCATTGAATGCTTTGACATAGTCAGACTCTATGAATCCGGCAATTTTTGTCATCTTTGACATAAAGTGCTCATGAAATCGCCTCTTTGCATCAGAGTAAGATTCACAGAACTCTGCCTCACATTTAATGCTTTCAGCATACTTTCGTAATAGTGGATGAATATCATACATCAACTGCTTGACATCAACTACATGTTGAATAATTTCACAGGCTACCAGTCCCTCTAGCCGTGCTATGGCTTCTGGTATACTGATGCCAAGAATTTTGGCCGCCGTGGAAGGAGAGAAAGGTCCATGGAACAATGACACTGATACAGCAGACAGTCTCAAACTATCAGAGGGGAGAGTGTTGAACATTTCTCTGATAACTGACATCTGACTTTTGTCAATTCCTTGTCCTTCAAAATCAGAAGGTTCTTCTTCACTTTTCTCAGTTGGGCTTGTCTTAAAAGAAGCTTGAACTTTGCTTTGATGGGTCATCTCTGTTACACTAATCAAATCATTTGGCGATTTTCTTCTTTGCCTCAAAATTGCAGCTACTCCTTTCAATATCAACGGAACTCCTTTGCAGATTCCAAGAAGCTTCTCTCTTTGCCAAGCATCAACACTTGCAATTTTTCGTGGAACTGAAGTGGGAAGCAGAAGATTCTCTGAAAACGACTTTTCAAGAGGTTGCAAGTTATAATCAGTCACAGTCTCTGAATCTTTAAACTGACACCTCGAGGTCAAAAGGATGTTTAATGTTCCTGCCTTGCCCTGGAATACTGAAAGCTTTTTTAGAAATTGTATGAACTGTTTTCTTAAGTTCCTGCCCTCTTCTTCTTGTCCCTCTATGAGCTGCTCGACATTGTCAAGAAGAAAAAGAATAGACTGGCTTTTGCTTTCGTTTTCGATATGCTCATGAATTTTTCCAACGACAGAATTCATCGCTAAAAACCCAACAGGGACACTTAGGTTCAGAGTACCCATAATGTTAAAAAATACTGCTCTCATGTCTTTAGCTTCTCTTAAATCAAAGACATAATTCTTTCCGGCCCATTTATCACAAATGTTCCTGGCAAGTGTTGTCTTCCCCACTCCAGCTGATCCATACAAATTAACAACGGCATTTTGTTTACTTTTGAGGATTTCTATTGTTTTCTTAACGTCACCACTTCTTCCTCGCAATTCCATCTTTGTTTTGGTCTGTGGCGATCTAGAAGCCTTGAAGTTCTCAATCCTCTTGTAAATTTCATGTTTGTTGCTTGATTTGTTTGCCACAAACTCATCGAGCAGTGTCAGGTTCGAACTCGAAACATAACCGAATTCATGCAAACGATCTAAACATGATGGCAAATCTTGATTTCCCAGCGATTTGAATGGCTGTCCGTAAACCTTCTTCAAAGATTGCACGACATCTTCTGATTCAGTTGAAGAAAACTTCAAGGATATGTCCCTAAAAAGTTGATTTAACTCTGATAAGTTTTCCACTACATAAGACGCCATCTTTGAACAAGCCGCTGACCAAAGATTTAAAGAACAACCCGGAAGTTTACCCGGAAGTAGAGCGGAAGTGTCCATAATCTTGGAGCCAGATCTCCTACGGCCGTATTTTGGGTAGCTGGCCCCGCTCTGTATATTGTCGGTCAATAGCATTCTTGCTCGTTGTGTAGCTCTTTGAAATATACCGATTCATAAGGAAGATTTTCACACATATTCCATACAATAGGTGAGATAAATACAGGAAACGCAAGGTTCCATGCACAGTTTCAGGTCGATTTACACAGCTTTGATCAAAACATTATCAGTTTAGCGAATAGTTTATTCCAAACCGTAAGAGAAGATTTAATTAGAAGTTGAATTTTTCGCTATTTCTCTTTCACTTTTTACATTCATTTTATTTGCCGGAAAGGACGCCTTAGAAATTAAAAGGACGTTTGATCAATTCACACTCACGCATTCTAGTCTTACTTTAAACTTTATAGCGGAAGGACATCTGTGAGAAGGGAATAAGTCAGCACAGAATTTGATTGTCGGCGAATTTCTGTAATCGTCCATCGTTCTGCTAGTGAGAAGCTAGCCGTTGTTCACTCGTCTTGCTTGTTTGGGGCTGAGTCTTATTCTGGTCAAAGAGAGAGAAAAAGTGTCTGGCAAGGTTTCCAATGAAAGATTTGTGAACTCGTGTCTGGCAAACTCTCCAAGTGTTTATATATACACGGTTATACGCACCTTATAACTTCTTCTGCGCTTAGCGAGTGTCGTTAAAATTTTGGTCCATAACTTTCCAGGGGCGTAGCTAGGGGGGGTCATGGGGTTCCCGTGACCCCCCCTTGCTAGGCCTTCTTTTGAGCAAACAACCTACAACATTCAGGTGGCGAAAACTCCATGACAACCTCTTCGCCGTAAAAGCCATTGTTGAAAAGCCCACTTTTTTGAAATTTGTTTTTTTGTAAAGTATTTTCGTCAACGGCTCTTGTCTTTAGTTAATATGGGCCTTCATGCTGCGATAATACGACTAAGCCCGCTGATACACGAGGGAGAGCAGCGATATAAACCATATATAGTCGGCGATCCCCGGATGGTGTCCCTGTCTGTGACCCCCCGTTTGAAAAATCCTGGCTACGCCCCTGCTTTCACTGAAACTTTCACTGAAACAACTGCTCCACAGAATGTCACTGGTAACACGTAATGTAAAAGAGTGTCGAGTATGATTGCACAATAAATGTCACAAAATCTACCTAAGCGGGGATGTTCTGTCTTTGCGTCATCCTAACCATTTCGTACTTGCTGCGGGCGCAAACAATAGAAACGTCATCATTACCTACCGATTCCTCGCAGCCCCTGTTCAAGCAAATCGAGATTTTTCTGGCATAGTGACTGTATATTTCAACAGTAAGTACTTTCCTTAATATACGCGAGTTACTAGAGTGCTTCCTCGGAATTTAGCCTTCTGGGCGAAATCCCTGCGGGGCTAATTAATAATTTCCACACCTGTGTCTTTCCAGCATCTTGTACAAGATATATAGTACGGTATATCAGCCTTCTGAGCTAAATACTCAAAGTAAAATAAGTAGGCTGAATTTTCACCTTTTAGCACCATTTTTCTCCTCTATGAAAAATTAATACAGAAAACAGGATAAAGGCAGTTGCAATTACTGGTCTGCAGAGTGGGAGGTCAAACTCCCCCGCCTGACCAACACTCAGGTTCTTAAAATAACAGACAAACAAAGGCACTGCCTTTGCCCTTCAAGGCTTGACCTTAGTTTTCCAATTATTGTACAGTGCGTTAAAAGTTTCCAACTCATTTAGGAAATCTTGCCATTTTTTTTTTTTTTTTTCATGGGAGATGTGATTGGTGTATTACAACTCTGTATCTAGGGAGTGGATGAGATATGTTTCTGCGTTTAAGAAGAGGTTACTGCACGTGTTCTTTAGAGGAACTGGAGGGGATGAGTGCGAAAACGAAATTCCCACAGGCAACCTGTTGGAATAATAACAATTTTCAGAATTTTCTTCCAAGGTCTTTCGACTTTTTATTTGTCCCTTGTCTTAAGAGAAATCATGGTACTTTGAAGGTCCTCTAACTTGCCTGCACCCACATATCTTTACACGTACTGGTAAATTACAACGTCTATGACCAAGTAACTTTCCTTATAATAAGTTTATCATTATGAAAGCTTCACTGTCACCATCGTTGCCTCAGTCGCCCCCTCGGACATCTGTCTCAACCAGATAACTTACTTCATTTTCCCTAATCTTTAACTCATCCAACTTATTCTCTCAGACTGTAATGTCTTTTCTACTGCAGTTTCAATCGGACACTGAAGTTGAATACCGGTAGATGAAACATATTGTCGAAGGCAGTAAACTCAGATAAGTACCCAGAGGCCATACCGTTTATGCATTTAAAAACTAGGAAAGTTTTTCTAAGGTAAAGATTTTTTCTTATAGACAACCACCTAAGTTCTTTTGATATTGGAGTTACATGATCGTACTTTTTGGCTCCAGAAACAATCTTACATTGGTGAAATTTCAGTTGAACAACCTGGATCTTGTTAAGATTAGTTTTAGTTGTTTTGCTCCAGACAGACAAACAGTAAAAACTACGTAAAAACTAGGGCATTGATTAATTGAGTGTGAATTGTTAACAAGTGGAGTTTGGTCTTATCAGGATTGAGAAGAAGTTGGTTCCCCAAGCACCAATCTTGAAATCTCCGTAAGTTGCTATTGCGATCTTTGTTGCAACATCACCTTGAGACTTCTGTATTACATACTACTGACCAAACATTCCTCAGTCCATTGATAATAAAAAGCTAACTGCAGTAGTTCTGCTAGATATGAGTAAGGCCCTGGACTAGATAAGCCACTAGCCTATGAACAGGCTCTCTGTTTGGTGAAGGCGTGAAAAAATCGCGAGGAGAGGGAAGGGCCCCTTTCCCTTCCCTCTCTTCGCAATTTTTTCACCCTTTTCACTAACAGAGAGCCTGTTCACAGGCTAAGGTAATTCATGATCACTGTCCTTATGCATGAGTAGAACTTCGGCAATTTTCCACAGGTTCGGGAAAACGCTCGACTCAAAGAAGGTATTTACGACATCTGTAACAGCAGGCAGAATAGCTAGTAGGCTATCCTTGATAACTTGGCCCGCACAGTGATCTTGTCGTATCCTAACACTTTGTTAAGTGCCATAGCCCTGATGATGGACACACACTAGGTCTGAGTTGCCTGAGCTTAAACCACTGGATTTGAGAAGCTTTGTGGTAGGCTTTGAATTGACAGCTAACTGCCATCATCACATTAACGACCTGAACATCAGGTTAAGTTCGTAGTTAACGAATCCTTGACAATACCGTGATCCAGTATCCAAAAGTAGAATTAAACGAGAGCTTCATGGCCAATCAATCTGGCCCCAAAAGATGCAAACATCTCATGATGTCATAGTTCACTTCTGCCTTTCCTATTTTTGTCAGCGAGATCATGAGTTTTCTAATAGTGCCATTCCTTCCGTTTAGCTGACACCATGTTCGCAAAGTTCTATGGCAGCGTTCCTCGTCATTTTGTTCCTCCTCTGATATGTTGTCAATTTGTCCAGCTCTGAGCTCGAGCTCTCTTGCAAGTCTTTTCCACGATGAATACACTTTTTCTGACACCTTGTTGATCACTTCACTCCCTTCTACTAAAGCTATGTTAACATTTTGACGTGCTATCGAGAAAAGAATAACATGTGATTAATTAGCAGTTACTGTATTCGGCTTTCGTATACACGTTCTGAAGAATTATGTCGTTCGAGGAGGGCGTTATCTCCAGAAATACACCCTACCTCGATTGATGTAAAGTTCCCGTCTTTATTCGCCTGTTCCTTGGAAAATCCGGGATATAAAGAGATGTTTTGTCTAGTCGATATTCTACAAATTGTTATCCGCCGAGTTGTATTTTTTTCTGTTCTTGCTATGTCAGTTTTAGGCGATAGTTCGGTAATTTCTTCCTCGCAAAACGTGTGAAATTTTCAGCCATTTTCTGCAAGTTTATCAAAACAGCTGAGCAAACTCAACCTCTCCCCAACGGCTCCTTGGTTCCCGTGCCTTTTTCTGGCGATAGCTGACCTGTGTGGCAGACGCCGGTTAGTTTTTTTGGCTAGTTTTTAGACAGCGCGGGAGGAGAACTCGAAATTTCGAAAGTGGTGCGAATGGGGCTGGTAAAACACAAGCAAAACGTTGCACATGCATTACACTTTTTGTATCCCACTTTTTTTTTTTTCATTCTCTGCCACGGGGGGTCGCTGCATGACTTCAGCTTCAGCAGCGCTTCAGGAGCTTTTAATTGACAATGTAAGCGGGTTAAAATAATCACGATAAAGATTGAAAGAAAGCAAATTCACTTTTTAAGCGTCGCCATTGGGGTATGTAAAACTTTCTACTAGAGGCATTGACGCCTAGACGTGCTGTACGTTCCCACAGTCCTTGCTTAAAGTCCCTCAGAAACTATTTCTCAGAAACTGAGAAATAGTTTGAACAAGTAATAATTAACTGTTATCTTTCCCAAGACTGAAAGTCGGAGGCAGTGTGGCCAAACGGTTAGAGCGCAATGGACTCAGTGTAATTCGGACGCCCCGAATTCAAGACCCGCCCTGATCTCTCCCTGGATTTGTTCTCAGTGGTCCCGAGTTCAAATTCTCGATGACGCTTGTAAATAGCCAACTAGCTTGCCTCCGGGCAGTTGGGATTCTTGATTTGAATTATTTGTTTCAGACATTTTCTCGGCCCCACTAATTAATTAAATAATAAAGCACAATTCATTTACGGCACTATTTGAACTTAGTTTATGTTGTTACGTTTTTACTCCTGCTGGTGCTATTTTGGAAATTGTCGCTTCAGCGATGCGGACCACTCAGTTCATCTTGTAATTGTCTGAAATATTAGGGCCATTTATACGAGGAAAAATAAGACGCGTCTTACATAAGACGCGTCTTAAATAAGACACGAACTTTCCGTATAAACGGCACATTTCGTCTAAAATAAGACGCGGCTTAGCTAAGACTCGTCTTATTAGATAAGACATGCTCGTATAAATGGTAAAGTTCGCGTCTTATGTAAGACGCGTTTTATTTTTCCTCGTATAAATGGCCCTATTAACTACAAATCCCCTTCTGACAAGAACATTCTTCAGGATTATTACCTTAATATACCTTCGTTAAGGTCGCGGGGGACCTGTCCATGTAGAAATTAATCAGGAAAAATCTTGCTTACAGGTGCTACATCTTTTAAAACCCTTAGATGTCTGCTGGTTTGAAGGCAAGCAGTTTAGCGCAATTTTCACAGCGATAGGCATTAACGAATGATGGAAGTTAACGACTATGGTTTTTTATTTGGTGTTGTGCTTTAGTTTCGGCGATGCTAAAAAAATCCTGATTGGTGCTTCATTGGAAAACCAAGATTTTGTGTCCAGGTTTCCAAGTAATGACACTTACAGAACTCTGTGATAATGTTATCAATAAAACCAGTAAAAAAACTTCTAGTGTGCTATTACAGAAGCACATTTTTCGGTTTGAAGTTGGCCAGTAAGTTATAATATTATCGTTAAACTATGAACAAAATTCGTCATCCCTGAATTGACTGTTGAAAGTTCGCATAAACACTTATGATATAATATGAAAGTTCACTAAAAGTACACGTCAAGAGGTAGTGTAGGTGAGCTCTAAGTAGAATAAGAAGTATAATTTTTTCCGAAATACAAAAGTGTTACCTTCCTGAAGACGTCCAATGACATGTGAAAATCCTTCTTCGCTCGCCTCTTGCAGTCCACACACAATGGCCTTAAAACATTCATCTTGCTTTTCAGGATCCAACCCTGCTACAAACTCCAAAAAACTCCTTAGTGTTTGTTTAGGTGTCCTGTATCCACTGTTGAGGTTTTGTAAGTGTTCTTCGCATGCGGTATCATTAGGTGAAAATGCCGGTTTGCACGCAAGAAGTACATATCTCGGATCAGCTTCCAGTAGCGTTTGGTCATCTAGGGGCACGCCGAAAAATTCTACTGGAGTTTTCTGCAAAGTAAATGAAAAAGAAGAAGAGAGGTCAAGACATAAAAGACACCGAACACCATCATTGAGTGACAGAAAAGCTATTTTCCATTTTATTGGCCTGCAAACAAGCTCTATCGTGAGAAGTCATGCGCGAGCGGCACCCAAGAGGAGACTTCCTTCGGGTTCACGCGCGGCTTGCTTCGCTCGCCACCCGAAAGAGAAAGCTTACTTACAGAGTAACAATTTTAAGATAGACACACGGCTTAATATTCTTTTCTTTTACGTGATCTTATGGATAGGAAATTCAATGACGTCTTTACCACAGTGTAATGGGACGGTTTTAGCAATGACTTGATTTGGAGACCGAGAGATTGAATCGATCCTGAGAACAACATCAAACACGTTGGAATTTACCGATAAACTTACATGATAGCACCCCAAACAAATTTAGCCTTTAAATTGCATTGATTGCCTCAAACCCAGTTCAGAGAGCATAATTCTTATCAGGACTCTTCGATACAAAAGATCTATAGCTGACTGTGGTCAGCGTTGCACAAAGAGATAATGGAGATGTGTTATATGGAGTTGAAAATGGCCTGTCAAGCATACGGTACGCTCCGCTTTTGTGTGCAGTACTCACCGTGGAATCGAGTTTCATAGAAGACAATTTGAAGTTTAATCTAGACAATAGGTTCGCGTTGGGATCTGGGCTACTGCGAAACTCCACATGGGATAAGACTTGGTCACTTATCAAACGAACTGGCAGTTGTCTTTTGTCCCGGTCATCGCTCTCAAACCTGAAAGGATGTGAAAATCAGATAAATAAGTTAATCCCACTGATGTACAATTGAGCTTAATTTCAACAGATGCTTTCAAGATAAGTAGAAATTCGCGGGTGCTTATGGGTCCCAAAAGCGTAACGGCAATTGGAAATAGCAGAATGCTGCCTCTTCTTTTTCTATCAAGTGTGCATGAATTCAGATGACGAACGTGACTTGGTTATGCGTATTGATGATTTCAGCATTATTTTGAAAACCAGCACATCACATGTTTCCATTATGGACAACCTTTACACAATTTCAAGTCAGCAACGTTGAATTATGTTTGCACTTCAAATCCTGTGCTTGCATTCAAAATTTTCATTTACTAAGCGACAACAATAATGCAATAAAGACCCTGTTAAACTGGGCAAGTTTTCTTGCAACTTCTGTCGCAATCCTCTTGTGTCAATCCCAGACAAGTACGCAAGAAAAGGTTCCTCGTAAAACACACCCTGATACGATATATATGGCTTGCTACAACAAAACTGTTGCAAGACAAGTTCATTTCACGGGAAGATTCGCAAGAAAAATTGCCTTGTGTAGCAGGGCGCCCTACTTACATGAGATAAAAATCTTTCATGTTTTCTATATCAGCTGGGGATATCCCTCCTGATACAAACACGAATGCTTTGTCATGTCCGGGTATCAACTTTTTCCTTGAATATTCCTCACTTAAAGTCACGTTTTTTAGCTCTTGGACTACTCTCTCCCTCATGTGCACAGGGCAGCAGATAAGATGAAGAACATCTTGAGAATTAGCACGATCTAATTCATTGAAATAGGAGAAAAAAACACCACGCAATGGCTGCTTCCAAATAAGGTTTGACAAGTAAGTAATTGCTCCAGAAACGCTGAAGTCCATTTTGAACCATTCAAAAACGCAAGCGTATCTAAAAGAGAGACATCCAGCAAAATTTGAGTAACTACTAAAGACAGAATAATTTGAAGTCTTGCGATTTCAATAACAGGCGAGCTCTGAAGTTTAAAAGCCAGCTTCACAATTGCGTCTCTCGCTGCCTCAGTCATATTTACGATCACAAGCAACGAACCTTCAAGCACACAAAAACACAAAATGGATCGAAATCTACCAATCACAACTCGTTAAAGTACATTTCTGTTTTCCGAGAGGTTCTTCCTACTACAGAACTCGCGTGTTATTAAAGAACGCAGTAAAAGACGTAAACTGATGTCTCCATTACTTGAACAACACTTTGGAATTATGGGGATATTTGAAGGCGGTTAATCAGTTGACTTAAAAGAGCTGTGTCACGAAATTCAGCCAAATCAGGTCTTACAAAACTAAATACCCGTTAAATCCAAGCGAAACATAAAAATAACCGCGTAAAACATTAAAGGAAGGTCAAAATAACACAACAGATACAACAGATACCACAGATGGGCAAAACGGAAGAAGATTGAAACGGATTGAAATTAGGGTTTTTGAAAACTGTTCAGCCTAACAGTTTTTCAAAGTTGATCTCTGGTGTTTGCAACTTCAAAAACAATGCTCAGGAGACATATTTGTTTGTCTCGAATCCCTGACTTTGTCATTTACATGTAATTTCTTTGGTTACTTAGTTCCATAGCGATTGAGGGCGAGTAATTAGCAAAATTAAACATTATGATCTGGACCATGGGGATTAGTAACCAATCAAAGATGGAGGCCATTGTTCCCGCAAGGATCTCTGGGTATCTTTTTCACAGCCGACGAAATGTCTATTTATAGCTTAAATGGACTAAAGTACAGCTTCAGTTACAGGTAATGTTTTGCACTTCGTTTTGTTAATATTGTTAGTGATGACCCTAAGAAGAAAGAAGAAGAGTTTCTGCCAAACGAGAACCTGAAAGGTTATGAAAAACTCTACCAGGAACCTAACGTGCATCGGGTAGTTATATTTGGTACTAATGAAAATAGAAAACGATACATGCTGCATAAAGTTTACAAAGATATTTTCATTCTCTTGTACTTCTGTCTTCTGTTCTCTTTTGAACAAATATAATGTCCCTATGGTAGGGCATTTGACCTAAAAAAAATGCTTCAAGATCAAATCCCCGGCCTTTGCCCGGCCTCTCCCCGCTCCAGATTAACACTGATAGATGCATAAGCTTGTCGTAAATCGACCGATGTTAAAATGGGATTAGTAATTTCAGCAGTTTTAATGCATCCTAACTTTCATTAGCATAACCAAAAGTTCAGTTTACCTCCAATTTATTTTTAATAAATTGCAAGAGAGAATGATTGTTATTAATTAATAAATTGTTAAAATTGTTAAAAGTTCAAACAACATAAGGATGTCTCCTTACCCAGAGAAGCGTTCAACCTGGAACCTTACAAATGTCCCGTCAAAATTTACAGGACTTCTAAGATCATCAGTAATTTCCATCCATTCTTTATCTTCGCCATCAGATTTTAAGAACAATACTCTGACACGGCATGTCGAGAGGTCAGGAGTTCCTTCCTGGTCGCTTTGTAGCGATACTGGCAACTGAATTGTGACCGGCTTCAAGAACTCGACGAGTTGGGGGCAGGTTATACGCAACACTGGGCCAAGAAACAGGTCCTGCCCTTCAAATTCTTCAGCTGGAACTTCATGTACCTAGAAGAATAAACGACAGAACTACAAAAACTCAAATCGCAAGTGTGACGTCTGATTCATATCGCTAATATTTTGTTTGAGATTTGACAACTTAGATTTCTCTTAGGCCATATCTCGCCAAGGAAAACAAGTAGCATTTTATCGTTATGTGCCATTGACGCCGTAAAGGTGCCTCAGTATTTTTTAGGTAGCCTGATTTTCACTCTATGGCGAGATTAGATGTCCTGAAGTTTTCTTAGAAACAAGTCTCACTAGTGGCGGCGAAAACAGCTTAACTGTACCACTACATTAGCTTCACGCATCTGTCTGCCTATCATCCTTGCACGAAAATGATACAAAACAGGAGAGAGATTATTCAACTGACTGACGTGCCTACCTTCAATTCCAAAGGAAACTTTGCTTTTGGTCGAACAGCCTTTTTCGGGACGTTAATACTCACACCAGGATAGTCAGGGTGACTGAATAAACCGCCATTAGGTGTGATGGTGTAAATCGGAGAAGACTTGAGACGACAAACAACTGCATATGTTGAGCATTCAGTTATTTCAGCCTGAGCAACGGGAAAGAAAAAGTCTGGGGTGCCTTGTTGATAGGGGAAGTCATCTTCGATGTCTGTAAACAAGATATATGAAAAACAGCGAAATATAAATACAGTGCTAGTGTTTATTATTATCATTATCATCATTACTACTAAATCAATGATAAAAACCTTACAGGTCGTTTTCACAACTTAATGCGATCAGTGTCAAATGCAATAAATAGTTTCTTTCAAGATGTCTAATCAAATCTATCTATTATGGCCTTATGACCCATACGTATTCTACTGCGTGAGCGTCTGGGCATCGACCTACCGTAAAATTCCGAAATCAAGCCCCTCCATGTATAAGCCCCTCCTAATATAAGCCCCCCAGTCCGGTAACACAAAATACCCTCCGTTAAATCGCCTCTCCAAATAAAAGCCCGCCCCCCCCCCGGGGGGGGGGCTTGTACTTGGAAAATTGCACTCAAATAGAAAGTAAAACGAAGCAAAAACGGGAAATTTCCCTCCAACTATAAGGCTATCTCAGTCGAGTTTGAAACGCAAATTTCCCTTTGTAGATAAGCTCCTCCGAATATAAGACCCTCCAAAAATAAGCCCCTCAAAAGGGGCTTTTGAAAAATATAAGCCCCGGGGCTTATTTTCGGAATTTTACGGTACCCATCAAACCTCAGAAGATTAATCACACTTCAAAAACGGGTTGTAAGAATAATGTGGTGAAGTGCTTTCGATGCTCACACTGACTGAAATTTAAAAATTCTGAATTTTGAGAGTATCTACAAACTTCAAAGAGGAAAATTTATTTATCAATACAGATCTGGCTTACTTCCTTATAGCTTTAATAATAAGTTTTTGGTGACACGCCAGGTGCATTCTTATGGCACTAAAAGTTCGGAGCTTTTTCAATTACCACAATGAAGGGCTAAAATAAGAAAATCCTCCATCAGTTTCCAAGGTCCTACATTTTTTAACTCTCATAGTTTTGAAATTCGATCGAAATGCAACAAGTACCGCTTCCTTTTGCTTTTGCTGCCTTTGCGTTTCATTTTCATTTTTTTCCTGTCATTTCGCTATTTTTTAGCCCAACTATTATTAGTACTACGTATTAGTAGTATCTAATATATTTAAAGATTTACTGTAGCTCTGCCATTGATTTTCCATGTGTAATTATGATAATATTTTGTTCTAATTATTTAACTGAGGGAGCCCATTCCTTATAAGCCCGGTGGCTTCTCTTGGGCTTCCTTGCCATGAGAGTTTAAATAATTAGTTTTTCTTGCTTTTTTAAAACTTTTGGCAAAACAATAAACTGAAAACTGAAACTGAATCCGAGTCCTATCCTTATAGATGTTTTCTTCGCTTAGTGTAGAGCGGCATTTGCATGCTTCTAAAAGGCAAACGCTTTTCGTAAACGTCTCTGTGTAAACATTACGAGCTATTATCGTTTTACCTGCCGGGACCAAATGAGGTGTTGAGTGTTAACTGAAATGGCCTTCCTTGTTAAAGAATAAAGTACGACAAGTTGGCACTCTTTAAATCATTGTTGGACGAACATTTTCTTGAATAAAGATCATGGTCAAAACCCATGCTATCTTAGCGGCATCTTAGGTGTGAGTCAAAGCAAATAATGAAGGCTAACACGACGAAGCCAAACACCAATTTTCATGATTATGACATATAAAGACGGTATTTAGCTTACACATCGCCTAGTCCCTATACGGCGTCTTCACAGGCCTTCGCGGTCGATGCATTTTGGTGACGAGACGAACGGCCGGGAGAAAAAAACTCGCTTGGACCACGTGACCCGAAACGCATTGGCCGCGCAGAATAATGAGGCCTAGGCACTAGGCAAGCTTACACAAAAAGAAAAGCAATGGGATGACTGACTGTTCATATCCTGAGCAAAAAGCCGACAATTCGCGACGCCACAACCGGTTTCCCCGCGAAATGACGTCTGAGGAACGACTGCAGAAATTCTCATTATTACAGATGACCTGTCACTACCCGGATCAGGGTAGTGCTTCTGATTGGTTGAAGCAAAGTTCCCTCACGGCACAACCAATTAGAAGAACTACCCAGATGGGTGTGAGACGTCATCAGTATGGAATTTCTGCAGTCGTTCCTCAGACGTCATTTCCCGGGGAAAATGTCGGCTGTTTTTTCACGCTACTATTCAAAGAGCAAATGTCTGTAAACCTTCCCAGCTCCGTAAGTCCTCAGTTCCATCCACTTCTTCCCATTCATTGCTTTCCCAGTCGATCATCCTCTTTATCACCAGTTCGTAGCCCTTTAAACCAGGCGCACTGTGAGAGAGAACCAGCTTCGCTTCAGCATTGAATTCCAGTTCATCACCCGTGATGGGCGAAATCTCAAGAACATTGCTGACAACTGACTCGTGCTCTTGCAGTTGGGGAGAACGTGCACTGCATTTCCAACTGTGGACCACTATTGGTGTGGGCTCAGACACGGCGTTAGGAGGGAAGAAAATGTGGGCGCCCCCTCGTTTGAGGACCCAGTGGGCACCTTCACTAGTAAGCGTTCCTCTGCAATCAATCAATCGTCAAACAATCCATCAATTAGCGGACCTCATTGTCCTTTTGCATAAAAAGTTCCCCAAACGCTCAAACGGGTTAAAAGAAAACTTCCCTCACTTTTTCTAAACAGTTAATAAGGTCGTTTTGCCAAGTTAAGCTTAGTTGGGCATTATCAGCCAGGTATGACCCTATCATGTAACTTTGACCTTTTATTTTCAGCAACACAGAAACTAACGAGCTTGCTTGCTTAAAGATGGTAAAAAGAAAAGTCTTGCCATAGGAAGATGAATTGCTACGGGATTACTGATTGTACTCTTATACTGTTCCTTATCTGTGTATACCCTCACACAAAATCCCATTTCCCTGAGAGACAACTCTAGTCTGCTACACAGCCGTTTTTAGTGTCGTCACGCAACGCTCCTCCCCAGAAGCGTTGCGTGACGACACTAAAAACGGCTGTGTAGCAGACTAAGATAACTCTTGAGGCAAAATGAATGGCATGATTAGTCAGAGTGGAGGGTTCTTAATGTCAGTGTGCTCTTACAGTGGTCTAAAGGAACATTAGTATACATACTCGTGTATGTTAACTTTTTCTAAGTCTGATTCATCAAAGTCCTCCATTTGTCCCTCTAGGTTAAGTCCATGAATTTGTTGTGGCAATTCGTCTTCTTCTGTAATCTCATCATCTCCAGTAATGTCCATGTTATTGTCATTTTCATCTCCATCATCATTATCAGCGTCATCCTCGCCACCATCGTCACCAACATCATCGCCACCATCATCGCCACCACCACCGCCACCATCATCGTTGCCACTATCGTCGTTTTCATTAAAATCATCATCTACACTGTCATTGTCATCATTACTGCTATCGTAGTCGTCATCATCATCGTCATCATTGTCAGGAGACTTCTCTATTGAAAACAAGTAGAATGCTTGTTGCCTATATCAAAGGTAATTTCTAGTTAAGAAGAGGAAGTAGATAGAATTTGTTGATCAGCAGCTTGGCGATGGAAGAGCATATGCAATAAAATATCCGGCAGTCAATTTCGGGAATCAAATTGTAAGTTTTAGTTACACGTAGTGCCGAAACTGTTAACAAATCTTGCAGTCGAGATCTTTGTTACTTATTGTATTTGACAAGAGGTGTACGCGCATTGTGATGAGGTGAACTGATTTCTTACGCCAGAGTCAAACGTCGAAATTCACTGATTCAAACAATTTCGCGCATTAGCATTAGCTTCGTTACGTGTGAAAATCGGCGTTTGCCTGGCCTTAGTTAACTATCTTTCAGTAAATTCATTTACAGTTGCGAGACCTTCTTTTAGTAAATGAACTTAAAGAAAGTAGTGTTTGTGATATTATAATAAAAATTAATAATTACTGTTGCTATATCATTATTATACATACCTGCTCCTGCAAACAGATTCAGAAAAGAACGCCAGGAAATAGATTTCCCCCGCTTGGCTTCCTATTTGTGTTAATTGAAAATAAGAACACATTCAGTTAGAACACTTCCTTCAGTTCCACTAGTTCGATTTTTCCTGAATGACAAAAACGAGTGTTTACTCTTACTTATGCTAATGTTGCCTGTCTTACCTCAAGCTGGGTGTTATACATTTTGGCCTTCCTTTCATATCCAAGTAAAGAAGCCAGATCCTGTAGTGTAGTAAGCAAATCGATTTTGTCTTGTTTTGCCAACTCTGAACTGTTCTTTTTCCACCTTCTCTCGTAGATTCTGAATGCTTCCTTTTGATATTTCTCAAAAAGGTCTTTATTTTTAGTTACCTTACACAACCTTAACAAAGTTTGTAAGATGTGCTCTCTCTGCGCGTAAGGTAACCTCTTGGTGTCGGGGGAATTCCACGCTCCTTCGTAAAACCAAAGAGCTTCGCTTTGATACTTTCTCGTTGTTTTGACATCAGCCTCCTCCCCAAGTCGTTCATTTATAGCATCGATGATCTTCATGTTGTCCTGAGAGAACTGAAACCCTTCAAAACTTTTCTCTTCGTCCCAGGATCTTTGATAAAACTCCAAGACTTCCTTCTGAAATGCCCTCTTTCTCCCTTTGGGAAGGATATCCTCGTAGCTTTTAATAATTCTGTCCCGTACTTCACTGTGGTTCCCTTGTCCCAGGGATTTCTCAATCTCCCATGCTTCTGCGTAGTATTCTTCAGCTTCATCATAATCCTCACGACTTCGGGAATTTTCTGCCATCTGAAAAGTGCTACGCGCAGTCAATGGATGTTTCCCAAGGATATCTTTCCGAATTTGGTACCCGTTATAAGCAAACGGCTTCGCCTTTTCATACTCCATAAGCCATGAGTGAGCGTTAGCAATGTTTCTGTTATAAAGTGCTGTGTTTATAATCCCAGTGAGTTTGAGATCTTTGGCAAGATCTAAAGCCTCCTGATAGTATTCTATCGCCTTGCGAAAATTCATTTTTGCCTTGGGCGTCATTCTGTGTTTTTTATACTCTTGAATGGCCATAGATTCATAAGCTGTTCCAATTTGACTTCTAAACAGAGGCAAGTCAAAGTGCTCCCTTGAACCAGAAAGCTTTTGACGCATTTCGTACGCTCTTGTGTAAAACTTGATCGCTTCCTCCGGTTTTTCCAGATTGCTGTAGCAATTTCCAATGGCATTCAAACATCTACAAGTGCTTGTGTGATTTTTCAATTGGTCTTCCATTATTTCCAGGGAACGCCTCAAACTTTTAAGTGCTTTTAGCCAATTTCCTGCTCTGTTGAAGACTTCGCCTTCAACAAACAGACAAGAGCTTTTCGCAAGCTTGAAAAGCTCAGTCTTTTTGCTCTCTCTCTGTACCCTCTTCAGCAACTCCCTGGCCTCTTGAACAACGTTTGCAGCCTTACGCCATCCTTCAAGATTAAGCACCTGCAAAGTTTCCCAGCAGCGCATTTCTGCTCGAAACATGGAACCTGCCGAGAAAAATAGAGAGCAGAACAATGAACATAACATTTTTATCCGAATACTGAAGAAAAGAATCTGGGTCAATGCTCAACTTAACCCTTTAAGACCAAAGATCCACATACAAATTCTCCAGACTGACCTCCATACATTTTATTTAAGATTAGCTGGGAGAATTTGGTTTAAGATCAAAACGTTATCCCTTTGGGAATCAATTTAGCAATTCCCATAACCTTTACTATTGATGATCTGCTGACGTTGTTACGAGAAAATTCATGTTGGTCACTTTTGGGAGCTTAAGAGTTAAGGAGTTATGGGCATCGACAAATTAATGATTGTTTTCTCAGGCTATAAGAGGAACTTATCCTCACCTTCTTTTCCATCCTCCTCGACCTTCTCCGCCCAGGCATGAAAAATCTTTCTTCTTTGCTTTTGATCATTGAGCATGGCTTCCAATAAATAACAAATCATAACGCTTTCTTGAAGTTGTGTTGGAATTAGAAGGTAGCTGGACTTTAAAGAAATGTCCAAGGCAAGTTCAAAATTGAGTTTTTCAAAATCATAGCTGTCATAAGCTTTAACGTACTCCTTGTCCAAAAGGGCTGCAATTGTCGTCAACTGAGAAATGAAGTGACTGCAAAAGTTGTCTTTTGCTTTCTGGAAAGTATCCACGAAAGCCTTGCTATTACCAATGCTTTTAAGGAACTTTCGCATCAAAGGGTGTAAATCATACAACAGCTCTTTTGCCTCGGGCACAACAGACACCACCTGACTGTTACGCATTGCTTCCATTCTTATTGCAGCTTCCGAAACGTTTACACTAAGTATCTTAGAGGCTGCTTCCAATGAAAATGGGCGACAGAAGAGTGACACTGAAACGGCAGACTCTTTAAGTGTTTTACTTGGAAGGAAAAAGAACATTTTTCTCAAACATGACAGCTGTTCCTCATCGATACCTTCTTCTTTAGCATCAAACGTTTCTTTCTCCTCAGCCTCTTCATCTCCAGCCTCTTGGGACGGCTCCACCTCTAACTCCTGTTCAATGGTTCCAAGAAGCCTTTCAGCATCAGCTATCTCTTGTCTTAAGATTGATGCCATTCCATTAAGCAAAAGTGGCTTTCCTCTGCACATCTCGACTAGTCTTTCTCTTTGGCTGCCGTGAAAAGCAGGCGTCCCTTGCCTTTGAAGGAGCTCCCCTGAAGAGACTTTTTCTAAACTTTTCACTTCGTAATTATTCACACCGTGACGAAATGCACTCCTAGACGTTAAAAGAATCTTCAGTGAAGATTTCTCTTGGCCAGTTTTAACATCGATAAGTCGTTGGAGAAAAAGGACAAAATCATCATTCAGGTTAGCGGCAGCCTTGCTGCTTCCACCCGAAAATTGATCAACGTTGTCTAGAAGCAGCAATATGTTCCCTTGTCCCCGTTGCCTCAACTGCCGCATTTTAAAAATAACAGGATTCGCTTCATAGCTCACAGTTGTTGTCTCCTTTGATCCGATCATCAATGCCTGCAAAACTTGGAAGTGAACGTCCTCCATCCTCTCGACTTCTCTCAAGTCCACTATGAATTTCATTGTTCCTTGCCACTGAGATACAACTTCAGTCGCAAGTCTCGTTTTTCCGACACCGCTTGATCCATACAGGTTCAAGACGCTTGATCCACCAGTTTTTAACTTCGACATAACATTTTCTAAGTCGCTGTGTCTCCCGGTTAATTCCTTTCTTGTCGCTGCCGTTGGTTCTTCAATCTCTTGCAAGCGGATTGCCTTGAAACCTCTAATCTTTGCCTCAATTCCTTCCTTCTTAGATGTTTGTGGAGTTACCACAAACTTCTCCAACAAAGTCAAATTGTCCTCCGACACAAGACCCTGATTTGCAAAAAGATGCAGGCACGAATATAAATCCTGATCTCCTTTATCCGCGAACTTTCCTTTCTCAAAATTCGTTTTGATAGACGATACAGCATATTTAAGTTCTTCTGGGCTCAGATCATCGACAACATCTTTTAAAAGTTTATCAAACCGAGGAGAAATCTCTCCCGTCCTCAAAGGTGTCTCAAGCGACGCCATCATGTGCTCAACGAACCGATGTCGTGACATGCAAATGCAATGTCGTGAATAAATTTAGCCTCGTGGCCAGATGTCAGGCGGAAGTGCATGTCTGAACACCAGACAACAGTGATATTAATAACTTATATCACGCATTCAAACTAAGAATCATGCAAAAAATGCGAAATTTTATTGTTGCAAACGTAATGTCTAAAAACTGAAAAATGCATTAATATGAAAAGAATAATTACAAAATTAATATATAACATACAGTATTACAAACACAAACTGTGAAACGCAAACTGTACAGCACGTCAGTAATCCATAATAATCGCGTGTTGTTTGGCACGTGACATACACGATAGTGCCGTGATATACTTAACAATATAACCTAGCAACTACATATTTTTCAAGAGGTCGTTACTTTTCTTGCACTCATAATTATTAATAACAAAAATTTCCTTTTTCATTCGATTTGCCTTTTTTTAATCTTAAGTCACAGACTTGTAAATAAAAGTACTATCTGTCTATTTCTTCATACAAATGAAGCAGTTGTCTTTTGAGTGGGGGAGTGTAGGGGGTCTTATTCGTTGGATAATAATTCAGTTATCTGGCCGGTGGTTGCAAGGTAGGGGAAGTGGGAGGTTTGGACCTCGGCATTTCACTGCTGTTTCAAAGTCTATGATTATTTTTTAACTTTGTAACTTGTAAATTATGCTTATATATTTCATTGTTTTTCAAAAGGCTGCGATTTTGTCCGCTATAAGAAGTAATTTATTTGAAAAATTTTTATACAAAATTGAGGCAACTAAACCAAAGAAAAGAAATCGCATGCACTGACACAACGTAGGCTTGCATTAACGATAACAGTAACGCCCAGAAAGTTCAAACTCTTTATAATTTTAATTTATTGGTCAATTTTCAATTTTGATTCCCGTACACAAATAATACCTTAACTCCCATCAGCTATAATTGTAAATACACGACATTAAGAGCTTGTTCTACCTGAAACAGGCTACCCAACCTGTATTTTGTCTACTTGTCTTTTTGTTTCTGTTTTTCCTGTGTCGTCTGAGTTGGAAGGAAAATATTTTCATTCAGACGAACTTGAGGGAGATGAGAACTGAGGGAGAATCAAAGTAATAATGTAACGACCATTAAGTGCAAAATTTTTTTTTTGGGGGGGGGGGGGGCGTGATCACGTGAAAGTAATGTTGAAGCATCTCTTTTAAAAAGTAATGACTTCATCCAAACTGAAACGTATCCATTGGTAACTATTAAGGGTGAACAGTTTTCAATAAGATTTTTTAAAAATTGAACTGATCATACCAAGACATATGTGCTTAAGTATTAGGCCTTGGACAACAGTTTGAATAAAGGATGTCTTTGAATCTTTTATTTATTATTTATTTATTATTTTCTAGATAGATTATGAAAATCGTTTACAGCCCTTTTCCATGCTCAATTAAGGCCATTACCCAGAGCTCTGAATAAAAATCCTCAGATACTGAACTCACAATGAAAAGTGTATCTTATAATAATTTATTGAGAACAACAACTTGAGTCAATGAAATGAATTGCCATTACACTTAAAAAGCAAACTGAAGATTACCGTTTGCAAATGCATGAGAAATGGAGATGGATATACTTTTTGTTGTTCTAATAAAACTTTACTGAAATAACTTTAAACAATAGAGCGCTTTCTGATGAATTTTATGAAGGTCTTAATTGCTGACAATTGCAAGTTCATGGAGGTTTTATTTCATCATTTTTCTTTGAAAAGAAAAAACTGTGCAACCAGGAGAGGGCCATCTTAACAAGTTGTTGCTTAAGGTGGCACATACTTAAGCAAATCCCAAGAAAGGTTGTACAATACTTTACTAGTAGCATTTCGCTAACTCATTTTAGAACATTGAACCAACAGCTGATCTGACTGTGGATGAGACTTTTGGCATCCCTCGAAAGGTGGACAATTGGTGAGTTTGCGGATAAACATGTTGAGAGAAAAGACTTACAAGGCCACTCTTGTAAAAATTTTTATGCAGACAGACTTTGTTTCATATTGTGAACATAGATCTGATTGTTACCAGTAAAAGGATATTCAAGAGAAACCTTCTTAGATACCTTTATAAAGATCCTACTATCTTATAATAACCTACGCTACAGTAATAACAATGTCCCAGTTAGAGTCCCTTCTTCTTCTATAGATCCTACTATCTTATAATAACCTGAAGCTATAGTAATGACAATGTCCCAGTTAGAGTCCCTACTTCTGATGAGGAACCAAAAAGACCAATAACCGTTAATGAACCAGACGCTACCTGCAATCAAGCAATAAAGCAATACAGTGTGTGAGCAAAGCAATACATTGCAAAAGATACACGATGTAATTATCAGACACGCATGTGTATGATTGACATTTGTATACACTACAAGAACTGATTAACTGATTTTTCCTGGGAGTGTCCAACCGACCGTGACTGGGAGGGGGAGGGAGGTGGTACTCAACAAACTTGTATATAGGGAGGCTTTGTCCCGAGGTCCAACCCAAACCCCTTAACCTTTGAAATACCATTTTGGACAGAAAATGTACTCCTTTTGTATACCCAGTTGAGAACTTTGCAAACTGCCTTTAAAATATGAATTAATTATCACAAAACCAGAATATTTTCTCAACCTTTAACATACCACAAAATGCATCTGCTAGCCCCCTTGGCCCTCTCCGATCTCTAAACTGAAATGAGAGATTTCCCTATCGTTTCATATACTTCAGCTAGTGAAATCCCCACCTTGTCACATAACTGGATACTGAAAAAGGTACCTCTTCTGGGCGGAGCCTCCCCATTAATGCCATTATAGGGAATAGCCCCAAGGAGTACAGCCCTACCCTCACTGGCTCAGAATAAAATTGCCTGTGAGGAAGCTCTCTGTTTGGGTGATATCATAAGAACAAACAGAGGTAGATGTCAAAATCAAATGAAGAATGGTCCTCGCAGTTGTGAACGCAATTTATGCAATTGCATAAGAAGCCTGAAAAAAATTCAGGACTCCAACAGGATTTGAACCCGTGACCTCACAATACCAGTGAGACACTCTAACCAACTAAGCTATGAAGCCACTGACGTTAGGAGCTGGTCAATTATGTGTTCATGTTTTCCCGTAAAGAGATGAACGTGGCAAATGTTTATGAAACAAATGTTATGTGCAAAGTGTTAATTTGAAACCAAGGAATGGACTTAGTTGGTCTAGACTGGACTTGCACAAAAAGTATATAATTATATCAATGTTCACACCTGTGTCTTTCCAGCATCATGTACAAGATAGTACGGCATCTCAGCTTTTTGAGCTAGATCCTCTAAGTCGAATAAGTGGGCTGAATTTTCACCTTTCAGCACAATTTTTGTTCCTCTAAAAGATTGAAATGGAAAAAGGAGTAATTACAGACATAAATTAAATTTAAAACAAGGCAGTACTAGCTATGTTGGTAGATTACCGATGACCTCAGGGAGTGCCTGACTAGTTTACAAAGTGAAAAAGAAAACAAACAAAACATTCTTAACATCCTAATATCAGCCTACGAATTCTCACAACTTACCCAAAATCATCCCATTGGGATAACATGTAGTCATACTTGTGTGGTTTTGAGGCCAGTTCCTTATAAAGACCAACAGCAGCATGGCCAACCTGGGCCGCAATTTTACCAGGACCCATGTTCAGTTCTGTGTTGACAACAAACACCATCTTGTAAGGGCTTTTCATGGTCTTTTCATCCAGAGGGAACGTGTGTGCAAATGGATGGGCTTCCAGCGCTGGGGCATCTTTACCTGGCTGCAGACAAGACATAAATTTATTCTTTAGGCATCAAAATAAAAGTGCAAGATATATACAGTCAAATCCTGTTCATATAACAAAAAGTGAAAATGCCATAGAAAGTGTCAGTATTAATGGTCCGTATTTAGTGGGCTGAATTTAGAGAAAAATGTATGGGCTTTTTTTTCCCATTAGGGCACAGCAAACTGTCTGTTATAAATTTATGAGGTTTCTGTATAAAGCAGGTGTCCATGAAGTGGGGTTTGACAGTACAAAAATTTAACAGAACAAAAAACTTACAGTCTAAATGTGTTACCTAACAAAACCAGACACTCGCAGATGTGGGACCTAATAAACCGCCTATAGACAAAAAAACCCCAAGCCCTTTCCGACATTTCGGGGAAAGGAACAAGAGGAAAAATCTGGCATTCATTTTATGACAATGGGAAATTGACAGATCAACTCTTGTTTAAGACCCACATTTTTGTATTTTACTCTTGTATGCATGCAGCACACACCCTCAGGAGGGAGGGAGGGGGGTACTCCAGATTTCAAGTGACAGGGATGTTTGAAGGGGGCCAAAAATCTAAATCCAAAAAAGTCCCTAGGGGTTCAAACAAAACCCAAAGAAATCCCTGAACCAAAAATTAAGCCCAAAAAAATCCTCCTTCGAATTTTTGAGCCTTAAAAATCTCCAGAAAGGAAAACAAGTTGGGTTGTACTTTAATTACAGAACAATGTGGCCGGGATATGTGGGCCTTAAATCAAGCCACCAAGACAATACTTGCCAAATTTTCCTACCTAAAAAAATTCTGGAATCGAAAACTCGAAACCCAAAAGAATACTTGGATCAACCTTGTCACTTGAAATCTGGAGTACCCTTGCTGGGAGTTCACATACCACAGTAACTAAACCACATATGCTTGTATTCTGCTGCTGAGGGTAACAGACCATTGTTTTTTCCTTCATAATAATTATTTATGTACCTTGAAAGGTTCATCTAAATCCTCCAGATGCTGATTGTCCAGCACCCAGCTCGCAGCAGCATCAACAGAAGTGTTATCAGTCATGAATAGACCCTGGAATGCATAAAATTTTGCCTATTACCAACTTGACAACATTAAGCACGAGATCTTTACCTATGCTACCCTGCCAGCAGAGTCTTCTTCGATCTTCCTAGAGAAGTCGGGAAGAGCAAGGAGACTCTGCTCGTGGGCTGCACAATTCCTATTTAGCATGCTGCGAATTGAAATGTAACCAAGCCTCGGGCGGCCTCGCTTTCAAACTGAGTTACTCATTAAACCTTGAGATTTGACACAACTTCCTCTTCCCGACTCATCTAGGAAGATCGAAGGTGACTCTGCTCGCAGGTTCTACCTGTGCCAGAATGGTGGGAAATTCACTTATTATTTTTTCTTCATAATAAATTATTGGATCCAGAATGTCTTGATTTGAGTTTTGCAGATGCAATAGAGGCAAAGATGGCTAATTTAGCTAATTATGAATTAAACAAAAAATTTAATTGCTATCATTTTGAAGTATGGTCAGGGCTCGAAATTAACGCTCGCAAACTCCCAAAAATTATGCGAGTCACTTTGATAATCTGCGAGTGAGAAAAATATCCACTGGCAAAACGTTTGTCGGTTAGAATCATCCATGTCCCCAAACAAACAGAAAAAATTTGCTAGTGGTCTCACCAGTTTGCTAGTGGAAAAAATTCTTACTAGCAAAACTTTGCAAGTGCACTAAAAAGTTAACTTCGAGCCCTGATGGTGTATTACCCTGATAATTTTCTGATAAGAGTTAATTCATGGGAAGTCTGAAATTTTATTTTGCAAAACACTCCTGCGACTAAAACAGAACAATAACAACTGACAGCAAATGCAGGTTCCACTCTTCACTCAAAAGTGTTAACTGTACCCTTATTCCCATGAAACCTGTTAATTTTATCAAATATTAATTTAAAAGTTTTCTATTGATCTGTGGAAGTCTTTCATCTACATGAAAATTACCAAACAATGACATTTTGTATGACATCTGAAAATTCAACTGGTGGCCCAAGGGTTTATTTTTAGGTGTAAAACAACTACCATAGCCATTATTTTAATATCTGTAAAAGAATGGTTTGTCTGCTAGCACAGGCCTCTTTTCTCTTGAATTGTGTGGTTCCAAAAATTATCCATTCCTCCCCCATGAAAGGGATTTTTCCTTAGATCCCCCCATCTCTCTGGAAATTCCAGTCAAGCTTCATACATTTACTTAAATTTTGGGGCCTTTGAGAACCCCCCATCCCCCAGGAATTTCCAATCCTTCTGTGGCGGGAGTATGGACATTTTCTGGAACTACACATTGGAGAAAAATGCTTCTGTTAGCGGGGAATAGATTGGTATCGTTTATTAAAAGGGCAAATACACTTGAACCACTTCTAGATTGATCCACGCCCTTTTACATGGAGTCCCCCCTCCCTGGAGGCGACGCAAGGGGCGGGGGGGGGCTTCGCCGCGTGACATATGCATACTGTCAGTTTTCTAAACAAATAAACGTTTTTACAAGTTAAACAGTACGGCAAGACTCTTTTTTAAAATTCATGAGGAAACTGAGACTAATAAAAATCCATATCGAGAGGAAAATTTTGTTTTCCTCGCGGCGGAGCAAATCTTGACATGACACGTGAACAAATCTTAAGCAACTTTCACGGTACCTTAACAGCTGCGTTTTTCGATATCCCCAAATTCATCAGCATTTGCAGGAATTCCTCGTTAGGACCTTCCCATTGTGATACTCTTCTACCACGAGGTGCCGCTTGCTCGGCCGCCTCTGTGGAGCCACCAACAGACTGGGCAAGGTTCTTCTTCGTGTCATCCATCTTGAAAACCGTACTTTGAAGGAGTCTGGGACAGAGCGATTTTTTGGTGCCCCATATATGAAGGTAATCACCATAGCAGTAGTCACGCTTATAATCACGCCCGTCTGGCGGGGTGGCCACAGTCTCCACGGAAACGATCATTGCGAGATCAGTGTGGCTACTTTTATTCCGCATTTATTTTTCTTCCCTCCTTCATCCAGTCAACACCCCCAACAAGCTTCAGTTAAAGACTTAAATCATTTGTTTTCTCTGAATTTTCGTTTATTTTTTTGTTTTGTTTTGTTTTCCTGGGGGCATTTTCACAGTGGAATCTCCGCTTAACTCATCTTTTTGCCTCTGGATCAAAGAGTGGGAGGTTGTAGAATAAAAAAGGGTGACAAATCTTTAAAAGGGCCTTTAACAGAATGTTTCAAAAACTGACGCACCTTATATGGATAAATCAGGACTTTTTTTTCAAAAGGGTTTTCTTTTCTGTCAAAAATGGTATAAAAAGATAAGAGGTTGGACCTTTGGGCGAACCCTCCCTATATAAAACTTTGGTAAGGAAAAAAAATTAAAGTATAGTGGTGCACTGCTCCGGAATAATCTTTCTTATCAGGCAAAAACAGCACAATCGCTCTCCAAATTGAAAAGCAAACTTGCCTTTTTGCCTTCTGCTGGATCGCTCTGATTCATTAATTTGTATTTGTGTATATTTTAAACTTACACTAATTAGCCTTCAAAACTCCCGCCAACATAATTATAGTGGAGCTACGCGCGCGAGCGTAGCCCCATATACCTAAGAAAATGTGGTAATCTACCCATCCGAGAAATTTTGGTAATCACGTGACCGTCCGCCCGTCCGCCCACCGTCCGTATGCACTACAGGCATACCAGTGTAAAATAACTCAATCAACACGTATGGCACCCGCGAAAAGCAAATCGAGGTTATTTTTGCGGGAAATCGCATAGCCACACGCCTCTTATGAAGCAGAGACAACGAAAGAGTCAATAAAGACGAAAGCAGAAAGCGGAAATTGTTTCTGTATCCCTTTTGTCTACATGGAATATAGAGAAAGAGAAAAAGAGAAAGTAGGCGACAGGCCAGCGAAACTCAACGAGAAAAAGAGAGACAGAGAGCTAGAGGGAAAGAAAACATACACTCTTAGGGTTCAACAGTTTTGGAGAGGGAGGTAGAAAACCTGAAAGGCCACACATAAAAAGTTGTCACAGAGAGGAGGACCCCTATATATTTCTCCCCATTTTTCAGGCGAGCGAAGCCCGGGGGCAAGCGCAAAGCTAGCGCGCAAGGAGGAACAGACACGCGCGACGGGAAAATGCTTCCCCCGTGCGTGTCTCGTGACTATAGCGCTCCTCAGTCGCTTCGCGCTGGCCTTCGCTCGTCTGTAAAACGCGAAAAAATATGGCCGGTTCTGCAGACTACGTATAACAGCCAAATGTGGTCAGGGAGGTTGGAAACGATTAGCTTTGACAGAGTTTCATCAATGCGCAAAGCTAAGATCCCCCACCCTTTGGTTAGGAACCCTCCAATAAAAAAAAATTCCTGGATTCGTCCCTGCAGTTAAGCCAAGACCCGAACACCGTTATTATTCATGCGGGATTAAGACTCTTTTTGAAATTTCTATGAAATTGCTAAGGAGTCTACTGAAATTTCTGCTCAGCAAATGTTCATGAAAATCACGTCTCTTCAATTTTTAAGGAAAATAAATGGCATGACCGAGATTCAAACAGGGACGTACCAACTTCAAACGATTACCTAACACACCATACCACTGAGCATTCGATGCTAAACATCGCTTTGATTTCAATGTATATATTAACATCCTAAACCTTAAAAAGAAGCTAAACCCTAATCGGTATTATCAGTGCTTAACCATAATCAATATAGTCAGAATCCCACATGAATAGCAAACACAAGTCAGTGTACGGGTCCCGTGCGAATAGCCATTATGTATAGATATCATAATGCCTCCTGCATACAGCATCAACTTAGGAAGCTGCAAAACAACCAACAACGACTTAAGTTTTAAAAGTTTTATTTATAAATGAAACAAGTTAATAAAGCACACACCTGTAATATGTATATGTAGGTTTTAAACCTTTAAAGCACAATCTGCTTTGCAAACAAAGGGGGTTATAATCTCAGTGAAAACTTTAATCATAATCTCATGGACGAATCCTGACTGATTAATGCCAGGCTGTAAAGAAAACCATAATCAGCTCTTTGATGGCCAAATGTTGTCCACTGCTAAAGGGACTGAACTTCTCTTTCTTTTCACGCTGCCTGGGTTTGTTGACTATTTTCTATCTACTGTACAATAATAAATGGCACATCTATAGTTTCTCATTCCTTTCCTTATTTTGTTGTAACGTATATATACTTGCACAAAATAATTTGATTACCGGTAATGCCTGTTTTATAGGCCTCACTGTACATGTACACCTCACTGAGTGTTGATACATGTATGTCTACAAACAATCACTAAGTTTTTAACCAACTGGTATTAATTAAGCTGATGGTGTATAATAATAACCGTAAAATGCATGTACACTACACTGAGTGTTGACATGTCTCCAGTAAGAAATAAAGATGAAGCCTGTGGACTTTCTTTCTTCAGCTGAAAAATGAGAAAAATGCATAAATTTAAATACACTTAACATTTAAAAATAAGGAAGATTAAAAACGGTAGTGCAGTAACCTAAATGCAAGTGTGATACTTTAATAGGCTAGAAAATTATCAAAATAACCGAAAAATATTAATATTAATATTTATTTATTATCATTACTATTTTTTCTTTTAACTGGTGAAGCAAACTGATTCAAATGCTGCTCTTCTGCAGCACCTAAATCATCACCTACACCTGTACATGTACAATGTAAGGGTCACTTCCTAAGATGTGTGAGAAACTAGATGCAGTTCCTGTTCCAAATCGTATTCCTGGACTCCTGAACAAAAGGTGTATGGTAATAAAAAATTACCTTGCTGTTGATCAGCAACTGATTCGTCTACGTTTGATGCCTTTTCCACCTGTTTGCTTGACAGGGAAGCTGGACACATCTTTCACTACAGTTTGAGAGTCATCAGGAGTGTCCTCTACATAAGACCAAGGTAAAAAAGTTTTACATTCATGAATTAATTGATAACCAAATCATTTAAACTAGATTAACCCAGGCAAATGCTGCAATGTATGGATATAATTACAGTGGCAAACAAGGGTCATAATGCAAATTTAATTTTTTTTCTTAAAAGATTTCGCTTCAAAGCAAAAATAGTTGCTGCAAAAATAAAGAAGTTGAGAGTCAAAATGAGTGTCCTCTACATAAGAGCAAGGTGAAAAAAGTTAAATGTGAATTTTACAAATTGAATATAATCAACCTCTTTGTAACTGGGGAATGCCAATGTGAGAATATAATGGACTTACAAACCTAGAGAGACTTCATAATCTGGCTTCAAAGTACAAAAAATTAATAACAAATAAATATAAAAACTCTTCAATTTTCATTTAATTTTATATGTAAAAAAACTTCCATAACCAGCAACACTGCAGATGTGATTTCCTGCTTTTGTCATTAAAATCTACATGTATTACGGGGACTAAGGAGACATAAGAATTAAACCAATGCTGGGAAAGACATAATTTTATCTGTCCTTGCAGGAGCGCTATTAGGACTTCCTTAAGGACTTTTCATAGCAAAAAGTCTCCCCAGGCTGGTTTCCTTCATCATCAAAATTCTGTTATTGACCCTTTTTGGGGAGCAAAAGCACCTAGCTGCAGGTTGTACTTTCCCTAAGTTTGTAAAACTTTTAATTCTACAGCTACAGGGTGGTTAAGAGTACCTACTACAGGGCTGTCAATAAGGGCCGGTAGCCGGCCAAAACCGCCAGCTAGTTAGCCATCCTTAGCTGGCTACTTTCATCTTCTTCTACCTTAACTGCTGACAAAAAATAAGCACCATCGAATAAGATCTATTGTAAAGCATCCATTTCCCAGTTTTGAATGAATTTGAACACATATTTAGGTTTAGATCTGTGAAACGTTCGAACCGTACAATGTCATGGAATGCCTGGGACATTTCGACCGCATTGTTCCTCCCAGTCTTGCATCTTGTGTGTAATCAGACGAAACAACATGGCGTCCACAGTGGAAAATACAAAAAGAAAAGCCCTGGAAATGCCATTTCCGAGTCTCTAATTTTCAAAATGTCTCTAGATGCCCCGGCCCTCAAAAAGCTTGTGACTTTTGTGCGAGTTCCAAAGCCGCCTACTATTCATTATCACCCTGCTACTTAAAAACTTTTTGACAGCCCTGCTACTAAGTAAAATTTATGAGGATAAAAGATATTCCACACCTTTTCTTCCTTAGATATTCTGCTACTTTTAATACTTTTGAAATCTTTTGTAGAAATCATTTACGGCAAACAGCAAACATGAATTTGCACCACATGACCAACTTTTCCCTTTATCTGTTGTTTACTGTATATTATTACCTCACACAAAGGCTAGCAGTTTCATGCCATTTTTATATTAGAATGGTTCTAAGCTGTTTTTATCTGCTTTTTTCTATTTTGATCAGAAATTCGCAACTTGAATCTGAACATTTGCCGTTTGCTGTAAGCGTGACTCTAAATCTCTCTAATATCATAATTATTATGCTAATAATTATTAATAACAATATTAAAATTAAAAAAAGAAGTAAATAAAATTTAGCTGAGTACATGTACATGTATTATTAAATGCAAAGTAAAAAAGGAATGAATATCATACCAGAAACCATCATGAACATCATTGCAACCAAAGGTGTGAGCTGCTTCTCCCAGCTGTACTTCTTATCGTAGTTTGAACGCAACATTGCTGCTTGCTCAAGTCTGGTCTTCCTGTCCGTTTCTCTGATGGTTTTGATTCTTAAAGCCCACTCTCTGGCATCATCAGAATCCACAATGGCTGATGTTCCAAATGTGACATCCCTGAGAGCCTCACCAAATCCTGATTCCCCATGGACAAGCACAGGAAGCCCAGCAGATAAGGCAAGAAGTGCCTCCAAACCAAATTCCTTGTCACCAGATGGCATGATGGCAAGGTCCACCTCTAAGAACAGCTTTTTCCACTCGTCTTCAGTTTTTGGAAGGTTCCTTATCCTAAGCTGGCTTTTAGAAACACCACACTTATGAAAAAGATCCTTAAATTGCTGCTCTGTTTCTTTCCCAGCACCAACATAAATAAGATGATAGGAATTGTTCTTTAACTCTGCCACTGCATCGGCAGCCGTTTTGAGCCCATCTTTAAAAAAATTGTCAGGATTATCCCCACCTAAAAGTAGGACACGACAGTTTCGTCCATCATTGGTGGCATGATTCAAGTTACTAAATTCACTGATGATTCCAGGAGTGAGATCAAACACTTGTTTTCCTTCTGAGCGAAGAGAAGCAGACAGGTCATCAGTTGTCTTGGGTCCTATAGCAACAGGAATGTTAGCAGCTGTGCAAAGTTCCTTTCTGTAACCTTCTAAATCTTCAAAATAAGTTTCCACAAATTCATCAGCACTGAGCAGCCACTCATTGCCTTGATCGACATATATCTTCTTGCATTGATATCGCTCTTTCCAGTGCTGTGCAATCTTACCAAGTCGTGCACCAATTCCTATTACAATGCCCGATTTGAGTTTTTCTGGTGGATAATACAACCAATCAACGGGGTCAGGAAAGCATGGTCGCTTCTTAGCTTTGACAATGGTAACTCCGTTTGCTTCTAGTCTCCTTTTATCCCAATCATAAATCAGTGCACTTTCTGGAACAAGTAAACTGACTTCTACACCTGTCTGGGTAAATTTGGCCAGTTGCTTTGCCAGCTCTGCATGGAAACACCCTGCAATTCCATCGCAGTCATTTCCCAGGATGGTAACTTTTATACGTTTGCCCAAGGAATACCGGTACGTTCCATTTAATTGGGCCTGTATGTTCTTTAGAACATCTTTTCCACCGAGACGAAGAAAATCTACCTGAAAAAAAAAAAACAAACAAATAAACAAAACAAAGAATATTAAAAATCTACAGCAGTACGATGGAAGACTAAATGCAGCAATTAGGAGAATCTTGGGTTGAGATGACATTGCAGCTTTATAATGTCGCCAAGTTGGGAGAGCTGCCAAGCCATAATAAATTATTGTCTCAAAATCAAATTTAGTTTGATATCACCACTCAACTGTTTTTTTTTCTGACAAAAAGGAAAACTTAAAGTTGCAGGAACTCAAATTAACACACAAATGCTTACTACTGCCCAGTGATGTTGCCATGTTGTACACAAAGTTTTGTACAAATATTTGGACTATTCTTACAATTCTTTTGCAGAAAAATGTAATAAAAATACAGGTATTTTCATACTAAGAATGTTTAAACTCATCTACCACTGAAATGATGGGACAACCCGCTAATTATGCTGGGAAGGTGATTTTTACATGCTGCTTGGTCAGGGACAAGTTTTGTCAAAAACATTTTTGGAAACCTGAGTATTTCACCAGGGTTCTCATGAACTTTTTAATCATCAGTTCTATTTCTGTTAACAAGTTAAACATCATGGAGGTGCAACATGACCGAGATGCCTTACTTAATTTTGTGTGGAAGCCCTGCTAAACTCTATAATCTACAGCAGCTGCAATGCTTATTAGTAAAAAACATCACAGGCTAGAATAATAATAATAATAATAATAATAATAATAATAATAATAATAATAATAATAATAATAATAAACAATTTAATAGCACCTTTTCTGCAAGCATCCAAAGGCGCTTTACAGCTTTTTACATTAAGTACAAACTATCAAAGTTGACAGTCATTAAAATAAATAAATGATTCAATTAACAGATTTCCTAAAAGGATATGCATTTAGTCTAAAAAATGTCAACAGAAGAGCTTGATGCTATGTAAAAAAGCAGCAAATTCCAAAGTAATTTATTGTAAGTAACATTAGTTACAGGTTCAGAAGAGAACAGCATTCACAATGCTGCCATTTCTAAACTTTGAAAAGAGGAAATGGTCACACAGTTTGTAGGGGCTCACAGTTGGTATAATGTACAGTATAGTATCAGTCAGTTCAAACAACCACCCTCCCCCCCCCCCCTTAAAAGAGTCAACTGTATTAACCTCAGCATGTTCAATAGATGAAAACAATAATCAATACTACATGTACTGGATAACAATCAAATAAGAGTTGATTAATTATCTCTCGGAAATTAATAAAAATGCATGATGAAAGGACTTGTACGGTTCCAGAAAATATCCATACCACCTCCTCCGAGGCGGAGGGCGGGGGTTCACAGGCAGTGATTTCCAAGGGGTAGGAGGGGGGGGGGGGGGGGGGGTTTAGGGGAAAGTATTTTCAAAAGGGTGACGGACCACGTACAAAACACTGAAAGCAACGTACGATCGATCTGAAGCACAAAAACATACCTACGTACATTGTTTTGAAACATAAGTCGATACTCCAGGCCATTAATTGAGATGAGGTTAACATAGTTAGCTTTAATGTTTCTGTTTTTCTTCGAGTTAGCTAACGCTACAATCTCCAGAAGAACAATGTGTCTTTGGAACAAAGTCGAAATGATTTAAAATGGTGGACATAACTGGAGTCTTGTCTTCATCTCTTTTTTATCCGACCAACATTAAAGTGCTTTCCCTTCTGTTCACTGAGTATCCCTTTTTGCTACCTTCACATGCAGGAAACACAGTTTTGATAGGTTTCATGTTTTATCAGTGTTTATTGGGGGTAGTAACTCATAAAAAATGCGATGAGACGAGAGTACTCTTGGTTTGCACATGACGTCATCAAAAATCACACTACGAAACTCTCTATTCTTGTGAATTTCTACTTTCAAGGTTCAAGGTTCAAGTTTATTTCGCACTATTCAAGTTGATACAGTATAAGATGGCTTACAGAATCAGTAGGTTAACAAATGATGAAAAGTAAATATAATATACAAGTTTGTTGATATTCGCACAGTGACCAAAGTAGCCAAAACTTTGGTGTTGGTCACTGTCCCATTTAAGTAAATAGAGGAGTCCAAGATATAAGTGTGAGGTAATAATAAATTAGGGTATTGAGAATACTTGTTTATATAGAATTTTTTCTAGACTTTTTGACACAGTGCAATAAAGTGCTATATTAATTAAAGTTTACAATTAAAAAAAAGGAGGAAAAAGGAGACTAAAATTACCTAATTATATATTACTATTCATGCGTTGTTCAAGGAAGACAAGAAGCTAAAGAAAAGAGGATTGTGAGCTGTTTCGCTATCATTGGTTTTGTAATAGAAAGGTTTTACAGTTTCTTTTAAAGAGAAAACTATTAAGAGACTTCAATTCTTTTGGAATAGTTTCCCAAATTAGAGCTGCCGTATATTTAAACTAGTTGGTTTAGTTATAATAGGTAGGAAATTATTGGAATAAAGCATTTCCCAATGGTCCTCGGCTGGTGAATGGCCATTACATTTTAAAAAGTCTATGTTGATGTCACCTAAAATATAGACTTAGAGTTTTTTCGGATTGAGATTTTTTATTCATATTAGTTCATCTAATTTCCTAGTAAAGTCATCTAATATATTCGCTGATGGGTGCCTATATATAAATCCAATAACTACATGGGCTTTACCATTACAGGGATGAACCTCGACTAAGCAGGACTTTACCAGCTCTACATCTAATTATTGAAGATCAGGCCTTGGGATTGATTTTCAATTTTTTGAGACAAAGTCCTCCTCCACCTGTTGCAGTAGGCGAGTCATGATGAAAGAAATAGTAATGAGGGTCAGTTCAATGTTTGAAACTGAGTTCTCAATAGTCTTGTTTCAGAAATTGCAACGATATTAGGCCTGCTATCAAGACAATATAAAATATCACGCAGAAGGCTCAGGTTCTTGGGCAAGCTTCTTATGTTACAATGGAATAGAGTGAGGGAATTTGATCCAGCTTTTTCAAAGGTACTATTCATCTCAGATACAGAATAATAGTCAGATGATGGTTGGGGAAGAATGTGATCGGGATCACACTCGTCAAATTTATCTAGACTGGTAATTAGGTCAAACAGATCAGTTTTTAACTTGCTTGGATCTATTGACCAATAACCAATTACAAATTGAAATTCACGGTTGTACAAGTGACTGAAGGGTAGCCAGTCACACAGATTAGTATATTCACTATTAAAATCTACAGCCATGCTATACTAATAACAAAAAAACATAATAAATAAATAGTACCAAAAGTAGCAACTACCATGCTTTTTAGCCTCATCCATCCAGAAATTTTTAAAATTCTTCATGAGTTAATTGTAAATTTGTAAACCATAGATGTCTTGCTCTCTCTGAGGCAGATCTTCCCATCAACTGTCCATAAGAATTTGAATTTGTTTGACTTTCTGAATTTGTGGATTCTACTAAACAATCTATTCCTGTAGCTTGTTAGTGATTCACTAATGTAGATTTTATTCGCCCTTTGAATTGATTTTCCAATTTTCTTGGTGACAGACGGAAGATCTTTCGTTGACTTCCTCATGAGACTTGCCCTCTTTTTGTAGACTTTTTCTCTTGTGTCTCTGTGTACAAATTTGACGATAATACGATTTTTGATTTTTTTAGTGTCTGGAAGCCAGTGAGCTGTAGAGATAGAATTTTCACTATGCCCCACTCCTAACAGCGAACTTAACTAATCATAAGGTATTACAGTATGTAAACACAGGGTTGTCACTAACGGCCGGGGGCCGGGGATTTCCCCCGGCTACTCAGAGCATGGCCCCCGGCCACTTTCGTCATTAAATTAAACCAAAAGAGCACACCTTTCAAACACACAAAGACTACCCTTCAAACTAAATGCAAGTTTCATTTGCAGCAGGTTTAAGTAATTTTGAAATACTCGTGTGCAAAAACTAAGAAATGTCGGAAAAAGACATCTGACTTAGATTTGGTACTAGTACACACGCGCGAAAACTCTCCTTTTGCGAAATGTCAGTAGGGAGTTTTAGCAACGACGACGGCGACGGCAACGAGAATGTCAAAAAAGCAATAGGTTTATGGAGCAAAACAACTAGTTCGCACGCGCATCACCCTTTTTTGTACATTTCTTTGCCATTACTGCGCGACTACGACGTGAAAATGCCTAGTTTCACATTTTATGGAGGACGTAAACAAGCGACGACAAACTTTTCTTTCTCTTTCTAAACTTGAGTGCGGTCCCAAAGAAATCAACTCCACGGAAATTAGCCTAGATTAGCTATTTTCAGCGAATTGAACTGAAACACGACGAAAAGTTGGAAAAAACGCCAATTCATTTTAAAAGTGACGTTTTCGCTGCCGTCACCTTTGTCAATGCTAAGAAGTCCCTAGTTTCAACCGTTGTGTCGGCTTTGTGTTGAACATGTCGAAGAAGTGGCAAGGGAATCTGCACTCTTTGTTCACGTTGAAAGACCTCAGCAGATCTCTGTTGACATCACAGAAGAAGTTGAGGCTTCATCCGAGCGTTAAATCTCCCTGATGCTGATGTTGATGATAATGAGGATTATGATGAAGGCTTTGAAGATGAAGACTATGACCGATTGCTATGTTTAATGAATTGACGTTTAAGTGACCAGGTCTACATTTAGCTTTAGGTATCGAGTATATAAAATAACGCGCGGTCAACGGGAAATGTTCGATCATTGTTCGCAGGTCATGATCACATCCTCTCAGTTCTGCTTCCAAGAAGTTATATACAAAAGGGAAGTTAAGCATTAGCATTACTTTTGCATTCTTCTCCTTGAGTCTCGTTGTGACATCTCCGCGTCGTTTATAAAGACAGTATTAGCCCTGTCTTTTAAACGCTTTTACGTAGGTCAGTTTCTTCGTATGTTAAGTGATGTTTCGTTCCTAAATTCGAGACCACTAATGTTATCAGTTGTGCAGTTTAGTTTTGCCATATTTTATCGCGCGATTTTTCGTACGTTACGCTTGTTTTAGCCTTATCATACTTTTATTTTTC